TTTCTCTGAAAATTTGGCTATATACCAAACTTTTTGTGTTCTATCTTTTATCTATTGACATAAAGATAGGTTTCCTTAGCTTAGAAGACTTATTCACCAATCTAATAGTCAAAAACTCGACTCTGATCTTGAATTGCCATTTTTAACTTTTTAACAATACTTTCCTTCTCGCCTATCACAATCCCCAAGAAAGAAAGATTTTCAGAAGCTTTAAGAAACAATTTTGTTAAGAATTAATAGAACTTTTTGATAGAAAAAACCTTAAGTCAATCGGTGAGTTGGGAAGTTTTAAAAAAAACCATAAAAAGCGACATTTCATAATTACAGACCTAATACTTTGTTGAAATTGTGTGATTTTTTTTTTCAAATACGGGTATAGATAAACGCTTAGCCATTTACAAGGAGAAAATGTCTCTAAACACAAGAAACAGAAGTCAGAGCTTTTATATAGAGCAGAGATTATAGAGCTTTAGTAGTCAGTCATGGATTTGAATAGAGCGTGTCATTACGTTTTCCAGAACTTGGAAACATTTGAATCTAATAGAAAACGTAATCTTGGCCGTCCAATCGTTTTCAATCATTTATTCAACAAAAGGTAGGTAAATTATAGAAAAATTGATCGACAACGTTACGGTAGTTAAGAAAGAAAACGTTTTAAAAAGCGATTTAACACAGCAAAATCAGCAACATTTATGAATATAATAAAAGAAAAAGAAAAGAAAAATACATTTATTGAAAACCAATAATGTGATACAAACAAAGGGTACATAATAAGACATAAAGGTTAAACACACAATTTTATGGCACTGCGGCCGTACTTTGCAAAAGTGTACTTTGCAAATGTTTTTCTCTTTACAATTTCTCGAATTTGAATTCAGCTATCTAGCTATGTATACAGTTGTTTTTGACAATTTTGACAAGTTTTCGACAACAAGTGGCAGACATCTGAAGATAGGCTTTCGATCGAAAGTCTAGAATCTTCAGATGTCTTCAGATGAGGTATTTGATGCAACTAGAAGCAAGATTGTTGTAGTTTTCGAAGGTTGGGCACGTTTTAAGAAAGCGAATGAAAGTGTCATTTGTAGAGTGTGTTCCTCGCGAGTAATGCGTTTTTTTTAAACGCACATTTGGGAAAAAATTACCGTACTTTTTGCAAAAATTATTGCAAAAAAATGACGCAAAAATCACGAGCCCCACATTATATACGACACTTTTTAAAGATACTCAGCCGTTTAACTGATTTGGTGGGGAAATTCCCTTCCAGTGTAAAAAATGGTTTTTTTTGATTTTTTTTGTGATTTTTTTTGAAAAACCTGCGCAAAAAATTGCTTTCATATTTTTTTTCGCGCAGGCGCACTTTTTAGAAAATGCATTACCCGATCTATTACTCATGCAAATTTACTCGAGTAATTACTTACTCGCGAGGAACACACTCTAGCTATGTATACAGTTGTTTTTGATAATTATTTAAAAATTGTTCACCTAACAACAACGAATACTTTCAGATGTGTAAAAATGGTGAGAATCGAGAGAACAATTATCTCTAGACACTTTTCAAATCGTTCACGTTTACCAAGTTTTATCCAATTTTCCTATATCTTAAATTTCGACCTACAATAATTTTGTAAATGAACACTATAAGCCATAGCTTATCCCTCTGTGGCGGATAGCCACTAAAAGTTAACTCTGACAGCCTAAAAATTGGAAAAATATTGAGGAAATCGGTGCGCCTTCATTTTATTTCGCGCCCCAAATCATTTATTGTTTTGTAGCTTGTTAGCTGAGTATCTTGTGTTAAAGCCTATATAAGGCAACTGTTGTTCATTTGTTTTTGTTATCTTTCATTTTGTTTTTTCTGCTTTCCTCAGATTTTGTGTAAAAGTGTGTCCTAATTAGGACGAAATTGCTTCTGTTTTTATCGTCACTTTAATTCAATTGTCGATATTGTGTGAAAGTTGCTCAAGTGAGAGCCCAAAGATTCCGAATCAATCGGCTATTGAATAAAGTGCTTTTTTTTAGTTCAAGAGAGATCAGATATCTCAAAACAAGAAATAACGTGTCTTGAGTGAAAAGTACCAAGCACGCAAAGAATATTTCTTTACACCCTCATTTCCCAGAAATTTCTTGTATTTATGCTAAATCTCTTGATATTTTGAATCAAAATTCTTGATTTTTAATCTTTCTAAACTTTTATCCAACTTTTAAATTGAAAACCCAAAGCCAAAATGTTAATTAAAAAGTGAGAGTCTTTTCACCTATTGTCTGGCTCTCCAGCTGTTTTCCTCTTCACAAAGAGACCAGTCCAGACAGAAAAAAGAATAAAAAAAGGATCCTTTCTAGGTAAGGGGCAAAAGAGAGGTCTCCGAGGTCTCTTCTCCTTTCTCTCCCCATTTTCTTTTCCCCTTCAATCGATTCATGTTTGTTGTCGCTCGCCTGAGGGAAGGAGAATCCCCTCTCCCATTTTTTTGTCCCCTTTCAAACGAATTCCCGTCGATTTTCCTTGTAAATTGTTTTGAAATATTGAATTTTTGTCCTTTCTTGACTTTTTGTTAGTTTTGTTTATTTTAAACACTTTTTTTTAAAATTCTAGCTAATTTTAATTGTCCCAATTCATTTTTGAGCACCTGGACGTTTATTACTAAAACTGTTACTAAAACTATTACTATTATTATTATTATTACTAAAACTAGATACTAAAAAAAACCATTTTTTTGGAAAACTCAAAAATTGATCAATTTTTTGGCATTTCATCGAGACACCACAACTTTCTTTGCCTTCATTTTCTTTTGATTTTTATTTTTATTTGAGATTCTGAAACGAAATTCCAATGTGATTCTGAATTTGGAATCATATCGAAAAGGATTGAATTGTAATTTGAAGAAAGTTGGCATTTCGGTGACAGGAGGCTATTTTCAAAACGGAATTTGATTGTTGCTTATTAGGTAAAGCCAGACTTTCTATCAAATTGTTATTCATTAAATGAAAATGATCTCTAAACTGATTTTCAAATACAACTTGAGCTTTGAACCAAAACTTGAGAAAATTGTAAGCTTACGAATTTACGAAAAAATTGAAAACGTTTTTTTGGAACTTTTGAAGCAAAACACAGTCTGAAAAGCTGTTTTTCAATGATTAATCTGTTTAAGATTAAGCTGTTTTCCAAAAGAAAAGAAAAGAAAATGAAATGAAATGGCTTTTGTAGATAAAAACAAGTTCTCATGTGTTTAATTCAAGTGGAAAAACAAGGAAATCTTTCTTTTCTTTTTTTCCTCTAATATCCATTTCTTTTCCTCTCAAATTTCCTCTCACACTTCCTCTCACATTTCCCCTCCAGTTGTTTACCAGTCAAAAATTTTTAACGTTAGCTTTTTACCCATTTTTCCTTTTTTTTCAAAGCCTTTTATTCGTCTTTCAGACTTTCAAATATTTATTTTACTTTGTAGTTTTGCAAACCTTTGCAAACGCTCATTCTTTGGTGCATTGTACATTTAGGATTTCTTTGGGATCATAGAAAAGCAGTCAAGATAATTCAAGATAATTTTCAAATTCTAAAATGCTGAGAAAACTAGGAGTTCAGTGTAACGATGTGTTTCTGCGAGCATCGGCTTGTCTTTCAAAAACTCATTCATTATTGTTAATCAACCAAATTTTCCCTTTTAAGCTTATCATTTTCATCATTTTTCGTTGTTTTTTTTACGTAATCCTTCTTTGCATAAATTCTTCATAACAAACCACGAAAAATTCCATTTTAAAAACAATTCAATTTTGATTTGATTTAACTATGATTGATTTGATTTGATTCAAATTTGATTTAACTAACTCATTCATTTTTACTTTAGTTTCCATTTTATTTAATTTAATTTCAATTTTATTTTATTTCAATTTCATTTTATATCTTTTCAATTTCATTTCATTTCAATTTCATTTAATTTAATTTAATTTCAATTTCATTTTAATTTTATTTAATTTAATTTAATTTCTTTTCAATTTCATTTAATTTCAATTTCAATTTCATCAATTCAATTAAAACAATTCAATTTTCAAAACTGAAATCCTTTTCCCTCAATTCATTCAATTTTACACCTTCCAAATCCTATTTTTTTGTTTTCTTTTTGAGTATCATGAGAACTTCTTGAAAAAACTCCTTTATACTCATTTGTACAATATTTATTTTTATAGCAAATTCACAAAACCCAATTAGAATTGAATCATTGAATCATTTCAATTCTAAAAGGGGAAATTGTTCGCTATATTGGCTCCAAAGAAATTGTTTACATTTGTCATCATTATTTCTGTGAATTTCTGGATTCTTTAGGCATTTTATTTTGAGCATTCTAGTTTGAGCATTCTATTTTGAGCATTCTATTTTGAGCATTCTAGTTTGAGCATTCTAGTTTGAGCATTCTATTTTGAGCATTCTGCTTGAACAAATGATGTTTTTTTAAAAAGTAAATCTTGATAGAGTTTTTATCTAAAATTGGTTTCTTTAGTATCGATTTTGCCAAAATTCAATCCATAATCTAAAAACTAAATATTAGAATCTATAAAGCCTAAGGTATCTAATAATGCTTTAAAGTAAAAATTGGACAAGTTTAAGATAAGTAAATTAGTGATACAAGTTTGGCAACATCGTTAACAAGTCTTTGACTGCTTATTCATCTATTACTCTATTATTCTCACTTTTCTTTTACTTGCTTTAGTGGTTTTTACTATTAATAGTAAAAAAAGAGGGTTATTTCTAATATTAGCTCATTGTTACACATCTACTTTAACATTTTATGTAATCGGTGCATTTTATCATTCTACAAATACTCGTATAATCTATTTTTTTTTGGTTCAAACCGATTTTTTTCTATTACTTTTGCTATTGTTTTTATCTTTATTTTGTTTGTTTTTATCTAATATAGGTGTACTTTCTTGAGCGTCTTTTGTTTTCTTTTGCTTTCTTTTGTTTTCTTTTGTTCTTTTATAAAGAAGTACTCTAGAATTTTTTTTAGAAAATGGGTGAGCATGTGACCGAAACACGACAACGACACTCGTCGAGGGTTTCGATTGGATCGACCAGGTCAGAAGAATTTTTTGATACTTCAAAATCTTTTAAAAGCTAAAAGGTAGCCAAAGTATTTAGTTTCTATTAAAATTTGGTAATTTTCCTTTCCCTTCATGACAATTTTTACAATTGCAAATGCATTTGTCAGTCTAAAATTTTAAATCGCACTCATTTCTGATTTAGGATTTGGCTTTGGCTTTGATAAACTTTTGAGCTTATGATTAGATATAGATATAATAGTAAGATTTCCTAAAAACTTTAATAAGACTTTTACTTATCGCTCAGCTAAGCTAGTTCAATAAGATCTTGTGCAACTGGCCATATTTTAGCTGACCTTTGTTTTTAAAGTGTGGATTTGAAAGGAATTTGTTACTTTATAAAATAAAAATCGTTTGCTACAATACAAAAAGTGACCCGTTGCACAATATCCCGTCAAGTGACTTAATTTAACTTGACTATTTTCTTTTCTTTAGAGAACCGATCACTTTCCGGAATTTCCTTAAACGATGATTGCTTTAGTCGTTTGTCGTTCAACGGATCGATTCGTTTAAATGATTTGCTGAATGAGGAAAGTGATGAATATGGATTCAATTCGGTGGAAACGGCTGAAGAAGCGGAAGAAATTGAGGAAAAAAGGGATGCACGACAAAAAGGGATAAAGGTGGGTCGAGTTTTTGATTTTTTCTTTGGTGAATAAGTCTTTTTGTTCCTTTTCGTACTTTCGTTTAAAATCAACCAATTCACCAATTGAACCACGGCTTGTTTCATTAGAAAAACCAATTATTTTTCAGCAAAATAAAATTAAAACGGGCTTAAAATGTCTTATATACTGGATTTTTTTGGGAGCATGAAGTCGGGTAGTCAAAAAGGGTAGCTCGATGATGCGGTTTAGACACTTTACGCTAAGGAAACCTATCTTGATGTTAATAGATAAAAGATAGACTACAAAATGTTTGGTATATAGCCAAATTTTCAGAGAAATTGATTCAACCAATTTCTTCATAGAGGTTTTTATAGATTTTACGATAAAACACCTTTTCATTCTCGAATTTGCTTGAAAGTAAACCGAAATTGACTTGAAAAGATGGGAAATTGAACAATAAACACTTTTTATTTAGAATAAACCATAGATTAATTGGTGAATTTTTTATTTTTCAACGAAATTATGAAAAGGAACGAAAAGATTTATTCATCAACCTAATAGTTGAGCAGTCAATTGAATCCAAAGTACAGGGTTCTTGGACTGTTTTGGGTGGCCATTTTAGAAGTGATCTAATTAGCATTTTTCAAAACTAACATTGGATACAGAAAATTCAAGTATTTTTACTTTAGAAATCCAATTGAATCCAAAGTAGAGTTGGTAGTCAAAAGACCGAAGATCTTTCATTTACAGTCAAACAAAAGTCAAATCAAAGCCTTTGGTTTTAAGCCTTTCTTGGGAATCGATTGAGTATCAATTAGTCGTGCACCCTTTTCTATTTATCGTTCACATGCAAATTTCGTGCTTAGTGCGGGGTTCACGTGAACTAAACCGATCTTTACGGAACTTACGAGTCTAGGTCGTGTCATTGGCATTTGCATGTTTGGCAGAGAAGTCAGAATAAGATATATTAAACATTGAATATTTTTTTGTTGGTTTCGGACAAAAGCTAAGTTGGCAAAAGCGACAAAAGACATATTTTATCTGTCCGATACAGATCTAGCTAAGGTTTTGAACAGGGTTTTGCCATTGATTAGTGAAGAGCTATTGAAATAACTTCTTAGACGCATGAATCCTATATTTGTCAAGATATTGGCTCATTGATCTATTAAGATTTGACTTGTGTTTTGCTAGATTTTAAGCATCGATGGTTAGTCAAAGTTTTCCAGTTCCACTTTCCAATGGTTGAAAACCCTCAACAACTTGTTCTACTATTGTGAATTGTTCACTTTTTCCAATTTATCATTCCCATTTCCAGTCAAACCTATTTTCGGGTCTTTCTTGTGCGTGTGACGTGTGAAATTCTCGTGCTTTCATGCACTCCTCTTATCGATAAGATCTCTTTTCCTTTTTCGCCAGGTTCATTTTGCCAAACCTAGATCAATCTACCCATTTGCTTGTTTTTCTTTGATCAATCGATTTCCGTCTATTCATTATTCAAAATGAAAGAAGAAACTCAACCGCAATTCCTCGAGAAACCCCAAAATTCGCGCTCGAGAAATGCGAATTTCTGCGCTGATCCGATTGATGACACTTTTGTGAAAGCGGCTGAATTGGAGGTGATTGTTTATATGATATCAATGCTAACTTAACTCTGAACTTGAGCTTGTCTTTTGAACTTATCTTTGCCAGTACATATTTAGATAGTTAAAGTTCATAGTTTTAAGATTGACATCAATAGTTCACTTGTTTATTTTATGCTTTGTGCTTTGTGCAAACGCGAGCTTTCTGGCACATAGTGCGTATTTCATCATGTAGATATTTTCTCGAAGACTGAAATGGCTAAACACCTAAGTCTCAGACTCATTACAGTATCCCAGCTATCCCAGCTTTTATCTGTTCACCAGATCGTAAGATGTCCCACCTTTCCCTATAGCAACTATAGTACTGTAGAAGTATGATATATCCTACAGTAGGCCTAGATTACTACAGGGATTTCTGGGATCAGCTGGGATACTGCAGTGAGACGAAATTAAACTAAACTGAATACTGTAGTAGGCCTTTACAGTGTCAATAGGCCCAATAAATCAATAGATCAAAGAGCATGCGTTTGCCTGAGCACAAAGTACGATTTTATCAAGTTTTGGAACCTTAAATTGTAGGCAAGCTGGGATAACTTTCAGAAAAAGTTTGAGCGCCGGCCGTCCTCAAATTTCACAGCAGCAAATCTCGCATTAATCAATGGAAAAGAGAAAAACGATCGGGTACAAGACGAAAATCAAAGAGAAAATCAAGCAACGAAGAGCGAATATGATAAGATTTACGCGAACACGTGTGATATGTACGAGATGATGAACTCAATCGGATTCCCTCAGTTCAGGAAACCTTCCTATAAACCACCAAACTGACCCAGGATTCCTTTGAAATTTTCTCTGTAAATTCTCTTTGTCTTTCAATTTTGTTCATCTGATGCTCTAGATTCATCATCTTTGGTTATAAAATCAGGTTGGCCGGAAAGTTTTGTTGGCTTTTTTAAAGGTTACTTTTTGAAATGTAAAATGAACCAATCGATCTATGGTTTATTTTATCAGAAAATCCTATTATATATTTACAAATTGTTCTTTAAGAAATTCTGAAAAGCTCTCGTTAGTTCATTTTTTTAAAGGTGTAAAGTCGAGGAGTCAAAACAAGAAAAAACAAGAATTGCTCGTTCGAATTTGCTTCAAAGCGGGCTCAAATTTGTCTAAAAATGAGCTAAATGAAATAGTTAATCTTTTTATTTAAAGCAAATCCGTTTATCAGCTAATTTATTCATTTATAAACGAAACTTTTAAAAAGGCGGACAAGACTTTCCGGCCAAACTTTAGCTGATTGATAAAGCAATGGTTTCCCAGGAGAATAGCTGCTTTGTGCTCATTTGTGCACAAAAATCTATGCAATTTTTGTGTGAAATTAATGGAAACATACCTGATCTAGTGCACTGAATTTCTCATCTTCAGCTCGTAAGAGATTTGAGGAATTCAATACATTAGAAAATAGTGTTGTTCAAATTTAAGCACAAAGTATGAATTCAGAGCATTAGATTAAGAAGCCTTGTCTAATTTACAAATTTGTCTGTTGTGTAAATAAATTTCCACTGTAAATAGAAAACGTTTTTACATCTTATCTCATTAAAAATCCCGATTTTTGACGTGATCCTTCGCTTTTCACCTTGAAGTTGATTAGCTTTTTGTCAACAAAAACATTTCTAAAAAATGCGAAAGCACTTTCGAAAGGCGAGAGAAAAACAGAGTAAAAGGCAAGTTCACTTGCACTTTTTTCGACAAATAGCTGAATTCTTTTCTCTCTATTCTTCTCTTTTCTCTAGGTTGGGTCTGTTTTTCAAGGCTTTCACGGGAAAAAGAGGTGGGAATCGAAAATTTTCATATTCTTTATTGCCTGGCGAGTCATATGTTTTTCCCAATTTTTTGCTTTGATTGAATATTTTGGTTTAACTTCTATTTACCATGTTTTTGGTCAAATTAAAGCATACTTTTTACTTTCTTATGAGAAAAGATTCGATTAAAAAGGCAAACCATGCGAAAGTAAGCTTATTCAATGCTAAAATAGATTAAAACTTGTCTAGAACAAGAAAAAAGACATCACCAGCCTTTTTTTAGTTAAATTTAGTTAGGTGGATGTACTTTGTGCTGCTTAAAAGCGGAAACGCATCCCCTTTGGTGCACGGGAGTAACATCTAAAACTAACAGCTTGATTTTACAAATTGAGTGTATTAGGAAGTGTGCGTTTCTGATTTTTGAGCAAAAAGTACACGGTCGAGTCGAAGTTGAGTTCAAAATTAAGCTAAACTTGACAAACTCTTTTCTAGCATCAGTAAGACAAAATTTCTCTCCAAATCACATCACTTTCCCAAAGATTTCTCAAAAAAAAAAACCGTTTTTCAAAAATAAACAAACGAAACGACCAGACAAAGCATTGATCAGTTGAAAACATTCAAATAAACAGGGACACCTTATTGGCTGTTTTCAACTTACTTTTGTCCTTTTTTCAAAACTAAACTGAGCTATTTAAGTTTAAATTTTGTCTTTTTCTTCAAATCTTCAAAAATCGTGTCTTACATTTCCCATTGAGTCCACTTGAGACTCAATTTTGACCCAGATTTTGCTTTTTGAATTGTCAAGTCTTCTAGAATTCTCAGATTATCCAATATCCATGAAAATTCATTTTTGATATCAATCTTGTTTCCTGTTTTGATTCTAATGATAAGTTTGTTCATTCAAGATTGAAATTGCCATTGTCATTGTTAGGACCAAAGAGGAGACTGAGAGTATGAAATGATGGAAACGTTATTCTATGAATTGGATAGTCATGTGATTGGGAAAGCGATGAATCGCCGCCATTCGACAGCATTCAATAATCAGACAACACAAATGGGGAAAATCTTTGATTTCTCGGCAAGAGAAAGGAGTTTCGAAGAGGTGAATGAGTCAAGGCAGCCAGATTTCGACTCCATAGTTTAGCAAGTGAAAAAAACGATTAGTCTGAAGTTTTGTCAAGAAGTTTAGCAGAATTTGGTTCTAGAGTTTACAGTGATGCAAGAGGCTTAAAGTAAAGTGTTAAGAAACATATTCATAGCGAGAAATAACAATGGGTAAAAGGGACCTTAATCTCACAATTGGGGTGTAGAATTTGAGGGAAAGAAAGCAACCAAGGTGATGCTATCGTGGGCTGTTGGCGGCCCCACATCGTGTACTGAAGTTTTGCGCTAAATAGGAGACACATGGGATCAGGGTAATCCGTCTAGAGTGAACAGATTGCGCTCCCTAAGAAAAAGCCTTGCGCTAGATGAGATATAAAGCCAAAAGTTTGTACCCGGGGTTTTTCAGGGTCAGGGAAGCGATTGGCGGGGTCGATTTTGTTGTATCTCTAAGCAAAATCTCTACTTTGTGAGTCAGTCGACTAATTTCTTCTCAAAAAAACATAAATTTCAATATCAAATGATCAATTCAAAACAAGAAAGCAAAACAAAATTCCCAAAAAAATATTCTTTCCTTGATTTTTTTCAAAGTTTCCCTAGGCGACATGTAGACAAATATGGAGAAAAAAAAGGGGGAAATTGGAAAAGAAGAGCGAGAAAAAGATAAAAATGAGTCAGAAGGGGGAAATTTTTGACGCGGGGAAACCCTTCAGAGTTTGTCTCGGGAGTGTCCCTTTTTGATTCTGACTATTGTAGATTTCCTGGTTGATAGCTGAATATTTTTAGCTATTATTTAAAAATATATTTATTTAAATTATTTCCTAATGGACATTCAACCGATTTTCAAGAAAAGGCTCTCCTTTTTGCATAGGAAACTCAGTCGGACGGGGAGCTCGATTACGGTAGATGTTTTGGGTTCGGGTTACGGTAGAGTTAGTGGATTACGGTAGTTGGTTGGATTGGATTACAAGGATATTGGGTACGGTAAGCCTAGTTTGGATTACGGTAGCTTTTTGGAGATATTAGGCTTGATATTGGGGGTTTGGGTTACAGTAGTTGTTATTAGATTGCGGTAGATCTTGGAATTGGATTACGGTAGCCTTTGTCTTACAATAGAATTCGGAAGATATTGGATTACGGTAGCTTTTGAATTTTGGGCTACGGTAGACATTTTGGGGGAAACTTTGTCTTTTGAGGCAAGGCAACTTATGACATTAACTGAATAACTGAATATCTATTTTTATAGGAAAATTTGTTTATTAAAGCTGGCTAATATAAATAGATTCAAATTTCTTTAACATTTCTATAACATTTTTATTTTCAGTTCCGCGAATCTTCGACGGAGAAGACGGGCATCGAAATCTCGGACAGCGATTCGGCTGTCATCGAGAGGGCATCGATTGGTGAGCGTTTTGAGAGATTCTTTTCAATTGATTCATGAAAACAAAACAAAAAACTTGATTTTCAAATTAAATATTTGAAAATCGAGTTTAAAAAAGACTTTTCACCAATCGAATCTTCAGAAAAAGTTTTCGAGCACAATTTAAACGAATACTTTTCGGGTAAAGGGGGAGATAAAGCCAATGAAATTTGCCAAAGAAATTTGCCAATGAAATTCTCGTACTTTGTTATAAAGCTGAAAATTCGCTTAAATTGTGTTATGCAAGTATGTGAAAGTTGGTTTTTAATCGGAAAAAAGTACTGTATTTTTCTATGTATGTTATTAAAATTTAATTTTAGGTTCAAATCACTCAACAGAAAGCTCGAGCGTACCGAAAGAGCAAAGCAAGCTCGGGCAATTGATCGATAAGGCGAAGAAGAAATTGGGCGAGAAGAAAAAAGAGCCAACACCCGGTGAGAGTTATCTTTTGAGGGTTTCAAATAGCAGCTCTTTAATTAGTACGAGTTTATACAAGTTTTTAGAATTTTCTGATGGTGATAATATATATTTGATTAAGAATTTTAGCTATTATAATCGAGTGTTTTGTTTTTTTAGTTTATTTAAAGTTGTCGTAAATACTGTAATAGTACCCCATCCCCATAATGACGGTGCGGAGTGTTGCGTAGTCTAGCTTTGAACGAGTTTTTCTCGACACTGGTTTAAGCTATAATGCGCGCTTAGGTATCAAAAAATAGCCCTGAATTTCAGCTATTTTTTGATACCAAAGACGGAGCATCGCGTAGTCTAACTTTAAACGCATTTTTCTCGTCATCCTTTTATAATGACGACCGGAGCATCGCGTAGTCTAGCTTTGAACGAGTTTTTCTCGATACTGGTTTATGCTACAATGCGCGTTTTGGTTTCAAAAAATAGCCCTGAATTTCAGCTTTTTTTTGATACCAAAGACACATTTTTTGAAAGTACGGGCGCTTTGAAAAAAATGAAATACTAAAAAACTTTTGCGACTACGCGACTTTACGAGGGCGCTGGGGTACTATTACAGTATTTATGCAATTTCTCGTTTCATTTATTTATATTTAAATGAATAAGTTGAAGGGTTAGCTTAAGTTTAAAGTGTTGAACTTTTAATTCATTGTTTCTACACTTTAGTTAATGTAGTATCCCGAGGTTGTATCCGTTTTCGATTTTTATCCGATTCTTATCCGATTCTTACTAGATTTTGTATACAATTTCGATTGAAACATTATTGCACAGTATGTTTTTTTAAATGTTTTTAATCATTTTCTAGAAATTTCATAGAAGTTTAACTCTGGCAACTTAGAACAGCCCGTTAGCACCACATTTTGCTGAAAAAAAAGGCTTTCTTGCATTGAATCCAAAGCAAAACATATCAAAACGTGTAAATAAACTATTTTTTTGCAGCAAAATGTGGTGCTAACGGGCTGTTCTAAGTTGCCAGCGTTAACTAACTTCTATGAAATTTCTAGAAAATGATTAAAAGCATTTAAAAAACATGATACAATGATGTGGAATAATGTTTCAATCGAAATCTAAATCTAATCGAATAAAAATCCAAATCGGATACAACATGCACATTGTATTTTTCCATTCAATCTTGTTCTTGTTTAGATCTAATCGATGAGGCTTCACAGTGTGTTCTACTGGAGGTGACGACTGAAACGCAACGGGCACCCACTCCGAAGCCTGAGGTATGCTATGACTTATATTAGTTGATATAATGAGTATTATCTATTAGGTTATTAAGTATTATTTATTAGATTACTAGTATTATCTATTAGGTTATTAAGTATTATCTATTAGATTACTGGTATTATCTATTAGATTACTGGTATTATCTATTAGGTTGGCCGATAAGTCTTTGAACATTTCATTTGAAAAGCTATTTAGAAATAAAGAATTCACCGATTTACCTACGGTTTGATCCATTAGGAAGGTCTACTATTTTTCTAGAAAATAGCGTTTAAATTTTATGAAAATGTTTTGTCTCGGGTTTTTTTATGAGCGCGCGAGGTCGGGTAGACGAAGACGAAGAGCCCGAAGACGCAATTTAGACGCTTTGGTCCACAGAAACCTATCTTGATGTCAATAGATAAAAGATAGAGCATAAAAAGTTAGGTAAATAGTTAAATTTTCAGTATAATCTGTGCAATCGATTTCTTTGTAGAGCTTTTAATCGAATTTTAAAGAAAAAAAATGAGTTTATGCACTCGAATTTGCTTGGAAATTTGTCTAAATTTTCTTAAAAAGATGAAAAAATGAATGATAAACATTTTCTATTTGAAGGAAATCGTATGGGTAATTGCTGAATTTGTTATTTATAAACGCTAGTAGAGAAAAAGTGTCTAAAGACGATCGGCAAACCTAATATTATCAGTTTTGAATAGTATATAACCATCAAAAAGCCTCACAGGCAAAAGTTTCACGTTTTGTCAGGATTGTTTAAATTTTTGGATCCCAAAAAAATACCCATTGAAAACTTTAGCTTAAGCTTAGGCTTCTTTCCAGAAAGTAGAAAAAATTTAACAAAGCAAAAGCTGTACTTATATTATATTTGCAGCTGGAATCATCATCGGATCCCTTCGCCGTCTCATCACTCGGTCGTCATTGTCGATCGATGCCTTTCTTTCATCAGCGACTCTTCTTTTTGGGTATCCTCATCGCGATCACTTGCGCTTTTCCAGGTTATTCATTAAAATATTATATCTAGATTTGTTAATATTTAGATATTTATACTATTCTTAATATTCTAAGAGCTCAGACTTGCAACAGGTTTGAAACAGCAGCCATAGTTACGGTACTCCTTACTTACTCCTAACTTCTTACTTACTTCTAGTACGGGCCTCTACACTTAACAAGGCGGTTTTGTAAAGAGTAGATAGATTTTAGATAGATAAAATAGTTATCAAATCTTGGTGAATCAAAATTTCAATCGTTTTCAGGTTTTTTGACGGGTCTTCTTTGGGGAATCTACATATCTTTCATCGGTTTTCTCTACTTTTTTGTCTCCGATCCGCATCCAAAAAAACATCGAGATCCCGTTGTTGAGGTATTGAAAATATTCAAAAAAAAATATTAAACACTTATTTACAGGAATTTTCCGATGTCGAGATCGCTGAAGAGGCACATGAGGCGCTGGACACAAGTGGACTAGGGGAAGGGGTTGTTTACAAGGTAAAACTATCTTTGAACTCTATATTTAGATCAAGCTTTAAGCTAATACTGTAAGCTAAAGAGTATTAAACAAGTCTTAAACCAATTCTTCAGGGTTGGCTAAACGAGTTGCGGTCGCGGTACCATCCGGCCAGCTATCACGTCAACAACACGCAATCGGTGCTCGTGAGATTGGAGAGTGGGTTTGAATTGAAAATACTAACAAGGAGAATGGATGGAGTCAGAGTTTTTTTGAACTTTCACTTCATCGTACCCAATTTGAGCTGCATAATTTGAATCTGAATTTGAATCTGTATTAGTTTTTGCTCAATCCTTTGCAATCGCAAAAAATATCACAAAAATCGCAAAATCAGGTAGAACGGAAATTTGTCCGGACCTTCATAAGGCGAATTTAAGCTGCTTCCACAGATTGCTCGTTGTCTGGCTGGTAAGTCGCTACGCTGCGGCGCGAGCAAGTCCCGCAATTCACGGGTTCAAGTCCCGCACTCGGATTTTCTTTGCTGTTTTAGTTCTAGTAAATCTAGTAAGCTTTATCATTTTTAGACTCAACTCTCCGCATCTCGAGACCGGCGAAATCTGTGCTGAAGCACGCTTTTCACACGGATCCAACTCTCACTCAGCCAATGCCCACAATGACCGCTCAAACGATTTATGATCTTACCGATGCAAAGGTTGTATTTCAGCTTTATTAAGGGTAAGGGCGGGGGTAAAAATTGCAGTCAGAACCTGTCAGAACGCACGTTCATGGCTGGGGAAAGGCAAAAGCCAAGGCTAGCTAGTCAAAGCCTTGGACTCGCTTGGTTTGATTGGGTCTCAGTCCACTTTCTATGCAAGTGAAAAAGGTTCGAAAGTTAGTGCACTGAGAAACATAGTAGAGCTTTGGGTTCTCCCGAAGGCAGTGCTTTGAGTGGCTAAGTTTTAAATAAATTTTGGGTAAATAATCAGTTCACAATGTTCTTTGTTAGTTACAAGATGTTATCCATTTCGAATTTTCCAGATTTCCCTGCGTCCGCGTCGTTTGGCGGCTCGTCGCTGGTGGTCGCGGAAATATCCGATTCAGATTCGTTTCTCGCATCGCGGATCCGCGCTGGCCGAAGTCGATTTGATGAGAACCGGGATGAGCAGGTAAACGATAGAAAAGATTGCCTAAGCATGGAGTTAAAAGTGAATTTACATTTGAAAAATTGAACTTTATAAGAGGCTGTTAACTTATAAAGAAGATAAGTTTGTTGTATAAAGTTTTAAAGTTTTATAATAATCGTACTGTACCCACTTTTCGACTTTAGCGTCTCTTTTGATGACTCGGAGTTACGGTAGGGATGAGTAAAAAGAATATAAATATTGTGACTATCAGTGACTTTTTCATAAAGCATGATTTATTTCGGGTTTATCATTTTCAGTGTTCTTTCTACAATTCACATGGAAAGAGATCGTTTGAAAAAAGGAAACAAAAGGAAAAGAGCTTTTTCTGAGAATCAGTAAGGAATTTGGAAATTTGGAAAAGAAAAATGATGGTTTTTGAGTCTCGATAACAGGAATGTTATGTAAAATTTACTCATAGTACAGATCTAAATGAGTTACTTTATGTTGTCGAGATCGTAACCAGATTTCTATCGTAACCAGATTTTCATTTCGGAAGCTAACAAAACTAACGGGCGTTTTCTGTTAGCTAGATCGGCTTGATTCTTTCTCTGTTTGAAGACTTTTTGATGTACTTTGTGCTAAAATGTAAACGCATCCTTGCCGGAGTATCGAATTCTCCATTTCCTCGTTTTTTTTGAGGGGAAATCGAGAAATCTTTGCGCTAGATAGGCTACGTTTTGAGCACAAAGTACAAGGAAGTCTCTGTTCTCATTTTCAAATCTTTAGATCAGCATCAATGCATCAGAACGCGAATTCGAGGAACGAGCTTCCACTCCCGCCCGGCACTCTTTCAGAGATCTTTCCAGGTAAGAGAATTTGTTACTTTAAAGCTTATAGAGATATCTAATATAGATATCTATATATTTAAAACAAAAAAACAAAAAACTTAATCCAAGATAAACCTTAAACTTTCAGCCTCAGCCCTCGAAGATTCAACATATGACGCTGAATCGGACTCGAGCTCGGATGAAAGCGGTAAGTATTATGTGAATCAAATTTTAAATAATTAATTTTTATCTATAGAATAGAATTTATTAATATGAAATGAGTTTAAATGAAAAGATTTTCATACAAAGTACTTTTTTATGTTTTTAAACGATCAAAAGCGTCGAAACGCTTTGACCATACAATCAGTGATCTTGAGCTCGAAATTTTGCATACAGATCGATGATTACTAGAGAATTAATTACTAGATAACTAGATAATTATCTTTTAAAATCATTAATCCCCGAAATTCTCTTTAGAAATCCAATCCTCATCCGCTGCGGTTCTTCGCTCGAGTTCGGCCGGTGATTTGAGCGAATTCTCGTCGAAATCGAAGGGATGTAGCAATAAAAATAAGGTAATAAAATACAAAAAAAGATTGTTTAAGCTTGTTTAACCTTGTTTAGGCTTGTTTTTAAATGGTAATTTGTTTTATTTTTGAATTTATTAAAAAAAAATGGTTTAGGGTCGCTCGATCTACTTGTTCTTCCGAGCTGCACGCGAAAAAGAGCGATGGTTTCATTTGTGAGTGATTTGAAGACAGAAAATTTGATATATTGATAAGTCGATATCTTATTAATATGCAAATTTATATCTATCTTATTAATATGCAAATTTTAGACTACGCGAAGCTTGCAGTAAAGCACGAAAGGTCACCAATCCGACGCTCTCACCAAAAAGGTTTTTTTTTGGAAAAATTTTTATTTTTTTTTTTGGGTGGTTTGTTTTTTGGTTTGTTGGTTGGTTGGTTGTTTGGTTGGTTGGTTGTTTGGTGGTGGGGTTTGGGTTGTGGGTTGGTGGATGGGTGGATTGGGTGGTGGGTGTGGGTTGGTGGGTGGGTGGGGGGGTGCTGGTGCTGGTACCGATAGCAAAAGGCTTGGGTTGCTGGATAGACTGGTAGCTGGATAGCTGGATAGCTGGATAGCTGGATAGCTGGATAGCTGGATAGCTGGATAGCTGGATAGCTGGATAGCTTTGGATATACTTTGAATTGGATAGCTTTGAACTGTAGAAAAATAATTTTGCAGAGAAATGATTGGCTTTTCTAATAAAATAAACCGTAGTTTAATTAGTGCTCTTTTTGATTTTAAACGAAAAGACTTTCTTAGCCTAATACTTAGCTTGGCACACTATACTGACTACTTATTGATATAGAAAACTATTTGCGAAATCAATTCCAAATCGATTTAAAGCTTATATAGTATTTCATTTTTCAGGTTGGCAGTGTGCCGGGCGGGTTGAACACTTTGGAAGAGGAGCCATCATCGACGACCACCGGACTAGAGCACGAGTTCATGCTCTACAAAATCAATCACATTCAGTTTGCGAAGTAAGCGTTAACCTAAGACTTAGAACTTTGGCTTTGGCCTGGTCCGGTCTAGAGTCAACCATGTGTAATTACTCAAAATTAATAGACTTGCTTGGCTAGGCTCGACTTAGTTTGACTTTACTTATCAAATTGTTCTCTAAGTAAGAAGTAATACAAAACCATGCTAGTCAAGGCTTTTTCTTAGCTTTGACTCGAATTTAGCTCAACCCAAGGAACTTATCGAGATTTATAATAGATTTACACTTTCCAGACAACTTCTCGGAGTGATGGTCGGTCCGATGACTTCACCAGAACCCGGCTCAACTGTTTCCGTTGATCTTGGTAGCATGAAGTGAGTCTTAAAATTTGAAATTTAGTAATCTTACCGTAAATCTAACATTTTACATTCAGATGGCGCCAATCGACCCCAGAAAACAACTCGGAATTAGTCTCCTCCGTTCATGCAATCGCCTCGCGAATCTTCTTCGACTTTTGTCGAGACAAATATTGGAGTAAATGTGTGAAAGAGAAGATTCAGGCAAAGATCTCAACTGTGCATGTGAGGAAAGGATATAGATTTGTTAAAAGTTCAACTTTTAGTTACCGTATTTCATCGAAAAGTTGGAGTTAAGCGAGTTGGATTTGGGCACGAATACACCATCAATCGTCGGTGTTTACTCACCGAAAATGGACGAATGGGGATTGTGGGTGGATTTCGAGGTAAGCTTTTAGAGAAATAGCAGAAAAATAGGCTTTGACTGGCTTTGACTGGCTTTGACTTTGGCTCAAAATTGCCTAGTGACAATAGTAAAGGAAATAGGCAAGCAATTCACACATGTTCTCTGAATCACTACCATCCATATCAAGAGTCACACGGTCTAAATCATTATTTTAATGAACAAGTTTCAGCTCCGATACAAGGGTAGCATTCGGCTGGTTTTGCAAACGTCGGTGAATCTCTTGAAGCTGCACAGTGGACATCAGCAAGTCGAGACAGCGAGAAAGGTCAGAGATCTAACAAGACGATAAAACTTCAAAAGTATACAACAAGAAATGAAAAGGAATGAAAAGACTTTCTGAACAGCCTAATAACTTCTTTCTTTCTTGTTTTCCCTTCTTTCTCTTGAAAAAGTAAGAGTCCAGATAGAGCCAGATAGTCCAGATAAGTAGAGTAATGGCTCGGTAAGCGAAAGGTCGAGGGTTCAATCCCCTCTCTGGAATCAAATTTTCTTTATTATAGCAAAATTCGCTGGAGAATATCTAGAGAATGGGGATTAACGGGATTAATGTAGGCAGAGTCGGGAATGGGACAAGAGATACGTTCTTGTAGTTGAGCTGAATAGATACCTTGGTCATCTGAGCCTTTATATCTTAGGCGACAAAATTCCCGTACTTTCAGGTGTCTCGATGGACAGATTCTGTGCGCGTCTCTAATCACTCGGATCCGGATCTCCCCGAGTCTCCGGAAAGCAGTCCCGATGAGGATTTCGGATCGAACAATGCGGAAATGTAATTTTATCTAAGCAAATCAATAATATTATTTTCAAAATAGATATTTAGATAATATGATTGAAATCTTTCAGTTCAACCAAAGAGCGAACCGGGAAGAAAATCCTTTCGATCGTTGAGCGCGCCGCGCAAAGTTCACTTGTGCAAAAAGTGGTCAAGTTGAAGAAAGTGGAAAAGGTAGAAAATTATATAAACATATTTATTCAGCAATTTATATATAAATCTATAAAAAAATACTTGAAATTTAGCTGATGAAAGAAGTCTCGTCGACTCCATTGATCCTCAATGTTTCGGTTGAGGTTGTTGAGGGGACGATGACCATCAATTTGCCTCCACCGCCATCAGATCGATTGTGGTTTGTTTTAAGAATAGATTACTGTAATATTATTACTATAATATTATTACTATTGAAAATCTAGGTATGCTTTCCGTAAACCACCAACACTCAACATCAAAGCCGTGCCACAAGTCGGTGATCGATCGGTTGACATGACGACTGTATCGGATTGGATTGAGGCAAAGCTGAGACTGCTTGTTGAGAAGAATTTGGTGAGGTTTTTGAAATCTTAAAGAAACTTGGAACGACTTATAAGAAAAAAAAAGATCTTGCTAATCATTTACATCCCAGATATCAAAAAAAGCTATTGTAAGAAGAACTTTCTTAAATTTCATCATTTCAGTGTTCCGATTCTAGTCTATTTTAACTGATTCATTGCTCTAGTCTATTTTAAATCTATTTCAACTGATCTTTGCTAATCATTTACATCCCAGATATCACAGTGTAGCTTTTTAAGAAGAACTTTCTTAAATTTCATCATTTCAGTTTTTCTAGTTCTAGTCTAGTTTCTCGATTCTAGTCTAGTTTAACTGATTCATTTCTATTGTTCTATTCATTTCTTTAACTGATTCATTTCTTTCTTTCTATTTCATTTTCTATTTCTATTAGCCAGATAAGCTTCTATTAGCTTTCTATTAGCCAGATTCTAAAGCTTTCTATTAGCCAGATAAAGCTCGTAATCCTAGGAAGACGATAGCCTTTTCTAGAGAAAATGAACAATAGAACAAACAATCTTTGATCAGCTGAAGATCAATACTTCAGCTGATCAAAGTAATTGAAATCATAAAAACATAGTAAGTAAGCACAGTGTTGACTAAGAAAGATTTATCATATAGATCAAGATCAAAATTAAAACAAAATTCATAAATTTCCTGCTTAGGTTTGCCCAAACATGGACGATATCATTTTGCCGGTGATGTCTGGGAATGCTCTTCTCCATATGGGATACAATAAATAATGTTGTATATAGATAAATGAATATCGAATTGAATCTCTAATCGAACCTCTAATCTTTGCTTTATCCATCACACTTTACGACACTTTCCTTTGTACGGGTCTTTATCTTTAGGGTCTCTAGGGTACTTTGAAGTATTACCAATCCAACATCTATTCTCCTTTTCTCTAATCTCTAACATTCTGATCATTGACTAGTGAAATTTTACTCACTTTTTAGAGCTATAACTAATTTTTAAGCGTTTAGCTTTTAGCTTTTAGTTTTATAAAAGTCTCTTTTTACTTACCCTAGTCATTTCCCGGTTCGATTCGTTTCTAAAACAATCAAGTGCTTTAATGTTAACAAATCAGGGTTTTAAAAGCTTCTTTTTTTTTGCAAAATTTTGTGATTTCACTCTTCACTTTATATTTGAATTGATAATGTTGTTTAAGGAATAAAATTCTTTAATTCTTTTACTTTTTTTCAGCACTTTCACATCGACAAGAAGAGATGCAGAATACCGCAAACCGCAAATTTGACCGCTTTACTTCTGAGGGTCTAGCTCAGCGAGAACTCAATGAATTCGTGTGAAATTTTTGGAGGTGATTTTCAAGGATCTCTCCAGTAGGCAAGCTCATTTTCTAACTGATTGATGCTTTGAGAATCTTTATATGTTCTTGTAAAGTTGAGAGTCCCGGTAGATTTGGCGAAAAACCAAATTTAAGGTTTTTGAAACCAAATTTAAGGTTTTTGAGAGTCGTGTTTTTGCAGTTATTTAATGAGCATGTTTATGTTTAAGACAAAAAAAGACAAGTAGATTAAACACTTCATCGAAATTCGATTTTCTTTAGTTGAATTTGATTAAACTGTGCCTTCGGAACAAAATTTGCTCAAGGAGCTCACTCAAAAACTAGAGAAAAAGCTGTCAGACAGTACATTCAGCCACAGTACAGTCAGCCAGAGTACAGTCAGCCAGAGTACAGTCAGCCAGAGTACAGTCAGCCAGAGTACAGTCAGCCAGAGTACAGTCAGCCAGAGTACAGTCAGCCAGAGTACAGTCAGCCAGAGTACAGTCAGCCAGAGTACAGTCGGCCAGAGTACAGTCAGACAGTCACCCGTACAAACAGACACTTCTCTTTTATATATAGCAAATCTATCAGCTTAGAGAATAAATCAATTAAAATCCATGGATCTATTCAGCCAAAATCCAAAGTCCTTTCCCCAATTAGCATCGATTTGATGAGTTCATTCACGTGACAGTCACCCGTACAAACAGACACTTCTCTTTTAGATATAGTAAATCTATCAGCCTAGTAAATCTATCAGCGTAAATCTAAATCAATTCAAATCCATGGGATCTATTCAGCCAAAATCCAAAGTCCGTTCCCCAATTAGCATCGATTTGATGAGTTCATTCACGTGAAAATCAGGAAATCCCTTTTTCAAAAGGGGAAATCTTATGAGAAATCACTTTTTTTGTGTGTCATTTCCCCATTTTCAGTGTGTCAAAATGCAAATCTTCTTTTGTGGTTTGATTTCTCAAGAGAGAGAGAGAAAGAGGAGCTCAAGAAGGGTGATTGACCTGTTTTCCATTGTGCTCGAATCCTTTGCCCGCATTTTCAACCTGAGATCTTTTCCATACTGTTCCTAAAATAAACTAAACTAAAATGCCTATGTTCTCAACGATTCATCTCTTTTCTACAAAATATATCTTTCTGCCGTTTATTGTCAAGTTTTTGAATGGAATCGTTGGAAAGTCGAATGAGGTGAGGGTTTTGTAGAAACCTGAGCTTTGGTTTCGATTTGACGAAGCAAGGCTTTTTGAAACAGCACTACTTACAAGGGAAAATCAACTGGTTCTGATAATGTTGTCGGTTCTGATAATGTTGTCGGTTCTGGTAATGTTGTCGGTTCTGATAATGTTGTCGACTTATCAGCTATGTTTGTAGGATCGAAGCTCAAAATCAAAGTTCATAGAAAACTCAGCTTCAAATGAGAACTGTTTTCACACATAGTTTCGGTTTTCGCTCGGTTTCGATTTGCCGAAGCAAAGCTTTTTCAAATAGCACTACTTACAAGGGAAACTGGCTGAGCCAGCCAAATGCTGTGCGACCTATACCATTCAACGCAGAATTTTATGCTGCTTCCGAATATCTATTCCGTTTTTGCTAAATGACAATCTGACAGGAGTTATAAGCATGTGGGCTGTAGACAAGCGAATTGCCGAGTCGGGAGTCTGTACCAATCGGCCACGGTCGCCCCGAATTTCGACCGCTAGGAGGAGACCCAAATGATCACATTTTCAGAGTCCTAGAACTAGATAGGAACTATAAAGGAATTCTAGGTCTTGTTAGGACTCTGAAAATGTGATCATTTGGGTCTCCTCCTAGCGGTCGAAATTCGGGGCGGCCGTGGCCGATTGGTACAGGCTCCCGACTCGGGGATTCGCTTGTCTACAGCCCACACGCTTATAACTCTTGGCAGATTGTCATTTAGCAAATTCGCTTGTCTACAGCCCACACGATCCGGGTTCGACTCCCGGCTGTGTCGTGACTTTTGCTTTTTAAAAAACGAAATATGAGATATGAGAGTTGTGCAACTACATAGAATTCTAAGCCTAGCAAACAAAATGAGGAAAAAGGAGAATGTTAAACAAGAAAAGAAAAGCCCCCGCGACCATGGGGCCTGAATGCGGCACTTTTCCGAGGTAGAACGCATGATAGTCGGCCTCCGTGTAAGAAGGGCTAAAGTTAATGATCCCCCCCGTAAATCGGTGAACGGGGAGCCGAAAACGGACAGACAGATGGACAGACGCTTTCCTTTTATATATACAGTTGACTCTCGATTTAACGATTCGTCTCCCAAATTACTTGCGTAGCTGCCCTAAACGGCCAACGATTGCGTTTGGCTGGGCAGCTACGCAGAAACCAAGGGGTTATTTTAGATCGTTGTATCGAGAGTCGACTGTAGTAGATGCAGATTTAGAAAATCAAAATCGTTCTATCGAGAGTCAACTGTAGTAGATGCAGATTTAGACCCTCGATCTCATCATACCGACTCTTCAATTTAAAAAGAGATTTGGCGGGCAGAAAGTCGACAACAATAATGAGTGAGTTTAGAATTTTACAGAGTTTACAGAGTTTATAGAGTTTTTCAATCGTTTTCAATCGTTTCCAAGGTTTTGCAAGCTAAAGACTATCTCTGGGTAGTCAATTGTAACGTTTTTTTCTTCTCTCAGAGAGTTTACCGAGCCAATCACTTTGCTTATCGAGAACCCGATTCGTTTCTGTTTTTTGATGCTATTGGATCCAAAGCTTGGACTGGGAGAGGCATTTATGGATGGACATTGGAGAGCCGAGCCTGGACCCACCGAATTCCTCAAATTGTTGATCAGAGCAAAGAGTGGGTAAATGAAAGAGTTCAAAGTACTTTGTGCTCAAAAAAAAGAAACACACGCTTTCTAACGCAAAGTGAAAGGGTTTTGTATGCTGGAGAGAGTTTGTGTTTCCATTTTTTGACGCAAAAAGTCTTTTAGGGTAAAGATTAAAGATATTCAGGTATTCAGCTTAAAGATATTCAGCTATTCAGCCGTTCAGCTTAAAGATATTAAGCATTCGGTTTAAAGATATCCAGCTATCCAGCTATACAGCTATCCAGCTATCCAGCTATACAGCTATCCAGCTATACAGCTATCCAGCTATACAGCTATCCAGCTATACAGCTATCCAGCCATACAGCTATACATCTATCCAGCTATCCAGCTATACAGCTATACAGCTATCCAGCTATCCAGCTATACAGCTTAAAGATATCCAGCTATCCAGCTATTCAGCTTAAAAATCGAATCCAAATATTTTCAGAAATCAGAAATCAAGAAAAAGATTCAAAACGACGAAAAACTCAGATGAAAATCTTGATTTCTAAAGTCTTTCAACTTCTGCTAAACGGTTTACGGTATATTTATTGAAAATTTCCCATTTACCAGTAAATTTTCGGAAGTTTTGGTCAATAATCAACTATTGTCAGCATAAAATTCGAGAGAATACCCTTCTACAAAGTGCACGAAATATAAAAGGTGGACTTTTGTCTAGAATCTTGAGTATTTTTTTATGAAAATAGATCACTACGATCTCGGGAATGATATGTTTGAATTGTTTCTCGATGAATCGATGACATATTCGTGTGCGCTTTTCGAGGTACAGTTACAAAGATTTTTCGCAGTTCTTTTTGCTCTGAAAAACCCACCGTAAATACTGTAATAGTACCCCACTCCCCTCGTACAGGCGCGTAGTCGCAAAAGTTTTTTAGTATTTCATTTTTTTCAAAGCGCCTGTGCTTTCAAAAAATGCGTCTTTTGTATGAAAAAATAGCTGAAATTCAGGGCTATTTTTTGATACCAAAGATAATGACGGTGCGGAGTGTTGCGTAGTCTAGCCTTGAACGCGTTTTTCTCGACACTGGTTTAAGCTACAATGCGCGTTTAGATATCAAAAAATAGCTGAAATTCAGGGCTATTTTTTGAAACCAAAACGAACATTATAGCTTAAACCAGTGTCGAGAAAAACTCGTTCAAAGCTAGACTACGCAACACTCCGCACCGTCATTATGGGGGTGGGGCTACTATTACAGTATTTACGGCATGTTCTCTAATGCATGCCTTTTTCTGGAACGTACTCCTACGTACTTTGTGCTCTGACAAACGCATTTTCTCTAAGTCCTATTCTTTTTGTGCCAGTTTAATTACCCAAGTCGACCCAATCTCAGCTCAATAAGCAAAAAATCGCTTCTCAACTGTACTTTGTGCTCCAACAAATGCACATTTTCTATCATTAGCTATTCTATTATATTGCTAAAATGTTAGTGATAAAGTGCCAGAAGAAATGCGTTTATTGGGACACAAAGTACCACCAAAAGTTTACTTTCCAATCAGAACGATTTTCAGAACGCAGAAAGCCAAATGGACTACAATGTTGATTGTCTTAAAGAGGCTCAAGAAAGAAAGGTCCGTTGGAGTTGTAGTGAAGCTAAAAACTGTAATATCTTGTCAAAATATTAGATAGATTAGTAAGTAAAGTTGTGTGAGGCAAACTATCAAAAAAAAGAAAACACGAGAAGGTTTCGAACAGAAAATAAGTGATAATCGGAAGGTGCAAGATCAGAACTGAAAGGAAAAAAGTGAAGGAGAAGTTTCTAGGTTGTTTTTGGTCTTAAAAAATTTCATAAATGAGTATGAGTTCGAGGGAAATTTGGCTCGCAAGTTTGAAAGGCTTCAATCGATTAGATAATAGACTAGATGATCGATTAGATAATAGAATGGATAATAGATTAGATAATAGAATAGATAATAGAATAGATAATAGAATAGATAATAGAATAGATAATAGAATAGATAATAGAATAGATAATAGAATAGATAATAGACTAGATAATAGACTAGATAATAGACTAGATAATAGACTAGATGATCGATTAGATAATAGATTAGATAATAGACTAGATGATCGATTAGATAATAGATTAGATAATAGACTAGATGATCGATTAGATAATAGATTAGATAATAGACTAGATGATCGATTAGATAATAGAATGGATAATAAGATTAGATAATAGACTAGATGATCGATTAGATAATAGAATAGATAATAGAATAGATAATAGATTAGATAATCGATTAGGGGATATACTTAAGATATATCTCCAAAAAAAATCACAACGATTCACCAAGTTTTCCAAAAAACGGAATTCAAAAACGCAAAATCACTTGCTCCCTAATCAATATCGATATAAATCTTCAAGTTACTGTCTCAAAATTTCTAGTTAGACATGTTAATCGATCGTTTGAAGCTCTCGGAAAACGATCACGTTTTGGAGATCGGCTGTGGCTGGGGATCGTGTGCGATTAGGGCTGTTAAAAGGTAGACATTTTTTCTTTTTTTGACATCATATGACTTATTCTCATTTCAGATATGGCTGTAAGTGGACTGGATTGACAATCTCAAAAGAACAACTAGCTTGGGCTCAACGAAAGGTATTTGATTTTCGAAATTCCAAACAGCGACTCGGGTTTGTTGACTAAAGCATGCCAGCTACTGTAGCCTAACATATCTTTCTAGCTATCTGGATTACTGTAACATTTGGATTGGCTACGGTAGCTGAGTCATGCTCGTATTCAAATCAACGTTAGGAAATGTTTTTGCTTTTTTTCATCTTTTAAATAGGTTCAAGAAGCTGGATTATCTCATCTAATCGATTTGAAATATTTGGATTACAGGTTTTTGACAGTTTTTGACAGTTTTTCTATATGAAAACAAGAAGATTTTAGATTAGAGCAAGGTGTTTACTCGAAAGTGATCTCAATCGAAATGATCGAAGCTGTTGGGGAGAAATATTTGCCGGAATACTTTCAAGTTATCAACGATCGATTGGAAAGTGGAGGGAAAGCGGTGCTACAAGTGAGAGAAATTTGAGGAGATTAGAAGAGTTAGAACATTAGAAGAGTTACAACATTAGAACAGTTAGAACATTAGAAGCTTTTCGAAAATAGAAACACTTCTTGTGCTAGTCTTTTGCTTAAGTCAAAAGTCTTAAAGTAGAGAAAAAGAGAAAAGTACGACAAAAGTTTACACAAATTGAAGTTCTCGTTAAGCTAAGTCAACCTTTGTAAAGTAACCTTTGTAGAGTAAAGCATTGACTGCGCTAGAGATGATTTATTTGAGAGATTGTGCACAAAGTAAACTTCAAAGAGTTTGCTAGAGTTTAAACGATCTTTTAGGCTATCATTTGCCCTGACTCTTACTATGATCGTTATTGTAAAAGCTCGGATTTCATTCGGAAGCATATTTTCCCAGGAGGTATGTTTAAATCAAAATTATTTGCATTACGAGAGAAACAAATGGAAAGAAAACAAAAGAAAACAAAAGAAACAAAACAAAAGAAAAAAACAAAAACAAAAATAAACAAAAGAAATAAACAAATGAAATAAACAAAAGAAATAAACAAATGAAATGGACAAATAGGATTACGATTAAAGGTCCACGCTTTAGAAAACAAGTTAACAAATAAATAATCTGGGAAATGATTTCAAACAACTATTCCCAACAATACAGTCTTGAGCTGAAAGCTGGACTTTAAAGCTGAAAGCTGTTAAAGCTTTTAAAGCTTTTCTAGTAATAGTCAGATACCGTATAGTCTAATAGTAGTGCACCCTCGTCGCCGCCTAAATTGCTCGAAATCTCGAGAACCGCTTATCAGAACCTATCGATGTGGGATCGGAAAATGTAGCTGACAATGAGATCTAGTGGGGGATTAAAGTGTTGAGTCTCTGCGAAAGCTTGGAAACTGTAAAATAGTCATCAACTCGGCTACAAATCTACCGTAACAAATCCAACAAAGCTTAAAGAAGTTGGTAACTAACTAAAGTAAACTAAAGGAGAAGCTGATCTCAAAGAAGCTAATCCCTAATACTAGTCCATAAGCTTGCCTAAATTGCTCGAAATCTCGAGAACCGCTTATCAGAACTTATCGATGTGGGGTCGGAAAATGTAGCTGACAATGAGATCTAGTGGGGGATTTGAGTGTTGAGCTTCTGCGAAAGCTTGGAAACTGTAAAATAGTCATCAACTCAGCTCTACTACTATTAGAGGAAATACGGTAAGCCAATCAGCACACGATAACATTTTGTAAAAACTCAAAGCCCAGATAGTATTAAAATATAACACAAATTTAGGCCATCTCCCTTCTCTGAATCACATTCAGCGCTGTTTACCTGATGGTGTCGATTTGTGTGAAGAGATCACTTCGATTGGGCTTCACTATGCAAAAACGTTAGATTATTGGCTGAAGTTAGTTTTTATTGAACAGAGATAATCAAAGAAATGAAAGCTTTTTAAAAATGTCCAAAATTTCAGTGCTTGGTGTGAAAAAGAATCGCAAATTCTCGATCTGAACTACTCGGCGACATTCCACCGGAAATGGCAATTCTATTTTGCTTTGTGTTCTTCCCTTTTCTCATACAATCATATTAATGTTATTCAGTTTTCTCTTCAAAAATGATTTTAAGCTTTTTATCGGGTTACTATTTATTGATGTTTTTTATAATTCGGATAAAATTCTCGGTTTTTCGACACCAAGACGCTCAGCGAGATCATTCTGAAAAAAAAAACAAATTAAAACTTAAAAGTTGAGCTTGAATTGAGCTTGAAAACTACTGGAAACTTATTCTTTTAAAGATACCGCAAATTTTATCTGATTTGGATGATATGGAATGCCACCCAGACGATCGCAGAGTACTGTATGTCTCCTCTCAACATCACCAGCCACTTCCACCGAGTTCCCGACTTCAGCCTTGAATTGTAGATAAATTTAGAGATGCTTACAGATAATGCTTTACAACACAACAACATATTATTCATATTATTCATATTATTCATATCCTTATAGCTTATTATAGCTTATTATAGGTTAATTTAATGATTTATATGGGTTCCCCATACCATAGATCAAACGATCCATAGATTGCTAGATCAAACGATCCAATCAATAATGTTGAGTTGAATCAACGACAACAACAATCAAAATCATCTTTTTTTCATAACTTTCAACTCATCATAACTTTTGAAACATACGCTAACCTTCCGTTTCCTCTAAAAGCCCCCACAGTTTCTTTTTTAAGTCGAGTTATTAAATTCTGGAACATTTTACCATTTCAGAATTAAATTCTGAAACATTTTACCACTTCAGAATTAAATTCTGGAACATTTTACCCCCTCATGTTCGTGATATTTCCACCTTGGCTAGATTTAAAGCCGCAATTTCGGCAATTGATTTGATGGGTGTGTTTTGAGTGCAATTGATGGGTGTGTTTTGAGTGGTGTCCCGGGTAATTATTGTGATTTTGTTTTGTCGCTATTCAACTGAATAAAGCATATATATGCTTTACAACACTTTCATATTATTCATATTTCCTTACAGCTTATTATAGGTATTTATAGGTTAAATTAATGATTTCTATGGGTTTCCCCATACCATTGCTAGATCAAACGATCCAATCAATAATGTTGAGTTGAATCAACGACAACAACAATCAAAATCATCTTTTTTTCAGAACTTTCAACTCATCATAACTTTTGAAATAGTTCTATTCGATTAAAGATTAGAAAGCTTTTCACCTCGGGTAAACTCCTCAAAGTGTCCATAAGTTCTTGCATTCGATCGGTGAAGCCTGGTGCAAACGCTTCTGGGTCAACAGCGATAAAGCATTGGCCCTGGAAATCAATTTTCATCAGAGAAAGCTCACTAGCTGAGTTATTTCTGAGATTTCTTTCTAAGACAGTTTCTTGTTTTGGCCTAGATTGACCTGGACAAGTCAAGTCAAGCCAAGCCAAATCTAGGGTCTGGTTGGCTCAAAAAGAATCCTCTGCCCGTTAGAAGCAATAGATCCCAGATCAAGAGCTGAAAGAAGAGCTTATAGACCCTTGATCAAGAACTGGAGCAAGCTTGTTTACTATATTCGTTGATTAATCGATTTTGTAAACCCACAAGATTCGCATCCTCCGATGCGCTCATCCATTTGCGCACATTTGGGCCCCATTTGGCGCCACCAAGAATACCGCAGAAAATTTCGACCAATGCCGCCATACCGTAACCCTTGTAACCACCTGAATCTTCTTTCTTCAAGATTTACCCTTTCCATTTACCCGATAATTCAGCTCCTCCAACAGGCAGCAATCCTCCGCCACGAAGAATTTTCTCGGGATCGGTTGATGTGGCTCCACCCTCGGAAACACCCCAACTCTCCGGCACTTTCATCTCTTTTCGTGCGGCGATCTCGATCTGAGAATTGATTGAATTGATTCATTGAATTCAATTCTAAATTTTAACCTATCTTATTTAACCTTTAACCTACCTACTCTAACTTAAACAGTTTAAAGGAGCGATTTAAGTGTCAATGTTCAGACTAATGCTGAATCGAAAAGCTTAATCGAAAGCAGGTCAATTGCATTTCTAAAGCCAAGCGATAATTCGTAACCAATTACATTATCCCCTATCAAACCTTTCCAACAGCTACAGTAGTTGTTGCCATATCCAGCACGAATGAGTCGCATCCGTTTCCAGGTGCTGCTAGCGATAGTGGATTTGTGCCCAACGCCGCTTTCGCTGCTCGTGTCGGGAACATGATCGGGGAAGTGTTTGTAAAGGAAAGACCCTGAAATATGATTTTGATCTGCTTATTAAATTAGAGATTAGATTTCTAGATAACTAGATTTCTAGATAACTAGAGATCTAGATAACTAGAGATCTAGATAACTAGAGATCTAGATAACTGAGTCTAGTAACTAGGCAGATACGCGCGCCTGATACAGATTCGATAACAGTATCTAGTAACGATCTAGATAACAGGCTGGTCGATAACTAGAGATCTAGATAACTAGAGATCTAGATAACTAGAGATCTAGATAACTAGAGATCTAGATAACTAGAGCTCTAGATAACTAGAGATCTAGATAACTAGCATTAGATAACATTAAAGTGAGACTCACCATCATTCCCTCTTTCAGCGCACGCATCGAGTACCAGCCGGCGATGCCAAAATGGTTTGAGCCTAGAAATATTGAGTCGAAATATTTCTAATATCTAATCAATAGCCAGATTGAGATAGTTATAGTTTTAAGCTCTAATATCTAGCTAGATATCTAATCAAGCTTTGGGATGGGATTGAGATTGGGCTAGGGTGACAATAGTTCTAAAGCCATCTTGTTTTTAAAGCCATCTTCAGCTTTCAATTCATCATCAAATTCATCTTTTAACATCAAACGCTGAACATTCTTTTGAAACTTTGTAATTATAGCAAATTTATGTTAAATTTAAGACTTTACAAGCAAAAATCAAGTCTTTTCAATTGATCATCATCCAATTGATCATCAATTCAATGAGTCAAATTAGATCTTCAATCAAGCTCTAGATTGGGCTCTAGATTGGGCTCTAGACTGGGCTCTAGACTGGGCTCTAGATTGGGCTCTAGATTGGGCTCTAGACTGGGCTCTAGACTGGGCTCTAGATTGGGCTCTAGATTGGGCTCTAGACTGGGCTCTAGATTGGGCTCTAGATTGGGCTCTAGATTGGGCTCTAGACTGGGCTCTAGATTGGGCTCTAGATTGGGCTCTAGACTGGGCTCTAGATTGGGCTCTAGATTGGGCTCTAGACTGGGCTCTAGATTGGGCTCTAGATTGGGCTCTAGATTGGGCTCTAGACTGGGCTCTAGACTGGGCTCTAGATTGGGCTCTAGATTGGGCTCTAGACTGGGCTCTAGATTGGGTTATAGTTTTACGATCAAATATCAAATCATATATCGAATATCTATGATTTGTTTACCTTTAGCCACCACCCATCCCACGCCAGCCTCTTTCGCTTTTTTAATCGCCAAATCAATGCAAAAATTGCCCACCACCGGCCCGAGCAAATTATTCCCGTCCACCCACGCTGTTCCAGCTTTTTCCTAAACATTTTTTAAAAATATTTGGTTATACTAATTTATAAAAACTTTGATAATTGTGTAGAATAATACTAAAACTATATTATTTATGTTAATAAATATCTTTTTTATATCAATAAGACTTTTAAAATGATCGGCTCGCCACTTGGACGGCAAAGGTGTTTCTCGGAGAAAGCTCACTAGCCTAGTTATTTCTGAGATTTCTTTCTAAGACAATTTCTTGTTTTGCATGGCCTAGATTGACCTGGACAAGTCAAGCCAAGCCAGAGCTAGATTCTGGTTGGCTCAAAAAGAATCCTCTGCCCGCTAGAAGCAATAGATCCTAGATCAAGAGCTGAAACAAGAGCTTATAGATCCTAGATCAAGAACTGAAACAAGAGCTTATAGATCCTAGATCCAAGAGCTTATAGATCCTAGATCAAGAACTGGAGCAAGCTTGCTTACTATATTCATTGCTTAATCGCTTTTGTATATACTAATTTATAAAAACTTTGATCTTTGAGTAGAATAATACTAAAACTATATTATTTATGTTAATAAATATCTTTTTTATATCAATAAGACCTTCAAAATGATCGGCTCGCCACTTGGACGGCAAAGGTGCTTCTCGAAGTCGTGCACGTACATATCTTGAAGTAAAATTAAAAAAAATTTGTTAAAAATTGTATGAATACTTAATCTGTAGAATGTTCTAATGTATTAAATGGAAATTTTAAAAGGAAATTCACCAAGTCTGTTCAATCCATGACTGAAATGACCGCGGTAGTCGCCTTCGATCAACACCTCAGCTAACTGTTTCGCATGGCTCTCCTCAGCACCCACTTTACACAAACAATCCATCATAAAGCGGTTCATCTAAATACTTAAATTTCTTTCATATTACTTTAAAGCTTAAAAGCTTCTGGTAACTTCTTGTAAATAGAATTGTTCAAAAAGTTAACCAAGCGAAAAACAACTCAAAACCAGCTTGGGGTTTAGAAGATTGGGTCTAGGAACAAGTCTAGGAAGTCCAAAGCTTCTCAAAAACTGGATTCTTTCAAAAAGACATCGCTAATCAAGTCTAAGTCAAGCTAAAACCAAAGCCAGGTCTAAAGCCAAGCCAAAAACAATTCAAAACCAGCGTGAGGTTTGGAAGATTGGGTCTAGGGACAATTCTGTCCAAAGCTTCTCAAAAACTGGATTCTTCGAAAAAGACATCGCTAATCAAGTCTAAAGTCAAGCTAAAACCAAAGCCAGATCAAAAGCCAAGCTAAAACCAACGCATAGCTAGCTTGGATCTGGAAAAACTTTATTACCAACCTCATTTTTCGGAACAACTCGCTCGCCGTGCTGTGCCATGTCGTTGAATCGTCTTCTGGATAACAGAAATGGCTTTAAATCTTGCTTGTTGACAGTTGTTGTTAAAGACTTTAATGAAAATTGTTTTGGAATAAATATGGAGCAAATCGGTGATCGAATTGCTGAAAGGAGAAAAGATCGACACATCAAAGAAGAGATCTGAAAGAGAAAAGAGATTGATTTGAAAGAGATAAATTTAAAAGAGATAGATTTGAAAAAGATTTTCATAAAAGAAATATAAAAATCGAGATGGGAAAAGGCATTCATTTGATAGATTCAATGGAATGAGAGAAAAAGGGAAATGATTTTTTGAGTGTTCTCGGGGTAAACAACGAAATATCTGGTTTGGTTGCCCTTTGCGGGCAATTCTTCTTGTCTTTCCAATACTTATTTGTTATTTCTTTCAAAAATGTTTACGATTAAAAAGAAGAGAAAAAAAACAGCAATCAATTCCGATCTATAGGCAATTAATCGAAAGTTTCTGAAAGTTTTTCTGATTTATTGTAGAAAACGAATAGCTCAAAGTAAAATTTGCTTTCATTTTAGCACTAAAAAACAATTATTGTTTCTTTTTTTGATCGATTTCACAGCTTTTAAATAATAATTTTTATTTAATTTAAGTTTTTATTGAATTTAAACGATGAATTATGCAATTAAGATATAAATTACATAAATCTTGATAAGATACCAAGATATAAGATGATAAGTTTTCACAAGTAAATAGTAAGTAGATAGTAAATACTGTAATAGTACCCCACCCTCCCCACGTACAGTCGCGTAGTTGCAAAAGTTTTTTAGTATTTTCAAAGCACCCGTACTTTCAAAAAATGTGTCTTTGGTATCAAAAAAAAAGCTGAAATTCAGGGCTATTTTTTGAAACCAAAACGAACATTGTAGCATAAACGAGTGTCGAGAAAAACCCGTTCAAAGCTAGACTACGCGATGCTCCGGTCGTCATTATAAAAGGATGACGAGAAAAATGCGTTTAAAGTTAGACTACGCGATGCTCCGTCTTTGGTATCAAAAAAAAAGCTGAAATTCAGGGCTATTTTTTGAAACCAAAATGAACATTGTAGCATAAACCAGTGTCGAGAAAAAGTCGTTCAAAGCTAGACTACGCAACACTCCGCACCGTCATTATGCGGGTGGGGCTACTATTACAGTATTTAAGGTAAGTGAAAATGGGAATCAATCACAATTCGTTGAAGAGATTTGAGCATTTTTTTAAGGGTAAAAATAGTAAAATCGATTATTCACAAGAAAAATGATTGAAATAGGGTAATTTTTAATGGAAATTCGTTTGATTTTGAGGGTTTTAATATTAAAAAATATCATAAAATATCACAAAATATCACAAAATCAACGATGATTTGCACCTTTCCATTTTCCCATTGGCTGAGGAAATTTCTGGAAAAAATTGCACCGTAGTGACACAAAAAGTGACAAGTGACACAAAAAGAAATGTTGAGTGGTTTGGGAAAGAAATAAGAGTGCAAAAATGGTAAACAATATCGATTGAAGATTTTAAACATCTTAACATCTTAACATCTTAACGTCTCAACGTCTTAACATCTTAACGTCTTAACGTCTTAACGTCTTAACGTCTTAACATCTTAACGTCTTAACATCTTAACGTCTTAACGTCTTAACGTCTTAACGTCTTAACGTCTTAACGTCTTAACATCTTAACATTAACGTAAACATCTTAAAATTCGACCTTAATATGATCATTTCTTTTGAGTACTAAAAGATCGATCATTTGAAAGCTTTGTTTCAAATTTTTTCAAATTTTAAAAGCTATAATAATCTTTCACTAATCTTTTACCTCTTTAACTTTTTAATTAACTTTTTTTTCTTCTTTTAATCACAATTTGATTAACGAATGAAAGAAAAACGAAGATTTCAAGTAAAAGAATCTAATAGCTTTTAAAAATCTACCTTTTAAAAAATCTACCTCTTAAAAATCTACCTTTTAAAAAGCGAATTCTTTTTCTGAAATAAGCAATGACATGACAGATATTCAGCTAATATCATGAAGTTCAGTTAATATCTTTACTAGAAGCACAGATAAGTTCAGGACAGTGAAAAGAGTAGCACCGGAATTCTAGATACCGTATTGATTCTAATAGAAGCTCATGCGCTCAATCATTCCACTGAAATTTTGCAAGAAAATGTCTTATATTTCCTTAAAAGCTTAAAGGATATTCAGTCTACTAGTTGAAATAAAGAAGTGAAGGAATTCACAAGAAAAAGTAGATTTCAAGAGGGATTTAACGCTTTGCTTTTCCAATTGCTCTAATCACTGAGCTATCTGGTTCTTTAAATTGCCAATAGAAAGAAGGAAAGACAAGGATTCATAGTAGCTTCTACTAGAGGCTTCTACTAGAGGCTTCTATTAGAGGCTTCTATCAGAGAATTCTATTAGAGGCTTTTATTAGAGATTTCTATTAGAGATTTCTATTAGAGAATTCTATTAGAGAATTCTATTAGAGAATTCTATTAGAGAATTCTACTAGAGGCTTCTATTAGAGACTTCTATTAGAGATTTCTAGAAGAGGCTTCTATTAGAGAATTCTATTAGAGAATTCTACTAGAGGCTTCTATTAGAGACTTCTACTAGAGGCTTCTATTAGAGGCTTCTATTAGAGATTTCTAGAAGAGGCTTCTATTAGAGATTTCTATTAGAGATTTCTATTAGAGAATTCTATTAGAGAATTCTACTAGAGGCTTCTATTAGAGGCTTCTATTAGAGATTTCTAGAAGAGGCTTCTATTAGAGATTTCTAGAAGAGGCTTCTATTAGAGATTTCTATTAGAGATTTCTATTAGAGAATTCTATTAGGCAGAGGCTCTATAGAGACTTCTACTAGAGGCTTCTATTAGAGGCTCTATTAGGATTTCTAGAAGGGCTCTATTAGAGTTTCGAGGGCTCTATTAGAGATTTCTATTAGGATTCTATTGGATTCTATTAATTCTACTAGAGGCTTCTATTAGAGATTTCTATTAGAGATTTCTATTAGACGCTTCTATTAGACGCTTCTATTAGAATAAATACGGTAATGTATGGGAACTGATACAAGTTACAAGCACTGTTGCAGGCATTTTTGTACTTCTTGTAGCAATTCTCAAAAGGTTATGACCAGGGAATGTTAAAGATTGACGGGATGGGAATCATTGTGATTGTATGGGGATGGAGAGGAGATCCCATTGTTCATTTGAATCTCGGCATTCACATTTTGGTGTTCGTGTTGATCGTGCAGTGGGTTTGTGAACGATTCGAACCTGAAAAGGAAACATGAATTCGAATATTGATAAGATTAGCTTGTGTTTTGTGAACGGCTTGTGTTTTTCTCAGAACTAGCAGATTCTCAGAACTAGCAGATTCTCAGAACTAGCAGATTCTCAGAACTAGCAGATTCTCAGAACTAGCAGATTCTCAGAACTTTCTTTTTCTCTAGCAGATTCGGTAGCTCTCTTGGTTGTTTAAGTTGACTTTGGGTTGATTTTTGGCCTGGCTTTTTGTTTGTTTGACTGGTTTTGTTTTTTTGACGTTAGATTTGCTTTAGATTTGCTGACTGAATATGCTGTAAAGTTCTAATACTCAATATTCTTACAATATCCTTTAAAAAAAAAGGCAAACTAGTTCAGTTATTTTAGACGAATCGTCTTGGTTTACAAAAGAAATGGAGATGAACCTTTACAGTACTTTTAGAGTACTTTCAAGTAAACAAATCTAAACCTTTAAAGCTTTAAAGCTGTTATTAAATAAAAAAAAAAGCAATTATTAACTTAAAAAGAGTTATCAAATCGATGACAAGACACTCACCGATTACCTAATCCATCCCTAATTCGATCCCTCACTCGATCGATCACTTCCAACGCTCGCACACTATTCGAGTCGTTGCCAGCCACTGAAAAGAAGCTCAACAAATTCTAAGCAAAAGTATGAGGGATTTAAATTTACATAAAATATCCATGCATTATGTAAAAAAAAATTAGCAAAGTAGACCATCACCCGGTGAAATCCCATTAAATTCAATTAAATTCAATTAAATTTACAAAAATTTCAAATTACAGTACTACAGTCCGTGCCACTACTTGTACACAGTACAATACTATGTACAGTCCGTGCCAGTACTTGTACACAGTACAGTACTACAGTACAGTACAGTACAAACTCACTTTCACTACTTTTCCTCACAACGATTGCATATGGCAAAGGAAAGCAAGCAAAAAAAAAAGATTTGACGGTAAAAAAAGGATTTTGCATAGTAGTAAGCTTTACAGTAATCTTAAATGCAAATCTTAAGATACTCAGTTAACGGGTCGTTTATTATAACTATCTGTAATCTTTCTGTAAACTGTAACTACTGTAGCTAAGAGCTGGCTAAACTATGAAGTAACTATGAAGTAGACTGGTATCAATGAGGAGGCTAGAGTTGAAGGAGGCTAGAGTTGAAGGAGGCTAGAGTTGAATGAGGCTAGAGTTGAATGAGGCTAGAGTTGAAGGAGGCTAGAGTTGAATGAGGCTAGAGTTGAAGGAGGCTAGAGTTGAATGAGGCTAGAGTTGAATGAGGCTAGAGTTGAAGGAGGCTAGAGTTGAATGAGGCTAGAGTTGAAGGAGGCTAGAGTTGAAGGAGGCTAGAGTTGATTAAGACTTACTGCTACTCTAAGGCAACTCTACAGCTACTGGATTAAAAAGTCAGCATTCTAACTTTACTGATAGTAATTACTGTACAATAGACAGCTTAGGTAACAAAGAGTGATCTATGTAGCTTTAAAAAACCTAAGCACTAATCTCTACCCCCAAAAAAACCACATGCATTCGATGGGGGATTCTTTAAGCGTCGAAGCGATAGTAGAATTGGTTAGTAAAAGGGTGAAGTGCCTTACCGACCGAGGTTGAGCAGATTTGAGGGAGCGAATTGAGCTTGTGCATTTGGAGCAGCCAAGCTCACCGCCGGCGCTGTCGCCATGAAATCTCTCAGCGCCGATCGCTCGAAAGCGTTCTCTTCAGCGTAGCGATCCTGGGACTGATTTGGGTATTTAAATCATGTTGCTTGTTGCTTAATGTTTCTTTCTTGTCTAACTCTTGCCTATTTGTCTTCTTGTCTATTTTGGAAAGTTATCCGACTGCCGTTTTACTCAATAAGCCGATTTACTCAATCCAATTTTCGTATCATTCGATAAGGAAGGCTCAGTCAATTACGCAAGAAGGATTAACTCTAATCTTATTGTCATGTACAGTACTTGTACACAGTACAATACTATGTACAGTCCATGCCAGTACTTGTACACAGTACAGTACTACAGTCACAGTACAGTACAAACTCACTTTCACTACTTCATAAGCGTCCATGATGATAGCAATGAATAGAGAAAGAATGACGTAAATGAATAAAGAGACAAACAAGTAGATGTACACTGTGCCAAAGATCTGAAAAATTCTAACTTTAAGCTTTTTCAATACTTTTTATTAGCAAAAAATCCTATAATCAAAAGAATTTCTTTTACCTTAATCGTCGTATTGCTGTCTTTTATCGTGTAAAATGTGGCAAACATATCATCCCCGTTCACCAACGAAAACAAGGCTTCAGAGCAAGAGGAAAGTGTTCGAAACTGAAATTTTTGAGATTGAGATTTTAAATGTATGGTTATTTGATAATTTTCTTTACCTTCATCGAATATGGCCCAATAATCACCCAGCCGGCAATAAGAAATCCCATGTACAAAACGGCTGCACAAGTCAAAAATCGAAGAATGTTTGGGAGTGATTTCTTCAAGGTAAGCATTAGAATCTAGAATTTCATTTAGATAATGGGTTTTACTAAAACGTGATCCTTTTCTCGACTACCGTAATAACTCTCGAAAGTTGATGTGTTTTAGAAAGCGCTTTACTTTAGCGCTTTACTTTAACGTTTACTTTAGCGCTTTACTTTAGCGCTTTATTTTAGCGCTTTACTTTAGCGCTTTATTTTAGCGCTTTATTTTAACGCTTACTTTAACGCTTACTTTAGCGCTTACTTTAGCGCTTACTTTAGCGCTTACTTTAGCGCTTACTTTAAGCTAAGCGCATTTTTCCTTATTTGATGCATAGACTCCAGCTTTGACTTTGCACTCGAGTGTAAAAAAAACCTTTTCTAACACAACAAACTCTAGCTATTTCATTTCAAATCACTTACATTATATTTATTGAAGAATTTGAAATATCGAAGCACTCCCACGTAAACCAAAAGTGCGCCAACACCGAGAAGAATCCCAGTTAGAGTGAAGACATCATTGTCAAAATCCTAAACAAAAAAAACGAATAAGACAAATGAATTCAAGGACAAACCCTGAATTCGATAGTCACTTTGCAAACTGTTCCAATGATAATGAAGACATCGTTTACAAGAATCATCACATACCTGAAAAGTTACAAGTTTTTCAAGTTTCACAAGCTCCTCATCACTCACCAAAGATTCACGAACTCCAACTTGTCCCCAAGAGCAACCGGTTGACGCAAAATATTCTCGAAGAAGTCAACTGTTTTCTAGAAAAGAAATCAATAAAACATTTTCGTGAAATTAGTAACATTTTTGAGTAAATGAGCCTTGATGAGTGCACGAATGCAGAGGACCAACGATGCTAAACACATGAAAAGCACTAGTACGTCGATGATCGCCATTAGAATAGTGTCATAGGGTAGAAAGTTGCCTAAATTAATCAATCAATCATTACAAATCATTGCAATCAATCATTACAAATCCAACCTTTTAAAATTCGTCCGTTGCACTCTCGTTCGTAGTTGATCTCGGCTTGAATGTTCACGTGAACCTGGCCGGTATGTCGAGAATTGTCAAAGATCACTGACACCTAGAAAAGGATAAAAAAATAAAAGAATATTGACTTACATTTATTCGATAACATTCAGGAGTTTGATCAGCGGTGACTGGCGCGAAATGGATGGTTCGAAGACTGAAGCGGATGAAGACTTTTGAGATTCGGAGAGCGTCTTCGGGTCTAAAAGAATATCTCTTTCTTTCTTTCTTCCTTCCTTCCTTCCTTCCTTCCCTTCCCTTCCCTTACTTAAATGTCATCGATCTTTTGTTAAATGCCTCTTCAACTTTCATCGAATCCTCCTTAATCGAGTCCACCTCTTGTTTTGTTAGATTTAAATAAGAGCACTCTAAAGATAAATTTCTTTATTCTAAATTAATTTCACAATACCGTAAACATTATTGATGTCAAACTCATAGGTGTTATTGTTGACGGTGACGCTAGCAATTCGATCGTAGCAAAGCTAGAAATTTTATGAACAAATTTTACTGATCTTTTCTTTGAACGACTCACCTCCAACGGTGGAATCTCATCGAATTTCACTCCGGCATTCAACGAGGCGTTTTTGCTGAACCAATGACCGATTCCGAAATGACGCGTATCGTAGCTGAACGAGGCGAACGATTCGCTCTCGATTGAATAGTACTGAAAATAGGAACACTTTGAAATTTGGCTGTAAATTTGCAATCAAGGGTTTTCGTGGATGAGGAATTCGAATCCGTTATTAGTTTTTAAAGAAAACTGCTATATTTTTGAAAAAAATAGAGGTTTTTGATGATTTTTGATGATTTTGATGATCGTATTGGCTCGGAAATTAAAGCTACTCAAAAAAATAGTAACTGATTTAGATTCTCTATCCAAAAATACCTTTGGGTACAAATTTTCAGGTCTATAGCTAACAGGTATCGTCTGAAATGGCAGACAAGACAAAAGAGACTTTGTTGTGAATGCATTAATGGTATTGTAGAACTACAGTATGCTAAAAACTAGCAAATTAGAAGTTAAATGCAAATCAATCAATCAATCAATCAATCAATCAATCAATCAATCAAACAATCACAAACCGATTCAATGATAAAAGCCATGTGCTGGAATATTCCCTTTCCATCATAGACGGCGTATCGACCCTCGTTCGGTGGATAAGAAACCGCATCTCGGTCATCGTTCCAATCCTGAAATCATCAGATATTTGAGATTTTTATTGAGCATCGCTACGCTGAAGAGAACGCGTTCGAGCGATCGGCGCTGAGAGATTTCATGGCGACAGCGCCGGCGGTCAGCTTGGCTGCTGCAAAATTTCCCAGAGATTGCGTGACTTACTTTCAAGAATTTGTGTCTCATCACGGTCGTCGTGTCTTCCATAAAATCCACATGTGACATTCGCAACTCAGCGAAAAGAATTAGCTGAAAGTTAAATAGGTTTTTCTGGTTTTTCTGGTTTTTCTGGTTTTTTAAAGCTTTAGATCAGGTTAGTACTAATTGCTTAATAATAGCTTAATAGCTAATAATTACTTGTGCTGTGATGAGAAGAATTTTCAAGATCTGAAGCGCGAGTTTGAAGGGGAATTGCCGGCGAACCTGGAAATCGATTTTTGAATGGAAATGAACGAAAAGTCGAAGTTTTCATTTCAAATTTGTTCAGAAATTTGTATCCAGAAATAACTAGTAAAAAAAACAGATTATAGTCTTTACAAACCTTCCATTTTTCTAGCGGATCCATGAAGAAAAACTGTAGATGCCGTCTCAGCCGATCCCCGAAATCTTTGTCCTCGGGCGCGAGTTGGTCTAACGCTTCCTCGTAGTTGATCGGATCTTGATCAAAGCTGAAAATTGTAGCTAGATTTGGCTTTGATGTACCTAAATTTGAAAACTTATATAAACTTATATCAAAACCAGCCGAAAACAGCCGAAACCAGCCGAAAACAGCCGAAAACCCGCCTAACTGAATGTTTTGGGGCTGGCGTATACCGTTTCTCTAAGCTCTCCTAAATTGCTTGAAATCTCGAGAACCGCTTATTAGAACCTATCGATGTGGGGCCGGAAAATGTAGCTGACGATGAGATCTAGTGGGGGATTTGAGTGTTGAGCTTCTGCAAAAGCTTGGAAACCGTAAAATAGGCATCAACTCGGGGCACTTGTATAAAAGAAAATAGGGCAGTTTTGTTCACCGTGGCGCAGTCGAGAGCACGCTTTTCTACAACCCACACGACCCGGGTTCGACCCCGATAGTGTCACTCTATTTTGAATTTTTTGATTTTTATTTTAAATAACGCAACTAAAATGTATTCTAAGGTTTTCTAAAGAAGTGTTAGCTTTATTGGTTAAAAAACGGTCTAGAAAATGTTAGACAAACTATATACCGTATTTTCACTAATAGTAGTGCACCCTGAGCGTCGCCTAAATTGCTTGAAATCTCGAGAACCGCTTATCAGAACCTATCGATGTGGGGTTGGAAAATGTAGCTGACGATGAGATCTAGTAGATAATTTGAGCGTTGAGCTTCTGCAAAAGCTTGGAAACCGTAAAATAGTCACCAACTCGGCTCGCCAGGTTGCACTACTGGAGAAAATACGGCATTTGATCCACGCCCCGCCCCTTTTGCTATTGGCAAACTTTGAGCTCAAAATTTCTTGGTATTGGGCTGTTTAATTTAATGGTTTAGCTTTATTGGTAGCTCTAGTAGATTTAAGTCACTCACCCATCAGAAGTGTTAACGGATTGACTGCTCGCTTGACTCGTCGACTGGCTTCCTCTGTGTCGTCCATTGGTCACATTTGTACCAGCGCTTCGTCCTCTCACCATTTGAAGCTAAAATTCGAATTTAGATCAATGCGTTAACTAATCTAAAAATTAGTGTAAAATCGAATCCAAAAACTATTCAAAATAAGCCAAAACCATTTTCGTTTACAGTTTTCTTTCGTCATTTAAACTTCTAATCCGATTAAAATAAAAAATTTTCTTTTAAAGCTCACTCTTCGCATTGAAAGTTGAAATTTTATGAATAAATGATTTTGATTATGATTAGCAAAAGAAAGCAACAACAAGGAAAGTGCACGAGAGAAGTCTGGGAATGAGTGAAAAAGAAGAGAAAGAGAGCACGATGTACACTCATATTGTTGATGTCATGAGGAGTGATGTGTCATTGAAAAGAATTGTAAAAGAAGTGAAAGAAGTGAAAGAAGTGAAAGAATTGAGAGAATTGAAAGAATTGCATCGAATTCAATCACAAAAACTAGTTTCCCATTTGGTGAATCAATTGAGAATTGTGAGTAAAGCGATAATCTATCGAAATTTTTTTTGTTTTCAACTCAAAACTTTTTCATTCAAAATTTTTCATAGCTATAAACACATTATTTGCTTACAATGATTAGCATTTATTGCGAAATTTATTCAATTAAATTGCTCATAGAAAATGGATCAAGCAGAGAAAGATTTGGGGGCTGTACTTTGCGCTGAAAAAAAAGCAAAAAAAAGCCAGGCAACAAGAAAATTGGTATAATAAAGTAGATTTATTACGTTTTTGATATTAAAGCGAATAATTTCTGACTACTAGTGTGACAATTATCAAAACGGTGAACGATCCAATTAACTGAGTCTTTGGATTGAAATTTCCGATAGAAAAACAAGCTTTTAAAGGTCTGCTAAACAAAAATTGGTTTAATAAAAGAAAAATAAAAAAAATTGTGCTCTATTTGGTTGTTTATTCATGACAAATTATCTATTTGATTGTCTATTCATTGTTGAGTGGTTAAGATCCCTGTTGATCCCTGTTGATCCCTGTTGATCCCTGTTGATCCCTGTTGATCCCTGTTGATCCCTGTTGATCCCTGTTGATCCCTGTTGATCCCTGTCGACTAAGCTGGGATTGTTGAATCGGTATATTAAGATCCCTGTTGATCCAGCTTAGTCGAGAGATCTCAATCCCTTTAGATTATTGCTTCTTTTTCCGAACAAAAGAAATAAAGTTTAGACGATAATTTAATTAGTTTAGATAGATTAGTTTAATTAGATAGTTTAATTTTATCAACATGAGTTGTGTAAAAACGGGAATGTAGGGCGGAGAATAAAAAAAGATATTTTGTTTCGTTAAAAAACAATCACAAAAAGGGAAATTGATCAATTTGTGAGGTGAAAAAGCTCAATGTGATAACCTTTTTGTTATCAGCTCTCTCTCCATTTTTCCACCTCATTCTTTTTTGTTGAGCTTTGACGGGTTATTTCGTTTAAAGCTTAGAGAATTTCGTTGAATTTAGAATGATCTGAGTGAACAAAAAAGTCAATAAAATAAACTTGCCGTAAATACTGTAATAGTACCCCACCCTCGCCACGTACAGTCGCGTAGTCGCAAAAGTTTTTTCGTATTTTCAAAGCGCCCGTACCTTCAAAAAATGTGTCTTTGGTATCAAAAAAAAGCTGAAATTCAGGGCTATTTTTTGATACCAAAGATAATGACGGTGCGGAGTGTTGTGTAGTCTAGCTTTGAACGAGTGTTTCTCGACACTGGTTTAAGCTACAATGCGCTCTTAGGTACCAAAAAATAGCCCTGAATTTCAGCTATTTTTTTGATACCTAATCGCGCATTGTAGCATAAACCAGTGTCGAGAAAAACTCGTTCAAAGCTAGACTACCCAACACTCCGCACCGTCATTATGGGAGTGGGGCTACTATTACAGTCTTTACGGTGATAACATTAGGAAATTTTCCATTCTTTGTGCCTTCTAGTGCATAAAATTCTTGATCTTTTTGTTCTTTTTTAGGTATTGTTGTGAGAAAAACGAATTTAATGCACCAGAAAGTGTGCGTTTATCAATTTCTTAAGCACAAGATGCACTTGATTGAGATAATCATGCACTTGATTGAGAAAATCTCGCTTTCAAACCTGTGCTTGCCGCTGTTTTCTTCCCGGATTTGAATTCTGTGAGATGAGTGGATGTTGAATAGAAAGCATTGTATTCAATCAAACAAAAAAGAAACACGTTTAGAATATTTTAGATGAGGAAATGCGTTTCTTTTCTTGAAAGGAAATCGATGTCAATTTGTGGTGAAACTCATCGATTTTTCTGTAGTTTGTTGGCCTTTCAAAGGCTTTGAATCACGGCTGTGAACACATAGGCAGCTTTTGAATGAATACAAATGAATACAAATTGATGAAATTAATCAAATAGAGAGCTGAGATGCAAGAATACAAAGGGAAAAAGCTGATAATAAGCTAACAATAAGCTAACAATAAGCTGACAATAAGCTTGTCAGCTTACAGCTAAAGTTACATTTAGACTGGACAGCCTAATAGCTTAAGCAAAGCTTTATCTATCTCTAAGTATTCGTGTTGTTTGAGAAATAAAGTCTTAAACTGAGTCTTAAATTGAGTCTTAAACTGAATCTTAAACTCGAAGAAACCTTTTCGAGAGCATTCTTGAGAAGTAGTGAGTGCTTCCGATAGAAATCAACGTGCTCATTGTCGAAATCGCTGTCGAGATTAGCGGGTGGTGGATAGAGTGAAGGAGGAAGAGATGTTTGTGGCTGAGACTGACCTGTGATTGCCTCTTCTTGTTCAGATTTTCCGTCATTTTCTCCAACTGAATCTCTTCCATTCTCACAAATCGTTGAAGAGCCCGAGGATGTTGGGGTGGCTAAAAAGTAAGCTATGATTAGTAAATTGTAAAATTTTGATATTCAAGTTTTGACTAAAAGGAATTTAGGGAAAACTTTAATGGTGACAGCTTCAGATGACAGCTTCAAAAAAGATTAAACAAGATAATGATTTGCTATTTCCGTTCATTTGAAAAGAGATAAGGAAAAGACGAAAAAAGAGAATGTCTGACTTTTGGAAAAGGATTCGGAAAAGGATAGAAGTTTTGAAAAACGATCAGAAGATTACTTATTGATCTAGCTCGGAGCCTGGTTTCTAGATGGTTCAGATACTTTTCTATCAAGCAAAGCAGTTCAGCAAAGCAGTATCAAGTTCAGATACTTTTATATCAAACTATCAAGCAAAGCAGGTAGCAGTAAATCCAGATTCATGATTGATTTCTGATCTGGCTCTAGCCTAGCCTAGCCTAGAAGAATTTCTTTTAAACATTCAGAAGATCAGAAGATTACTTATTGGTCTAGCTCGGAGCCTGGTTTCTAGATGGTTCAGATACTTTTCTATCAAGCTATCAAGCTATCAAGCAAAGCAGGTAGCAGTAAATCCAGATCGATGATTGATTTCTGATCTGGCTCTAGCCTGGCCTAGCCTAGAAGAATTTCTTTTAAACATTCTTGTTCAAATTCTCGTTCAAATTCTCGTTCAAATTCTTGTTCAAAAAAAAGTTCAGAAATCGAGTACTTTATAAGAAAACAAACAAATACTATTGTACTTGTTACTTTCAAATAAAATTTTTTTAAAGTTACAAAAAGTTACAAATTACAAAAGGAAAACCTAAAAAGCCGTTTAAAAGCTTTACTTGTTGCTCGATTTGCTGAATTCTCTGGATGAAAACCCCTCTCCAAATCGCTGCGAGTATCAGAAAAATCGAGTCAAAAAACGCGAAAAACCACTCAAGAGTATAGCTATTTGGCATTAAGAAATCAATATTTGAATGTTTTGGTAAATTCAAGATTTACTGTTTCTTTTGATAAAATAATTTAACAAATCACCACCTTCTGCTTATCTTCTGCCTTTTTTGTATTCCGAATGGAAAAAGGGGAACTGTAATATTGAAGAGTTTATTGATTATTGGAGGATTTGTGAGAAAAAAGCTGGTACTGAAATAATAGTTGGTACTATAGAAATAGTTGAATAGTTGGTACTGGATTGTTGGTACTGAATTGTTGGTACTAAATAGTTCGTACTGGATTGTTGGTACTGGATTGTTGGTACTGGATTGTTGGTACTAAATTGTTGGTACTGAATAGTTTGTACTGGATTGTTGGTACTGGATTGTTGGTACTGGATTGTTGGTACTGGATTGTTGGTACTGGATTGTTGGTACTAAATTGTTGGTACTGGATTGTTGGTACTGGATTGTTGGTACTGGATTGTTGGTACTAAATTGTTGGTACTGGATTGTTGGTACTAAATTGTTGGTACTGAATAGTTTGTACTGGATTGTTGGTACTGAATCGTTGGTACTGAATCGTTGGTACTGAATTGTTGGTACTGGATTATTGGTACTGAATAGTTGTACTTGATTGTTGGTACTGAATAGTTTGTACTTGATTGTTGGTACTGAATAGTTTGTACTGAATAGTTTGTACTATAGAAATACAATGCCTTAAGCCAAAATTCGATAAACTAGCTGAATACTTGATGCAAAAATAAGGCTTTTTTTCTAATTCACTACTATCTTGCGCACTCTTTTTGTGTAATATATAGATTTCTGATCTGGCTCTAGCCTAGCCTAGCCCAGAAGAATTTCCTTTAAACATTCTTGTTCAAATTCTTGTTCAAATTCTTGTTCAAAAAAAGTTCCGAAATCGAGTACTTTATAAGAAAACAAATACTATTGTACTTGTTATAAAATTCTACAGTTTCAGAAATTTTGTTCGTATGAAAGGGAAATATTTTTGAAAAAGGAACTAAGGTTACAATTTTTTTGGGGGATGAGTTAGAAACAACAGTTAGCTGGTAAATGATTATTGTTTGAAAAGATCTGCTCAAAACTAAACTCAAAACCAACTTGCTTTTCCAAGAGCAAATCTTATGATTGAAATAAAATTTATCTATTAAACAATGTATTAGAAATATTAAAAGACAAGAAACTTAAAAAATCACAATTTTTGAAATCTAGAAGAGAATCTAAAAAACTATTAAACTATTAAACTAAAGCAACTCACCCTCCTCGAGCTCCTCAAGTGACGCACTCTTTTCCCGGTTTTGCATTGATTAGCCTCAAAATAGTCTCTCGATTCGTGAAATATTGATTTCAAAAATAAAAATCCGAACAAACAAATTTATGGACAACTTTCAGAAAGTGATTGCGACTGAAAATAGTAACAGAAGTGAGATCAATTTTGGAATCACTGTCTGATTCAAAGGAAACCTTATCATATTGTTCACTTCCCTCTTTTTCTTTCTTCACCTTTTCTCTTTCTTTGTCACCGAAAATGGAAAGCTTTTAATCTTTGCAATTAGGGTAAACAAATTATGGAAGTTGATAGTGGAACTCCTGACGTTGAAATTTGAGTAAACTGTTAACAGAGCTACCAGCAGGGATCTGTAAGTCCCCTTTTGCTATTAGCAAAAGTTTGAGCTCAAATATCTTGATGTTGAGTTATCGAATTTCAATATTCTTGATATCATTAGATGCGTCAAGTCTTTCTCTGTCGATTGGTACAAAAACTTATGTAAAGTATGTAATGAGTAGCACAGATAACGTCAAGGATCCACTAGAGCTTCAAGATCAAGATCTTCTACAGATAATTTAAAGGTTTCAAGACTATTAGACTCTCTCAAAAACTCTGGAGAGTCGATTCCAAATTCTGGCAGTTTTTATTGGAAAAGAGTTATACACAAACTGATTGGAGGTGACTGGAATTTCTAAAATGAAAGAATCTCTCCTGGAATTAACCGTGATTAACTTTAAATAAATCTCGACAAAGAGGGATAGGTTGCCTGTGTCCAATCAAGTGTCCATCAAGTGTCCAATCATCAAGTAAGCATCATCGAGTTCATCCCAGGCTTTTAGAAGAATTTTCTTCAAACTTTCAACATTTTTATGCGGTTTTGAGCAGGCTTTTACTCTTTTGGCTCTTTTGAGTTTTGAGCAGATCTTTTCAAACAATAATCATTTATCAGTTAACTGTTGTTTCTAGCTAACTGTTTCTGTTTCTGAGAAAACCCCCATCGATTCAAGATCCAATATATTTCCATGACCAGATGGCCTATATCTTGCTTGTGTGTGGTGTATTTGTTTGTTGTGGATCAGTATCTGTTTGTGTTGGATCTCATGTCCTTTTTCTGTCTTTTGCTTTTCTCTTTTTGCACTTCCCCTTCATCATCCAAGCAGAAAGTGAAAGAAAAGATGTAAAGAAAGAAAAAGAAAAGCAAAAAAGATATCCACATCATTCAGCTTTCACATCGCCAAAAATATCACGTACAGAACAACGATAATCAGCTGAGCAGTGCTAATTATGAAACTGGATGGGAAGGGAGGGGTTTGAGGGTAGAATACAAGTAATAGTTGGTACTGGCTTATAGCTAGTACTGGCTTATAGCTAGTACTGGCTTAGAGTTAGTACTGGCTTATAGTTAGTACTGGCTTATAGTACTAACTATAAGCCAGTACTCATTTCTGCAGCTTATCCAACTACCATTTCTTGCACCAATCTTCTTACTAAAGCCACTTTGTTGTTACTATAGAAATATCGTACTTTGAAATCCACACACTACACTTGAATCAATCATATATTCTAAATAATCTTCATCAGCGTGTGCCACACAATGTGATCCGTTTCCCTCTCTCTTGGTCAAGAGAGGGGCAGCATCAGAGCTCATTCATTCTAATGCAATCCATCCCTCTCTTGTGGTCACCCATCTCCCTTTTCCACAAATTCATTGCCCATCCTCTTTCCTTTTCCTCTTTTCCCTGTCTTTTCTTCATTTCACCGAGTGTGACCAAAATTGCCACACTAAAATTACGACAAGTGCCACAAATACGCAGGAAGAAAAAGGAGAAGTAGAGTGAATTTAGAGCGAGATGTAACATTTTAATTTATTAAAATTTGAAACACAAGAAGATGAGAGACTGAGAACTGGTACTATTCGACATGGGATCAACAAAAATAGCTTTCAGCTCAGGTTCAACCTATGGGAAAGCTCAACTCTGTCAGCTAGTCCTATTAGATGATTCTGTAAACAAGTTTTATCCAATCAACTCTCCGAATGAGTATCGGATGTGGATGTAGTTGATCGCATGGCCGTCTGTGTCAATCTCTATCCCTTTTCCCCTCTTCATCTCACAGATCTGCGACGCGACGCTCAACCGCCGCGCGTGCCAATCCAAAGCAGAAAGGGATCTTGTGGGGTGTGTTTGGTGTGTCCCCTTCTTTTCCCCAAACACCAAATGTGCCCTCAATGTGAAAATTATCCCCGTTGAAGAAGGGGAAAGCCCTCGTCGGGTCACCCCAGATGACTCAACCCTATTCCATTCAGTCAATTCAGTCACCCCCCAATTTTTTTTTTGCCTACTTACCCTTTCCTCATTCTTTTCCCCTTCCCGCTTCTTTTTTTGCAGTTGACCCATTGATTTTCTTAGTGCTAATCCGTGGACTTTTTTGGCATTAATGGCTGGCATTGATTTTCTTATTTTTATCCCAAGTTTTAGATAGATTTTGTAATTTTTAAGATCTCTTTTAACATTTTAGCAAATTCTGTTAATGATTTGGTAGATAAATGGTGGGGACAATTAGAGAAAACCTACGACACAATTCCGTCGGATCAAACCTGAGCCATCTTTTGCATTTGTACAATTCCGTCGCATCAAACCTGAGCCATCTTTTACATTTGTACAATTCCGTCGGATCAAACCTGAGCCATCCTTTGCATTTGTACAATTCCGTCGCATCAAACCTGAGCCATCTTTTACATTTGTACAATTCCGCGGACAAACCTGAGCCACTTTGCATTGTACAACCGCGCACAAACCTGAGCCATCTTTTACATTTGTACAATTCCGTCGCATCAAACCTGAGCCATCCTTTGCATTTGTACAATTCCGTCGCATCAAACCTGAGCCATCTTTTACATTTGCACAATTCCGTCGCATCAAACCTGAGCCATCTTTTGCATTTGTACAATTGCTACGCTTAATTTACCTATACGATTTTAGCATCTAATAAATATTTTATTTTAGTTTTAATTTTAGTATTAATATTTTAGTTTCCCCTCTTGACAGCGCTATTTTTAACGTTTGTTCGGTACATTGGTGGTTGGAGGAGCCACCTGTATTTTTGACCTTTTCAATTCTTCTGGGGTAATTGTTAGCGCTCATCAGAAATAGAGTTTTTTTTTTATGTAAAGGCTTGTTATAAATCTTTTGTTTCTTTTCTTTTGTTCTAAGTGTTTTTGAATTTCTAAAGTAACGCGTCTTTACTGTACATATTTGGAGGATTAACTTGTTAAAAGGGAGGCTTAAAATTATGCCATAGAAGCCCAAATTTTTAATGCAACCTTTTTAGTCCTATCTTGTTGATTCAAGCTCAGTGCTCAGTGCTAAAAGCTTTGAGAAATAGTTTTGATTAAGAGGTTGACTCCTTTACGGTTTCATTTTGAGTTTCTCTTTCTGTGTTGACATCATAGTACACTAAAGATACACTAGTTAAGGCTAAAAACTCAAAAAACCTATGGACAACCTACCTTAAAAACACTCTTATCGTGATTAGCGTTATCGATTACCCTAGAAAGATCGAAAAAGGCAAAAATATAGGTGACTCCCTCCAACCACCAATGTGCCGTTTTTTTTTCTTTTCTTGTTTCTCTCTTATTTTAACTTTAATGTTTTGTTTTAGATTTCTCGGTAAGATCCACGATCTGAGAGAGCCGTCGATGGCCGAGACGTCGACGAGAAATGCTGAAGGTGATTGTTTTTATGAATCTAATAAAGTCTGATTACAAAAACACAGTTCAACTGTGTCAACTTTGTTGTACTCAACTGTGTCAAAAATACAGTTCAACTTTCTAGGCCACACGAGTGGAATTGTTGCGGCCACAGAGCGATTGAGTCTTGATGACTTGGATCGAAGTGAGTTTTTTTTGTTAACGAGTAAAAGCATAGTAAAACATATTTTTCTAACAACTCTATTTCCAGGACCCGGCTCAGCATCAGAGTTCTCAGCGGGTGAGCATTCGCCTGCAAGTGAAACCCATCCGCAACCGTTTCTCGCGCACACAACCACGAAAGTCTACTATCAAAAAGATGATGAAACGATTCCGTTTATGACTGAGGTGAGTGGATTATAGTTTTTGAAGTAATATCTAAAACTAAACGTACGTACTACTTTTTAGGTTCATGTTCCACCCGATTTGATCACGTTGGGCGATGTGAAACGAGTGCTGCCACACAATAACTTCAAGTTTTACGCGATGACACATGACCCAGATCTTGGATCGTGAGTTTGAAATATTTTCAAGAGCAATCTTGCCAATCTAATAGTTAAAGGAAATAAACTATTGGATTGGACTATTAGATTTTATACTTTCGTTGAAAAATAACAAACATTCACCAATTAATCTATGGTTTATTCTAAATAAAAAGTGTTTATTGTTCAATTTCCCATCTTTTTAAGTCAATTTCGGTTCACTTTCAAACAAAATCGAGAGTGTTAAACGTGTTTTTTCGTAAAAATCTATAAAAACCTTTACGAAGAAATTGGCTAAATGGATTTCTCTGAAAATTTGACTATATATCTAAATTTTTGTGCTCTATCTTTTATCTATTAACATCAAGATAGGTTTCCTTAGCGTAAATTGTCTAAACCGTGCCTTTTTTGTGCGCCTTCTAAACCCTGGCGTCACCCTTTTTGCCTACCCGACTTCATGCTCCCAAAAAAATGCAGGCATAAGACATTTTAAACCCGTTTTAATGTTATTTTGCAGAAAAATAATTGCCCTTTCTAATAAAAAAAACCGTAGTTCAATTGGTGCATTTGTTGGCTTTAAACGGAAGTACGAAAAGGAACAAAAAGACTTTCTGGGCCTAATAGTTTAAGCAAATCTTGATCTATCTTTAAATAGTCGTGTCGTTTGAAAAACCAAATCTGAAACTCGAAAAGGAACTAAAAGACTTATTCACCAATCTAATAGATCAAATTTCGACAAAAGTAAAGTAACTAAAGTACAAGTAAGCCTAAAATTTTAGTGACGTAAAGCTGGAGTTGCGAGACGATATGCAGCCATTGCCTCGGTCATCAAATGGACGTTTCTTGCTATTCTTGCAGACAACCGAGGGTGGCTCGAGTCACGGGGGATCCGATCAAGGGAGTCTCGTTGGACCGAATCGGATCACACATCGAATGGTTTGTAGTTTGATGGGGGACAGTTCATAGCTAGAGCTTTTCTTATCGTTTCTTAAAACGTGTCAAAAACTACCGTGATCTTGCCTCGGGTTTTTACCCAATTTACAGTAACGCTCAAAATGATTCGTACATAATTTCATGCTTTTGCTATTATATCTCGTATTTACTTCTAAATAAACTGTTAAATCAAAAGAGCTCCTTGTATACGCTAGTTTTGAACTATTTTTTGACTTAACTGCAAAGTTTTAAGATCATTCATTGAGCTCTTCATGGTTAAAACCAAGACGCGGCGGTGTACGAATCATTTTCAGTGCTAATGTATTTACTTTAAATCTGATTCTGTGAGAGATCGAAAGGTACAAAAAGTAGATAGATTGGATAAAACTAGAGGCAAGATTATGGTAGTTGAAAAGTTTTTGGGAGGAGTACTAAGTCTTTCATTATCTTCAATTCATTATCTAAATGAACAAGTCTCAAACGATAACAAATACCAAACGATTTCTTTTATTATAAATGTTTATCGTTTACTTTTTGTCATTTTAAAACAATTTTTAGTATTTTAGAATAATCAGCGAAAACGAAAACTGGTATTTTTAAAAATATTGAAAAATGAGCACAGAAAGAAAACCGTTAAAAAGATTATTCTAAAATTTTTGTTGTAGATCTAACTTTTTTTGCGCTATCTTTTTTATTTTGTCATCAAAATAGGTTTCATTGGAAGAAATGGTTCAAATCGCATATTGGCTTATTGCTAATGAAAAACCTTCAAAACAAAGCTTTTCAGAAACTTTCAAAAGTCATTTGCAAGAGAAATGATTGGGTTATCTAATGAAAACAAAAACCGTATTTCATTTGTAGTTTGAGACTTATTCAATTAGAAAATGAATTTCAGTGAAAGATTTAGCACTAAACCAAATAGAAAACTCTTTAGTTGAGAGTACGGCTAGAACAATATATCCGTTAAACCATTTGCATACAGTTTAAGCAATTTAGAAGCCCCAAGGCAAGCAAACGGTGAGTTTATTGCGATGAGAATGAAATGAATGCTATTTGAAATCCTAATCTCACTTGAGAAAACCTGACTTTTCTGTGTTGAATCCTACTAAATAATTGTACTTTTGAAGTACTTTAAAAAGTACTTCCAAAGTTCAAAGCCTGACATTTTACAGGTACCCGGTCCGGCTCCCGCATATCACGGACAGAAGTACAATCACTACGACTCGAGCAGTATGTTAATAAAACATAAAACTTTTAGAATACTTTAAAGAATTACTCGTTACAGTTGTCTGTTACTAAATGTTTATTGTTATTGATCTAGAGATCTCTAGATCAGGTCTCTTGTATCAACTAGAGATCTCTAGATCAGGTCTCTTGTATCAACTAGAGATCTCTAGATCTCTAGTTGATACAAGAGAGCTGATTTAGTAAAAAGAAAGATAATTTGCTGATAGATATCTTCTTACTTTTTATTGGACAACCGTAAAAATATGGACTATAAAAAAAGATAAACAGTAACTCTTACTCACAATATCTCTCCCTTTTTAGTGTACTCAACGGAAAGCGAATCGACATTTTCGGGTATTCCACCAGCTTACATGAAAGGATCGATCGGACATCGATATCACAATCCACAATATTATCCATCACAAGGTTCGTGTTGAATCTTAATAGTTAGTTAGGTGGCTAGGTGTTTAAAAGCTAGAGTTTAAAAGAGAACAGTTACAAGCTAAACTAGCTAATCTAACTAGTCTAAGACACATCAGTCAAATCTATAGCTTTAGCCGCTAATTGCCGTTAAAGTAAGTAAAGCTATAAATGCAAATAGATTGATCAAGGGTTCTTTATCCGCTATTTTCCTATCTACTATATAAAAAAAGAAGTGTCTGTCTGTCTGTCTGTCTGTTTTTCTTTTCATTTCAAAGTATTCAGCTGTTCGATTGAAAGTTCACTTTTTTTTCATTTTATGCATTCATTTTCATTTTTGATCTTACAATTTCAACGCTTATCAACTTTCATATAAATTTTCATTCTTTTAGCTGTTTTTTTTTTCAGTTAACTTCTGGCGTTTAACCGGGAGTTAACTGCTGGTTTTGCCATAAAAGTGTATGTTTTAAAAACGATCAGTATGATTAATAGTTGATTGATTTTGCTTGCTTTGTGATTACTTTCAAGGCTACTCCTAAACCAGCTTCATGCCAGGCTACTCCAATCCAAATCCAATCAAAATCCAAAACGACCTTGCCTTTGACTGACTTGGAAAGCCATGACTTGCTTTTAAAAACACTTCTGGCTACTCTAGAGAACTCTTTTGGTTTTGGACTGAAATTTTACCACATTGAACGCTATTCTGCAGAGTTTCTATCAAACTTGTTATACTGTTTTGTGCAATTTTGGTCTTCACTCTCTTCCCCTAGCTTTGTATTGTACAATACAAAGATTCTATGTTCAGCCTATGGTCCCCCAATTCCCCTCCACATTGATCTTTCTTCCCTAGCAAAAGCTCAGTTGATCGTTAATTGATCAATCTCTTAGCAATCTTTATCCTCAAACTGTTCAGAAGTCAGTCAGTGTTGTTCTCTACTTTTACCCTCACAAAATTCTTCTCGAAATCCTCGATTGGAGGGGTTTCTTGAGGGTTTTCTCCTCTTTTGTGTGAAAAGCACCGCGATCACATCACTCAAGATTTTTCCACGGAGAAAACGCTGATGATTTGAACTCTCAACCTTTTTTTCTTTTGGTATTTTCACGATTTTTTTTTCTAGTTTTTGCAATAGACATAACAAATTCGTGTCAAGTAGAGCAAGAAGTCTATTTTGGTAATTTTTTAGTGCTCTGTCCTGTACTGTAGCTTCAAACGTATCATTGTATTAGGAAACAGTAATACTAGCATCAAGCAGTCAGCACCGTTCTGTAAGTTCGGTTGTACTGGAAAGTTAATATGAAAACAAGACTACAGTAAGACTAGCATAATTCTCAGATTGACTTTTTCAACCAGCCCGACAAGCCAGTGCTATAAGCTCTGCGGTGCTATAAGCTTCATCCAGTGCTATGATCTCTGCGGCTCGTACGATAATTGATATTTGTAGTTTAGCTGTGCTTTGATTGACTGGTGTCTCATTAAAGTTTCAAGACTGAATATCTTCTTTTGCAGACTGTAAAAATCCAGCAGAACATTTTTTTTATCGAACTGTAAACATACTATAGTTAGTACTGCAATGCAGATCCTCTGCAATGCAAAAAATGAAGAAAATCTTATTTTTTAGTTTTCCAGCTTTCCCCAAACTTCTAGCTTTCATTATTCTCCAATCTTATCTTATGATTCTCACAATGAATGCCTCAATGACTCAATCCTCTCAAATAACTCCCGTTTATATTTTGATCATTCTTTCCCCTCCATTCATTACCACTACTCTTTCTTTTCGAATGAGATTGCTAGTCTTTTTTTTCGTCTTTTCTATTTCCAGTTCTTTCCATTAAACAAGCAGTGACACATTTTATTGGGCACAACTGATCTCCCCATCCATTTCTTTGCCTACAGCGCAGCTTTTCTCGCTATAAAGTATGGCTTTTCGTGAAAGCTAAGACGTTTATATCCTAAATGATAAATTAGATGATATTCAATACAAAATAGAATACACCTAGTGTTTTAGAAAGTTTTTTTGGAGCTTTTTGACCTTTCCAAAACAGCTCCAAGCAAAAAGCTCCAATGAAAACAAAAGGAAGCTTTTCTAAGCTTTTTGCAGCTTTTCTGGAGCTTTATTCTTATTTAAAGATCAGGAAAAGTCCCTCCCCAGTAATCGTTTTCTAAAAGGAGAACAATTTGAAAAGTTATCGTAGTTTTTTGTCCAGCTGTTCGATTTTTTTATGATCTCATTTGATGAGGGATTAGCAGAACGAGCTAAAGGAAAAGCTTACGCTAAAGCTAAAGAAAAAGCTTACGATAGCTTTCCAAATTGACCATCTTTTAGAAAGCAGATCGAAAGGGACTTTTTTTGCATAACTAACAAGGAAAGGTCACAAGACTCAAGACAAATAAAATGAAAACAAAAGGAAGGGATCGAACCCGAGCAAATAGCTTGATAGTTTGTTTCGGAAACAAGACTCTTATCCACTCTTATCTTATCTCTTATCCTCTTATCTTATCCACTAGACCACAGGCTCACAATTTCACGGTCAAAGAAATATATGGACTGTTTTTTTGTTTACGTTAAAATTTTCATTGAAAAATTCATCAATTATTTTACCATAGCCCTTTCCCGACCACTGTTTTGTAAATTTGCAAAATTTATCGCATTACACCCAGAGTTTTAATTGGTGTCCGGATTTTGGAGAGATTTTCCCCTTCCGTTTCTTCTTCTTCTTCCTCTTCTTCTTCTTTTTCTTCTTCCTCTTCTTCTTCTTCCTTCCACTCTCTCCACACCCCAATGTTTTATGGTTTTCCCTCAGTAGGCCACATGTCCTCTTTTTCTTCTCTCTTTGATCTATTTCAAGCTAAATTCCCAAGATCTCCATGTTCAATTCAATACTATTTACACAAGCATTTCTTTAATTTAACACTGCTTTTTTTTCATTGCTAGTTTAGTTTAACAATACCCAAAAAGCTACCGGGGTTTCAATGTTAAAAGTTAAAGGTTAAAAGTTAAAGGTTAAAGGTTAAAGTTAAAGGTTAAAAGTTAAAGGTTAAAAGTTAAAGGTTAAAAGTTAAAGGTTAAAAGTTAAAGGTTAAAGTTAAAGGTTAAAAGTTAAAGGTTAAAGTTAAAGGTTAAAAGTTAGAGGTTAAAAGTTAAAGGTTAAAAGTTAAAGGTTAAAAGTTAAAGGTTAAAAGTTAAAAGTTTCTTGCTAAAAGACACCTTTAAAATCTCCTTACATCTTCTGTTTTGTTGACATTGATCAAATCTCGATCTTCCTTTCCTCATTAGAAACAGAAAAACGAGAAACCAGCTTTGCAACAATGATCATTTTCTTTTTGAGCTCTCTAACTTTGTCTGTGAGGGTCACTGTTGACAAGGCTTTGGATTTGAAAGAGAAAACAGTTCGATGAACCTTGAGACCCCATCAGACACCTGGATTCCTGTTTCTTTTCTGTCACTTTTGTGATTTGACCTTGTGACTTATGAGAATTGAAAGTCATTTCTTCAAGTCTAGTCAGTAAATGAATCAGTCACTACCATTGAACTTATCTTTTATCACTAATCAATCAACTAGATAGGCAGTCAACTAGATAGGCAATCAACTAGATCTTAAATGTAGATTCTCTGGTCAGTACTAGATTTTGTCCTTTATTACGAAAGGCTAGACCAGAGTCAGACTCAGGATCAGGCTGCAGAGTGCATCATAATTACATAATCGGAAACAAAGGGAAAAATTTGATCGGATAAAATTGAGGCTTGTTTTGCTCCAATCCAATCCATCGGATTGGATTAGAGCTCAGAGGTCATTCATCAAACGCGATGAAGGCCGGGAAGCTTTGTTGGCACCAGTCTTTGACAAAATAAGCCTTATAGGCATCCTGTTGGAATATCCAATATCGATAAAACAACAAAAATCTCATATAAGAAACATGCAAAAAGTCAAAACGTTTATAAGGCCTTGTAGCCTTGTAGATCCAGGACTAGGGCCAGGCTCTAGCTACATTAGCTCTAGCTACATTAGCTCTAGCCACATTAGCTCTAGCCACATTAGCTCTAGCCACATTAGCTCTAGCTACATTAGCTCTAGCTACATTAGCTCTAGCTACATTAGCTCTAGCTACTTTTTTTTGTACATTAGGCTAGTTTAGATTGAGCCAAGGATCGGGTCAAGCCATCCATACCTGGCTCGAGTCGATTTGCACAAAAATTTGAATCCGAATGAGTTATCTAGTGAAAAACATTCCTTGATTGTCCCTGATTCATTTAGAAAATCAACAACAAAGCTATTAATAGATAAATTTGAATGTTTCCTATCAAGTGCATTACCTGGAAGTATCGTTATTTCTCTTTCCTTTCGATCTGATGAGGAAAGGAAAGGGGATCAGTGGGGTGCGCGAGTTTTGTTTGAACTGGCCCCTTTTGCTTTCCCTCAACGAGTGATCCCCTGTTTTTCCTCGATCCCCTTTTTTTTCTGATCTCTCTTCTGATCATCTCACTTCAAAATCTATCACTCTTTCCCTCTGCCACTCATCTGATCCAAAAAGATCTTACCCATTTCTGCCAGACTCTCATCTTTGCTTTCGAAAAGACATACTCTACATGAAATCATTTGGTTATTGATTTTATTGGGTGTCTAATGGATAAATCTAACTTACTTTATCTAGTTTACCGTTCAGACTACTGTAAATTTCCCATTTGTTTGATATCACGTTTAGAACTGTTTCAATCGAGTACTAGAGCCAAGCCAGGCCAAGCCAGCCAGCCAGGATCTGGCTTCTAGCTTGACTCTGATCTTATCATTGCCTGGCTTGGCCTTGCTTTATCTGGAGTCAGAAGTTAAGGCTAGTACTTGGCCAGACCAGGCCAGGCCAGCTCCTGGCCTTTCCCTTGTCCTTCAATCCACCCTTAGAACAACTCTGATCCCTCGGCTAAGCCTAGCACTCAAATCTTAACGTTTAATCAAATCTATCAATTCCTAGCTTTCGTTTAAAGTTTCTAGCCCCACCTCTCGATGGCTCACTCGTCCATTGAGTCATTAGCAAAGAGTGATGATGAGGTGAAGGGGAATCTCCCCATCTCCCCTAATTGATGATTTTCCTTTGATCGGTAAATCTTTTCTCGATTTCTTACGCCTTTCTCCTTTCTATTATCAATGTTACCAATCTAAAGCTTTTGCTGAAGTTTTAAAGTCTTTGAGATGTAAAAAAAAATTCATTTGGCTTTAGAAAAAGGATTGGATAATGGATAGAATAATGGATTGGATAATGCATTTATCTCTCTCTATAGTCTAGGATAAGCTGTATCTTAGCTATAGTTAACAAATAGTGTAGCTATAGTTAACAAATAGTGTAGCTATAGTTAACAAATAGTTAAAGTACAGTTCTTAAAGCATAGTACTTAAATCAAAGCTAAGCCCTTGGCTAGTTAGAACGGTAGTTATTGATTTTATAAAATTGAGTCTCTTAACAGCTGTGAATAGTGATACTGTATCAAATCATTCATTCTTTACAATTACCCTAATTCTTTTCAAATCCAGGCTAACATAATAAGTAGTTAATGAATAGCATAAAGTACAGTACAACAGTAAATTAGTCTGTCTTGTATAACACTGACAGTATACAAGACAGTATTAGGCCCTCTGTTATACAGTATTAGACAGTATTAGGCCCCCAAAACCTTGTTTCTTTGCTACTCCTTCCTGATCTTTATTTTCGTTTCATTCAAATCCTTGCCTAAACCGCGTTTCTAGTATGTCACCTGGTCCATCACTTCTCCCATCTCGTCCCCGTCATTCGAGTGATGACTCGAAGCCGTCAACCTCATTTTTAAAGGATCTCCTCCTCAATGAGGCTCGTAGACACAAATCCGACAATGGGAAATCCCGAGTTGCGCAAATTGTCTCAAGAATGGAGAAAGCTTTCACTCATGATTCCCCAAAAATCCCTCCACTGGCTGAGCCCGAATCGATGAGCATCGATGAAGAGAACTCGTTGAGTCTTCGACCTAACGAGAGCAAAAAACCGAAGAAATCGTTTTCCCGAACTTCCACAAAGTATCTTAACTCTATATTCAATAAATCGGACAAATCGGAAAGTGACGCGGAATCGAAAACTTCAAGAATTTTATCATTACCGTCACTTGCAAAGCCGGTACTCTTGCTTCGAAGAAAGTCGGAGAAATCCGATATTTCGGCAGCTTCCACAATCGACGTAATCCCCACTCGAGGCGGCAGTGTTCGCCGAAGTGAGGCCATCGATTTCGAGGTATTTCGGCTGAAAAAACGGCAATCTGAGGGCTCATTAGAGGGTGAGAGAGCCGCAAAGGGAAAGAAGCGGCTGTCGCTGAGAATTGAGGAACGGATATCACCTGCAGGGGGTAATACGGGCAATGGACCACCCACAGCCACTCCTCCACGACAACTCCGATTGCATCGAGGTCGCTCGAATCAACAGGTCACCCCATTAGCCGATATTGTCCCATCAAGTCCAACCAAGAACACGCAAGGGTTCTCTTTTGCAAACTTTGTGAAAGCTATTCCGAAGAAATCGATCTCTAAAGTTCAGCAACCAAAATCTGATTCGTCTATTTCGATCAAATCAATTCCGAGAATCGAGGAGCCAACAACGAGCACTTTACCGTTACCGAAATTGTTGAAGAATAACGAACCGAATCGTTTATCAATTGATTTCGAGAATAAAGAAGAGAAGAAAAGAAGGAAATCGAAGAAATTAAGTCTCGGAAAAGAAGAAGTCGTGCTAAGACCGTTGTCACCGATCGAGGGAACGAGTCCAACTCCATCAATTGTGATTCGAAGAGCAACACCAGAGGCGGTGAGGCAACGACAACCGACGAAAATATTGAGAAGATTGGGAGTGCCAATAGAGGTGGATTGTGATCCGAGACAAGACGAAGAGAGTGAGAGTCAGATTCACATAAAGACGTTGAGTGTTCCGAGCATTGGACCAACTTTAAATCAACCTGTGGAGGCCAAAGAAGTCAAAGAAGTCAGAGAAATCAAAGCAGAACAAGTTCGGAACCCAGACTCTGAGGATTTAAAGTTCTTGTCACAATTCCTTCGAAAATCGAGCTCTGAGCGACGAAGGAGGCGACCCGTTCAAGGGCCTCGTCCACTATCCCGCACCATGACTCAAGTCGAGGCCAATCTTTTGCCACCATTGTATGAGAATGATGACGGAACCGCTTCTCAACCACAAGAAAGTCTTCAATCGTCTCGTCGGCATCAAAGACGATATCAGGGAAGTCATACAACATCTTGTTACACGGGGAGAAAGGATGCAGCACCGGATGCGACTCCTAGAAGACATTTGATCGGTTTTTTGCATCGAACGTCTCATTTGAGTCTCACCAGTGAATTATCCGGCGATGCGAGTTTTTATTTGATAGGTGAGCAATGGGGAATGTATATTTAAGCATTCTTAATCATTGAACTCCCGTCATTTTCCAACTTGGACTAAAGGAATGTTAAGGATCTAGTGGAAGTATCTTTCAAAAATGACAATAGAATCATAATTCTTCACAGCTTTCATGATTCAACTCAATTTTAGGACATCGAGGTCGAAAATTCGATCCTGAGTCAACGATCGGCAGTGAAAGCGACGCGCGAGTCCTTTCCGATGAGGATGATCGGTTTGTTTTTGAAGTTGTTTTAAATCTACAACTACAATTTAGACATCTAATAACTAAGTTTTAACATCTTTATTCTATTTTCTAACTCTTTTCTGGAAAATTTCTTGAGTTTCATTTGGTTTTTGTTCTTTTTTTTCTTGTTTCTTTCTCCTTTCTTTCTCCCACATAATCCTCTATGATCGATGGGGTTTTTAAAGCCCACCAACTCTTAAAAAAAGTTTGCTTTTGAGTTGAAAACTAGAAAAAGTTATATTTTTTGGCTATTTCAATTTCGATTTCGATTTCTATAGTAAAAATATTTGAATTCTGAAATTATTAATGAGCTTTGCCTCCTCATTATCGGTGAATCCATCCACGGATGGCTTCTCCACATCGACCACCTCCGATGAGTACTATTTACAGTTGCAAAGGTCATTATAATAGTTAAAACAATCTAAAATTAAGATATTCAGCATAAACAAATTAAGATATTACTGTAGTAAATAAGTTATTCAAGTTTTTCCCTGCTTATTTGATGTTTGACCTTCTTGATCCTCACTCACTCCTACTCTCTAGCTCGTACTTTGTGCTCTAGTAAACGCGTGTTTTCTGGCATATTTAGTATAGCATTTTTGGCAAGAACAATGATGAATCTTTTACGGACAGATGAATCGGTGTGCCAGAGAGCATGCGTTTGTTCGAGCATAGAGTATGGGCTTGTTAGTGATACTGTTACCCTAACAAGTTCCCATCAAAACATAGGCCAAGTCGATAAAATTGATAAAAATTAGATTGATAAACACCAAATAGCTGCAAAATTCAAATGAACACTTCTTTTCAGAGGTTCAACCACCACCGATTTCACGTCGGTTTCTCGGCAGGCTGAAAATATGCGACGACGGAGGAAACAGCGGAATTTCCGACGACCAAGCAGGTAAGGAAAGGAAATCAAATTGCCATTTGATTGTATTGCTAATCTGTTCCTAATTTAGAGCCTCATCTTTCTCTTCAATCACCGAATCATCGATGTCACTTGATGTAATTACAGTGACACTCAACATGGACACAGTCAACTTCTTGGGGATTTCCATTGTCGGGCAAAGCTCGGCGAGAGGCGATAATGGGATTTATGTAGCGAATATTATGAAAGGTAACGTAAAAACTTTAATAAAAGCGCATGCACTTCTACTTTTCGATGCAAAAATTAAAAATCAAACAAAAGAGTCAACAGATTCCATGTAAAATTCAAAACATTTATGATAATTTCTTGAAAAAACAGAAACACACTTAGGTACAAACAATTCAGTCAAAAGTTAACATTAAACAACAAAAACAAAGTAGGTATATCTAGTTTAGCTGGTTTTTTTCCAAAACAAATTTTTGATCAAGGCATCGCTGTCATCAAATCCATTGTTTGCGTTCTCATTCAAATCAATTTGATTAATCAGCTTAGCACATGATTGATCGTGCATCCGAAAGCTTCAATAATCCAGTCGGAATGGGTCCATCTTTGTCGAAGCATACAGTATGATCATCTTCAAGTTCATCGACATCATTCGTGACTCCCATTTAATTGACAAATCATCCAGAATGATATTTTTCTCTAAAAACTTTCGATTTATACTCGAAATATCCACCAAATAAAACAGAGAAATTTTAGATTACGGTAATAGGGACACGGTTATATGAAAAATTCAATTTTTCCAGTTTAATACAGTAACATGAAATAGAATTGACGCTTCTATTGGAGAGTGCGCTTAGATTAGAGTTTTTTTTTTGGTAATATGTCAATAAGAATGGATACAATAGTCAGTTTTTACGAAATAATTGCTTGAATGATAAGGAACTCGGGTTAGAATGCGCTACTCTCAGAAAAATGAGTTTCCTAAATCACATCAAGTCTACAAACTATCGTATTCTTGCCCTAGTCTTGTCTACAACTTAGCTTATAGTTAGAACAGAATCTATATTTATCTAATTTCTATTTCATTATCAATTTCGATCTCCAGGTGGAGCTGTGGCAATCGACGGTCGAATCGAAGCCGGTGACATGATCCTTCAAGTAAACGATATCGCTTTCGACAATTTCACTAACGATCAAGCCGTTGATGTGCTACGGTAGAAAGAGCATAAAATAGAAAAAAAAACGCGAGATTTCAGAGATGCTGTGGCGCGAAAAGGTCCAATCAAGCTAACAGTGGCGAAATCGTTTGACGGTGGGCCGAAGAGTTGCTTCACTGTTCCCAGGCATAAATTGTACGTTTTATTAGCTGCTTATAATATATGGTTAAATTTTCAATATACTAATCAAAATTTCTTTAGAATGGATGAACCAGTGCGTCCGATCGATACCCAGGCGTGGATCCGACACACAAACGCCATGCGGGGAATGCCGTCGATCATTGAAGGTAAAAGGAAAAGTCTAGTGATCAAAAATTAAATGCAAATTATCTAAACAGCTAAAGCAAAAGCTTCATTAGCTAAATTTCTAAATTTGTTCTAGGTTCCGAGGGTGCACCGACACCTTTACCTGGTGATTACCAGGCAGGCATTCGACCGGGTAGCAGCAGCACGGTGACAAGTGGAAGTCAACCAGGACAGGGAACCGTTGTGCACGCACTACGACTTGATACACAGGCTGAGAAGAAACGGGTACTGTATTAGCTTGTCTACCGTAATCCTTTTCAAACCTAGGCCAACAGAAGAAGTAGGATAATGAATAGCGTACAATACAAAACAAAACAATACTAAAAGTATCCAATACTTTTAGCATTGTTAATCATCCCTCTTTTTACAGGTAGTTGAAGCAATGGCTATGCCAAATAGCGGCTTGGAGATCAAGAATCGAACGTGGCTGAAGATCCCGATTCCGAACTCGTTTCTGGGTTTGTTTTTCAGATAAAGCTTTAGCTGTGTCAAGCTTTAGCTGTGTCAAGCAAGCTTTAGCTGTGTCAAGCAAGCTTTAGCTGTGTCAAGCTTTAGCTGTGTCAAGCTTTAGCTTTAGCAGGTATCGAACTAAAAATCAGTGTTCAGGCTCCGAGTTAGTTGATTGGCTACTCGATCACGTGGAAGGGTTACGAGAGAGAAAAGATGCACGCAAATATGCGGAAGATCTTCTAAAAGCAAAGCTCATCTCACATGCAATCAAGAAACACACTTTCATTGAACAGTGCTACTATATTTTGGGAGAAGAGTGTGCTGGTGAGTTGGCAATAAACTTCTAAAAGATTTTCTTTAAAAAAGCTACCGTAATCTAGATTTTTTTAAAATTTGTTCTTCTTGAAACCTATTGAAACAGGTGATTGTCAGCTTTTCGATTCAATGTTAATCAAATGTAAACTGGCTGTTTTCTAAAAAATGCCTTTTAAAAAGCTACCGTACTCTAAAAGGTCTTGGTTTGAATTCGAGGTTTGAATTTTGAAAATTCGAGCCGAATAGGGATTTCTTTATCCAATGTTAGGGTTCTCTCACGGATCTCAAGCTTTGATTCGATGGTATAGTGGATAAAATGTTTGCATACAAAACGAGCGCTGCTTTTTGGCAAAACTTTGGCCTTAACACCTGAATTTTGTGGATAATATGGATATCAAGGCTTTTACGCTTAGTTAAGGCTTAGTAAAATCATATAATCATGTACAATCATGTTTTCTATATTCTTTAGGCTTTTGAGTAGAATGCGTTAAGTAGAATGCCTTAAATAGAATGTAATACGTTTACTAAAAAAAAATTAATCAACGATTAATCGATTAAAATTTTAATCCTCTAACTTTAATTAATTAATCGCGGGAGCACACTCTATTTATGATACTTGTTGCTGTTTTCATCAGACAAAAGGATTACGATAGCTTTTTCTGGAGAGTATCTTTTAAAAAAAACATCTAGTATCACCGCAATATCCAGTTCTTTCATAGATCTCGCGCACTATCGAAGCGTGCAGGCGGTGACTGATCCGAGCTCGAATTGGCAATGGACAGCCGGGCAGAGCCTCGTCCCACCCGGTGGCGGCCTTCCCAAACCCCAAGGACCTCATCCAACACAGGCGAATTCGATGGTGAGTGGCTTGTAAACATCTGTCGGTCCTTTTTCGCAGTCTTTAAGGTTGTTTTTCTCAGCACCAACCCTTCGATTTTGACTATTTTAATTATCATTCGACGCAGAAGAAAATTGCGCGTCGAATGATACCAAAATTAACTCAAAATGTAATATCCATGAAAAGTTATGAGGGAAAAGGTTAAGTCCCTGGCTACAGTTTGTCTAATCTATCTACTTTTGTTCAAATTCTATGAGAGAAACAAAGGATATCGAAAAATTTAAAAAGTAAATAGATTGGATAGAGTTTTATATTTAATTTCTATTCTATTTAAAAAGTAAATAGATTGGATAGAGTTTTATATTTAATTTCTATTCTATTTAAAAAGTAAATAGATTGGATAAAAGCTAGAGGCAAGATTTAGAAGTAAAAAAGTAAAAAGTAAAGAGTAAAAAAACAAATTTTCAAAACAAATTGATAGTCAAATAGATCAAAATCCACTCTCACCTTGTTTAAAAACCCTTATGTGCTTGATTTTTCTTTTAAAAAAACAAAAAAATACAATAAAGGGAAGTACGATGGTTCGCCACGCGGGCACCACAAATGATGGAACTCGATTATACGTAATGGACATATAATCGATCGTTTATCTCTTTGTTTATTTTTCGATTTCACACCCAAGAAAGTCTCTCAAATGAATCTCAATCTCTTTTGCGGCATGAGCTTTTCATTTTTGGTCACATCACTTTGTTATGTTTTGTTTTTTTTTTTTGCACTCACCATAAATGTTGTTGTCGTTTTTGTCCTGTTCGATTTGGCTGATTTAGATTTTTGAATTTGGCACATTTTTTGAAAACAAGACCCGTTTACTAAACGTGAAACTGTTTTCTACAAAAAAAACTACTGTAAAGTCTTTACTATTAGATATTCAGTAATCTGTAAGTCCTTCACGATCCTTCACGATCCTTCACAGATCCCTTTCTTACTTTAAGCTTTGTACTTTATCGGCCAAAACCCCCACATAAGGCTCTTTCCTCATTTTCAAGTGCTATACACAAAAAATGGTGCCATTTTTTTTGGCAAAGTTTAACACTTTTCCCCCGACTAAACCCTATAGTTTTTTTTGCCTTAAACTTTAGTTTTGCTTAGCTTAGCTTAGCTTAGCTTGAGCGAAGAATATTTTTTTACGAATGACGCTCAATGAGATCCTTTCCATTTGAACGACCAAATTTATCATCTTCTGGAAAAATTTCTCCTAAATCTTTGTTATTTGTGTTTCCCTTTTCTTTCTCTTACCAAAATTTTAAATGTGCCTGAATAAAGGATTTTTGATTCACTCTGATTGTCCTCGTCTTGTCGAAATGCATGTCAATTACACCGATTATAGAAATAGACTGTTGAATGGATTTCTCTTGATTAAACCCCTAAATGGTGTCTTAAAAGCTACAGTACTCAGCTACCTTAAATCGGCCGAGTTTTCAGAGACAGCCGTACCCAGCTGACTTACTATACCCAGCTGACTTCTTTGTGAAGCCAACTGGATTATTGTACCCATCATTTAGCCATCGTTACAATCAACATTTAGCCATCGTTACAATCAACATTTAGCCCCTTAAAAGTACTTAAATGCTCTTTCAATGCTAGTTTTTAGTTAAATAAAGATAGAGAAAAAGTATAGAGAAAATTTGAGTCACTACTTACAAATTCTTGGATTTGAATTGATTCCAGGTGTCGGGCTATGCATCGATGCCAGTCTCGCCATTCCCAATTCTTCCAAGAGGCGCCGGTCCTGACATCCACTCACAAGCATCCGGTGGATCGGGCAGTGGTGGATCCGGATCAGATCACCGCAGAAAGTAAAGATTTATGATTTATGATTCTATCAAATCTAGCCAAACTTATTGCTCTAAATCAGCAGCTCTAAATCTGTAGCAGATTTACAGGGTGCGTGAAAAGTTCTTTCCCCTCCTAAAAGACCACAAAAAGCAAAGCTCATCTCACATGCAATCAAGAAACACACTTTCATTGTTTTTGAAGTTTTTTTCGACGTTTTTTTTTTGAAGTTTCCAAGACTCAAAACCTACAAAATTAAATTTTTCAAGTATTTTTACACTAGTATTTTTACAGAAAATTCTTTCATCTTTTCGATTTTACTCATATAAAATGATCGATGCTCAATACAAGAATTCAGTCGTGCGGTTGTGCTTCCCCCGGCTCCGGCGCGTTTAGAGGAAATGCCCCAAGAGATGGCCGCCTCTCGACAAAGCTTTCGTCTAGCCATGAATCAACCTTGTGAATTCTTTGTGGATAATATTTAAATGAATTTTTCATAGAATTTTCAATTCTTACTGCAATCTATCTACCCAGATCACCTTCATTTTTCTAGTGTCAGCATAATTTTGTATGTGAATCTATGAGCTTCTGATCTGTTTTTGCCTTTTTTTTTTTAATTTCAATTGCCAATTTTATTTCGTGCCACATTTTCTTGAATAAAGCTCAACTTTTTTGGTTTTAAATGGAAAAGTAAAGTTGATTAAAACCTCGAAAAAACGAAAACTGAGATAGATGCCGAAAATTTAGAGACAGAAAGACAGAGACAGAACAATATTGAACAAGTTGCTTGTATCAGTATTTATTGTGGATTTGCTTTGCTTAAAAACCTTCTCAGGGGTTGTTCAAATCGGTGAGAAGATCTTGCAATGGTTTAGAAATTTTGACTGCCGATTCTCTTGGCTCATCCACTGTTGACTCGTCGATTGCCTCATTCAAGGAGGCATGCACTGAACTGTTCAATTACTTATTAAAATATACAAGATACCGTAATGATTATGGTACTGTAATATAGTAATCCAGTAGAACCAGTTACAGTAATCTAATAACAAAACTTTTTACTGTTACAGTAATCGAGTAACAAGACCTTTTTAAACCAGTGCAGGCTTTAGATCTAAGCTAGTCTAGAAAATCAGTTTTGGAACACCTCTACTAGCTGTTCAACACCTCTACTAGCTGTTCAACACCTCTACTAGCTGTTCAACACCTCTACTAGCTGTTCAACACCTCTACTAGCTGTTCAACACCTCTACTAGCTGTTCAACACCTCTACTAGCTGTTCAACACCTCTACTAGCTGTTCAACACCTCTACTAGCTGTTCAACACCTCTACTAGCTGTTCAACACCTCTACTAGCTGTTCAACATCTCTACTAGCTGTTCAACACCTCTACTAGCTGTTCAATACCTCTACTAGCTTGCAGTTATTACCGTAACATAATCTTTAAAATCAAATCTTACTTGATCGAGCTGATTGCTCAACTTCCGATCCCTCTCCAAACGTTATCATGTAAAAGAATATCAACAGAAATATCATCCAATTCATTGACTTTATTGTTTTTGAGCTATAGTTTGAATGATTGTTTTCCAGAGACAAAGATGTGGAATTAATTGACGGTATTGGAAAAGGGAATTAAAAAGGGGGGAAAAGGTGAAGACTGTGACTTTGTTGGGAAAACGATGTATCACCGAATTTGCATTGGAGATTTGAATACAAAGTGCCCCTCCGAATCTGCATAAAAGTTTCCTCTTTGCTCTTTGAATGGTTATTAAATTCATTCATTATTCTAAATAATGTCATTTTCTCAAAAGTTCATTTCTCTTTTACGTTTCTCTTTTTTGTTTTCAAGGGCTTCTTTTAGTTTTTAAATTTTAGTATTAAAAATCTACATTCTCAGTGATTCGACATTCAATTGATCGCTATTCTTTTACATGATCGACATTCTTTTACATGATAACGTTTGGAGAGGGATCGGAAGTTGAGCAATCAGCTCGATCAAGTAAGATTTGATTTTAAAGATTATGTTACGGTAATAACTTTTCTCTATACGGACACTTTTGCGAGCAAGTTTTTCTTTTGCTTATTTTTCATGAGCTTTTCAGGAAGCTCAAATATTGCGGTGAAACGAGTATCGACATTTTTGCGAGAGATTTATACAATTTAATGTCAAATGGATGGCAAAATTCGACAAACGGGAAAATTTTCAAACCAAGTTGGCGACGAAAACCGGAAAAGGTAAGTGCTTTTGGGGAATTGTTAAGTTGAAATCACCGATCTGCAACTTTTTTTGTGAATTCTATTATGCAGCTGCAAATAAATTTATATTTTTCTTAAATTTTTTTTCTTAAATTTTCTTAAATAAATTTCTAAACTTTCTTTTTTAGAAAACGAATGCCAAATCGGGTGAAACGACAACGGACACCGAGTGCGAGCCGTTCACACAGAAAAAGCCTTTTTTAAGTTTACCTTTTTGGTTACTTTTAAAAGCATAACTTAATTATGTTTAGGCAGGATCGAATCGATCGAAAAAGAATGCCACAAAGTTATTATTCTCTTTATGATGTTAATGGTTTCCTTTAGAAAATCAATCTGTTTCAGAAGACGACTCAGATGATTTATCTTTACTTTGTTAACTGATTTGAAAGTTTAGAAATCGTCTGCTGGAAAACGGCCGCCAAAGCAGAGGAAACTCGGCTCTGATGTATGTTTATTTTCTTAAGTCCAAAAAGCTTTTGATAAAGTTTAACTGACTTTAATCTTAATGGGATATTCTTAAACACTAAATTTCTTTAAAACCTATTGATAATTGTTTCGATTTTTAGGAAGAGAAGACAATATTCGAGAATGAAAATCAAGACGCTGAGCCGGCTCGAGCCAGTAAGGTTTGTTCTTGGTGCTTTGTTATCTTACTTTAAAAGTTTTGTATTTTAGCGGAAAAACATTGGACCTATGGAGGCGATGAAACGTTTGGAGAAAAAGCGAAACAGACGAAAACGAAGGGAGATTGGTGAGATATTTTTTGCAGATATTCAAGATATTAGTTGAAAAACTAAAAAACTGTTTCGATCGTGTCCTATCTACTTTAATAAATTACTTTTAGAGAAGACGCAAGAAGGATGCGAGGTCGAGAAGTCAGCATTGCCTATGCTTTCGACTATCGGATAATGCACAGTATCCTAGCTATATTTTTTTAATAATAATGGTGGTATTTTTGATTATTTCAGAGTCGAATCAACCGATCAAACAGATAAGACGAACGCCAACGAGAATCGGGAATCCGGCTCGGAAGATGGAAGTAGAGGGGGAAAGCGAGAAAAGACGAAAGTAACATCGAAACAAGAACCTCCGCTGACGCTCGAACAACGAAATGCTCAATGTGAGGGTTTAAATTTTAGAAAAATATAAAGTTTGGAAAAAGCTAGTACTTTTTTCAGTCCCCAATCAAATATTCAATAGCTATAAGATCTACTTTAATCTAAAATTTCATTTTTAGCATCGCTGACGACTGAGCGAACCGAGAAAACCGAAGACAAGGAAAAGGAGCAATCCGAGAAGACCGTTGAAGCACAGCCAAAGGCAGGGAAAACATTCATTAGAAGTGTTTTCTTCTTTCAATAAAGATATTTTAGTTACTCGATTTATCGATGCTATGGCGCTTAATAAGTTTATTGGGTTAGACACACATTTAGACTTATAGTGCAAAAATAACAAACAAGCAATAATCTCCGAAATTCAAAATATTTTCGCAGATCGATATGAAGGGAAAAGGTTAATTAGTGGCTGTTGAAGGGGAAAAAGAAAGCATTTTCCAGAGAATATCTTTTCTACACGAATCCCTTTCTCGTAAAAAGGGTGTTTGTTTTGTGTTGTGTTGTGTGGTACCCTGGGAACCGGGACCACACAAGCTTTGGGTATCGATTTAAGAACGTTTTAGGTTAAAAGACAAATTTTAACATCGTTTGAAAACTTTGGTATAATTGAATCTCGATCTCGACATGTCATAGGTATATCCTTCAAGCAAAACTGAAAATCGGGGTCCACTTTCTTGGATCCCGGAAGGGTTCTTTTGGACTGGGGGAAAGTGGGTTCCTCATAGCACCCAGTTATACACATTTTATGCTTCTTTGAGTGTTCCATAGTGTCTTTTTCTTAGCAATATCTATCCTAGTACTCAGATGCAAGTACAATATAGTAGTATGCTTTCTCTGTTTTCTCTTGTATCCAATGCTTTCTCTTGCACCAAATTTATAAGCTAGCACTTCAATACCTGACATTTTCACAAATCCCTACACACGTGTGCTTATGGGCTTTTGTCTCATCAGAACAGAACGTCAGAATGTCAGAACACGTTTTAAAACTTATACGTCAAAAGGCACAATAAGAGATTCATTGGCTTATCAGAAAAAGTATAAATCTAAATTTTTCTTTTAAATCAAATGCAAATCTACAAATGCGAGCTTTTTGAAAATTTGAACGTAACCTAAACAGATTTTTTTCAGATTGTCGTTTTCAAACTCGTTTCAAAACGAACACAAATCATTTCAAACGCTTCATTTTTGCGGGAGTGTGAATACTCACCAACACTGGGTGTATTCTTTTGTGTTACCCTTTTCTCTCTTTCCGCCTATTTCCCCTCTTTCTTTTTCCATGGGCTCCCCCCGTTCGCGCCACAATCAATCGGCTGTGCTGTGCTGCCTCCTCTTGGAAAAGCGCGCGTTTCTCGAAAACCTCTCCACTCTCTTGTGCATTTTTTTTCCTTCTCTAACGCTAATGTCTACCTCGATCGAACAAATTTCTGAATGAATATACTGTTCTTTCTTCGCCTCTGACCCATTTGTGCTCACTCATGACGATTTTTAGTATAGATCGCAATCTGAATCGTTAATTTACTGAGATTATTGGCTGATCTCGTTTTTGTTCTTTGCAATAGTCTTGCATTGATTTTAGTTTTTTGTGTTTATCGATTACTCTTTCTAAACATTCTCCCAGGGTCATTTATAGATTTCCCCTCAGGCTTTCGTCCCCTTGTCCCCTTTGCATTGCGAAACAGCCCCTCGTTCGACTCTCTTTTACTCTCTTACTTATCTGCTTTTTTATGTGCCCGCTGTGGTCGCATTTTTGACGTTACAATTCATCTTTTTTGGCGTATAATTTGTTTTTATTTCAGCTCAACATGGATCGGGTGCAAGTCGGGATGCATGTGGACATCAAGCGATCCGACGGACGAGTACACTCAGCGATCGTCTCTGAAATCCGGCCTGAAAAGAGCGCCGTACTTGTTGAGTGGTATGAAGGGGTAAGCAATTTAAAAATAAACAATCTAATAGCCTTTAGCAGTTTTTCTTAATTATTCTAATTAGATAGACTTAAAAGCAGAGCCTATGTTGCGAGTTTTTTGATAAGGGCGTCGCCTTACTTCTGAACTTTAGGGTGACACAAAGGGCAAAGAAGTCTTCATAAGCGAACTCGTCGCCATCAATCCCACCTTGGTTGGAAAGCCGAATTTGAGCGACACGTTAGCGAATGCGATGTCGATTTCAAAACCAGTCAAAAGAGAGCCCCTCAATATGAATATGAACAGCACAATTTGGTAGCTTTTTATCTTGATATAAAATTACCTGCAGCATTTAGTGGTTCGATGGAAGATGACAACGACCTACTTTTACCAATCAAGCCAAAGTTGAATGAAAAGAAACGCGCCATACTTGGTTCGGAGAAGGATTTGACGATCGAGCCGCCGCGAGATGAGTCGATTACGAAACAAGCATCAGTGAAGCCAGAACGTCGATCTCTTGTGACACCGAAGGCCTCAGCTCCACAATGTAAGCTTGTTTTAATTCCTCGCTGGAGTTGTGACTAAACTTAATCTTTTTGAAAGTAGGTAATTTTTTAAAAACTAGTTTCGATTAAAACAGTTTCACTAGGTAAATTTTTACTGAACAAATTATTTTAGTAACACAACGTTCTCGGGTGTCTGCGCTCAACCTTACGACGGCAATTCTTCCACCACCCATTCCAGCTAATGCTGTGGCTCCTGAGAAAAAAGGCGAAACGGTGCAGCAAATCGAGAAGCTCCAAAAGCAGCGCGAGGAACGGCGCGCTCAGCAAGACGAAATCAAGAAGAAGAGGGAAGTCGAGAGGGCGTTGGATCCAGGAAATCCAAACTATCAATTCTCTGTCATGATCCGCGACTATCAATCTAATGTAAGCTGTCTACTATAATTTCTTTAACATTACTTCTTGTTTTAGATTGACTTTCGTCCACTGAAGATTACGGACTCGGTGCAGGACACGAGGATTTCTGTGTGTGTCCGGAAGCGCCCCATGAACAAGAAAGAGATCACAAGGAAGGACATTGAGGTGGGTGTCTGTTATTTTTGGCTGAATTCTATTTGATTTAGGTTGTGACGATTCCAAAACAGGACCATGTAATTATTCATCAGCCACAAGTGAGGGTGGATCTGACAAAATACTTGGACAACCAGAAGTTTCGATTCGACTACGCTTTTGACGAAAATGCTGATAACGAAATGGTTTATCGGTATGAGTTCTTTTAGTGGTTTGAAAATAATATTTCTTTAGATTTACTGCCCAGCCGTTGGTCAACTCAATTTTCGAGCAAGGATTCTCGACATGTTTTGCTTACGGACAAACTGGGTCGGGGAAAACACATACAATGGGTGGAAATATGGCGACCCACGAAACAACAACAAAGACGAAACAACAAGACTGGTCGAAAGGAATTTACGCTCTTGCCTCCTGCGACGTCTTTCGACTGCATCGTGGGGAATATCGCTCTCTTGGACTTACAATTGGCTGCAGCTTCTTTGAAATCTATGGAGGAAAGGTTTGTATTTATTGTATTTGCTCACAAATGGTTTTATTTTAGGTGTTTGATCTTTTGAAGAACAAAAACTTGTTGCGAGTGCTCGAGGACGGAAAGCGTGAAGTACAAGTCGTTGGGCTACAAGAAGAGACGGTGACGTCGGACCAGCAAGTCCTGGATCTGATCAAGAGGGGCTCTGACATGAGAACTGCTGGAGCAACGTCCGCAAATTCCAATTCAAGTCGATCCCATGCCGTGTTTCAAATCATACTCCGCAGGTACCTAACTTACCTAACTTTTAAATGTTTCTTGTACAATTCATGTATTTTAGAGGAAACAAGTTATGGGGAAAATTTTCGCTTATCGATTTGGCGGGTAATGAACGAGGACAAGACACTGGCTCATCGGATCGACAAACGCGAATGGAAGGCGCAGAAATCAACAAGAGTCTTCTCGCATTGAAGGAATGCATCCGGGCAATGGGACGAAATTCAGCCCACGTTCCCTTTCGTCAATCGAAATTGACTATGGTTCTTCGCGGTATTGTGCTTATACGTTATTTGTTTTTTATGATAAATTTTAGATTCTTTCGTTGGCGAAAATTCCCGGACTTGCATGGTTAGTTGCTTTTATGACACTCAAATAACTATTATTTCAGATTGCTATGATTAGTCCCACGATGGCCTCCTGCGAGCACACGCTGAACACGTTGCGATACGCCAATCGAGTCAAGGAGCTTGGATGTGAAGATGGAGATAACGCCTCACCATTGCGCGACGACGAATTGATGCTGGCCAACCCTGAGGCGGAAGTCGACGAAGTACTCCAAGTTGCGACCGGGAAAAACAAAGGCGAACTGAAGTACGAGAAAGTTATCGCGGCGCTGACACAATGCGAGGAAAGGACGATTAATGACTTGTACAATCATCAAGAGGTTAGTTTATTAGGCGGTTTGCAATATTAATTTTACATTTTAGATGTTGAGAGTCGAAGATCGAAAAATAGCCGATTTTATCAACCGCGTCCAAGATCCCGATTACGAAATGGAGCCGTTCATCAAAGGATTAATTGGTCAACTCGAGCAAGAACTATCGGATCGACGTGCTGTGCTAGGTATTTTTTAAAAACTTCCCTGTTAATCTCTTAATTTTAGAAAACGCGAATAAATGGCTGAAGATCGCCCAACAAGAGAGCGAACTGTCGAACAAGGCCAAGAAGAAGTAAACACGTTCTTGCTGTTTTTAATCCTCATTTAATTTGTGTTGGTCTCATAACTTGTCTATCTACGGGTACTGTGATATTCTATCTTATTCTATTCTATTTAATTTACATCGATTTCTTCGTTTTTATAATTCAGTTTTAACAGTGATAAATTAATTTCTCTAGTGAAAGGCATATAAGATAGTTTTCAAAATGCTAATTAAACTTACAGACATAAGCTTTGCTCGGTATTTGAGAAACGGTGTTAGTTTGTGAATAGGAAACGAGAAGTTTATCGAAGAAATCAAAAGAAATCCTTGCTTAAACACAAGATATCACAATGGATTTTGGCATCGGTTGATTGGATGGAGAATGGTGAACAAACTAATTTCAAGTGGAGAATGTTTACAAATGTAAATAAGTTTCAAAGTTCTACACGGTAGTTGAGGGATAAACTAGCAAAAATTGCGATTAAAGCTTTGAGAGAGATAAAAACGAAATTGAAAGCTCATTGTCAATCTGAAGAAATTTTTTAAGACTAGGATGGCTTGCATCTTTGGTCGTTTAAGTTTTTCAGTTAAAACTAGATGATCAATAGTTGGTTACTTTTTAAATGATATGTGAAATGGATACTCGTATGTATAGGATCGCCAAACGGGGGTTATTTTCAGGATAAAGGAAATGAAAATTAGTTACAGCTTGAGATATGTTGTGAGGAAAATGGTGAGAATCGAGAAAACGACGGTGGTTTGCGGGGATCCACCAGTTGTGCCTTCTTGTGGACTGGCGACACCTGAAAGTTCATCTCGTTTGACGCTTTGAAATGGGCACAAATTGCTTTATTTAGGTATTTGAGCTTTTTTGGATCGATCATTCGCCTCACCTTTTGCCTGTTCATCGCCGCTTTCCGCCGAATTTAGCCCGGCTCGCTGGGGTTCATTCGCTTTTGGGGCTCTCGTATGCTCACTTTCGATCTCTTCAACACTGCCCCAACCTTGCGATGAACCATCTACAAATGGGAAGAGATTTTTACGAAAAACTTATTTAGATGCCAAAGTGAGGCATTTGACATTCCTATTGGGCTTTCTAGAAGTTAGTTCTGGACAGCCAGGCGTGTTTTTACCCACTTTCCGGTGCGGTTTCTTTATCGAGTCCGGGCGATGTGCTCGGTTTTCGCTCTCGATCGATCTCAATCGAATTCCAGGTCGATTTTGAAATGATCACTGGTGAGGATTGTTCCATTGGAGGCTGAAAATCATCATTGAGCAAAGGATTAATATTGTTGTTAAGTTGAAGACACACCACACAAATCTTTAGCAAATAGTAAAAAGCACCCAGGTTAGTTGAGGTTAGCTGGTTAGATTTGTCTTGATATTTTAGTGCAAAATAGGAAAGATTACGGTAATTATTAGAAATTTGGGTGTTTTAAGCACTACTTTATCGGATATGGAACTCAAGGGTTAACCCTAGACTTCTATATCGATAAGTAAAGCTGTATATCGATAAGTATTACTGTATAAGTAAAGATAAGGTTCAGTTCTTTTGTCTCATTACAGTATGGCAGCAAAAGTATTCAACTTTTGCACCTGTTTGCTTGTTTACCATAATGTAGTGAACCAAAGTTATATTACCGTATTTTCTCTGAGCGAGCCGAGTTGATGACTATTTACGGCTTCCAAAGTTTTCCCAGAGACTCAACACTCGAATCCCCCGCTAGATCTCATCGTCAGCTACATTTTCCGACCCCACATCGATAGGTTCTGATAAGCGGTTCTCGAGATTTCGAGGAATTTAGGCGACGCTCTGGGTGCACTACTATTAGAGAAAATACGGTAAATTCTTTGTTCTTTAGCTTTGACATACTGAGCCAAAAGATTTGAACTTTACAGTAAAATGAAAGCAATTGCAAAACCTGACCAGTGTGGTGTTCGGTGGTGGTGGTTTAAGGTCGATGAGTTGATTGGAGGCAATCGAAATCGATGTTTGCTTTGTTTGCTTTGTTTCCATCGTTTTCCCATTATCCATTTCCTTTAAAGAATTCGTCTCATTGCTCATACCAAAGCTTTGTTTAAGGCTTGTCGTTTTCCCATTTGAACTTAAATCTTCCGTTTCATTGCCCACCTTTGACACCGTCCTTTTGATTTCTATCGTAGAAATGGTTCCCGTTTGATTCGACGTCTCTAAATATGCGTTCACCGTCAGCTCGATTTGGTGACCTTTCCGGGCAACTGGGATTACTGGGGTTACTGGGGTTACTGCAGTTTTCTCATTTTCTGTTGACTCAATTTCTCGGCTTGAGCTTGAGCTTGAGCCAGTTGTGATCTCATCAAAGTGATCATCTTGAGATCTTGAGCTTGAAACAAGATTTCTAATCGTGGAAAAGTTGATCACCTCTGGCAGCTCTGTTGTATTTTGAGGATTCAAATTTTCAGATAAGCTTTTGTTTTCGGCTTCCTGAGCTAGTGCTGAAGTTTCTGTATCGTTTAAGAGCTTGATATCATGAGCCTGACTATTCGACGATAAAGTATCTAAAACTGTAACCAAGCTTTGTTCTGTGACATTTTCAGCTTTCAGTGTTTCAGCTAGGCTTTCTGGATGGGCTGTTTCAAAAGGTATTGAACTGCTGTCAAGGCTTGGCAGAGGTTCAATTGTGCTCTGATTTTCCGGATGTCCAAGTTGTTCCACACTTTTTGTGCTGTTTTCAGCTTCAACATTTTCATTGATCTTGCTCTCATTCATATTTTCAAAGGTCTCCATAATTGGGGTTATTGAAATGTTTTTCCCAATCAATGCAGATCCATCCACTGGCTCCGATAAGCTTTGATTTCCTGTATTCTCAAAATTTGGCAATGAAGTAGTTAAAGCATTTCCGGGAACTGTCGTAAATTGGCTGATAAGGGTCATGAGTGACATTTCCAGTTTAGAACTTTTCGTTGTTTTTAGAGATGATTCATTCGATAAAATTAATTCTGATCGGTTTTCTTGAGTCAGCGTGTCAAAAGTGTCAGCTAGGTTTACGGCTTCATGTGGGAGAGTGGAGAAATTCGCCTCTGGAAACGGTTTCAAATGAGGCACATTCTCGGCTTCTTGTTCTATCACTGTAGTGGGCGCTGTAGCTACCGTACTCAAAACCACAGCGAAATTTGATGGATTCGTCGTGTTTTCTTCAATTTCAACAATATCCGATGTTTCGGGTGCATTTGTGGAATTGTCGAGTAACAAAGCCGGCAGAATGTCACTCGGTGCAGTGGAGGGAAGGTGCTAAACGGAAAAACCACCCAAAATTAGTTATAGGAAAGCTGAAAATCCTCAAAAGCTTTAACCCAAACAAAATTCGTAATGAAAATCTTTGGTTAGCTTTGGGGAAAGTGTTGCTTTTTGAAGGGAACTGGTTCAGCTTAGTGTAAAATAGCCGTGATTTAACACATTCACGACGAAACGACCCACCGGTGGGCTGTGCTAATGACGATTATTTTTTTTGACAATTCCTATTGACGTTAGATTCCTATTGACGTTAGATTCTAATTGACGTTAGATTCCTATTGACGTTAGATTCCTATTGACATTCGATTCCTATTGACGTTAGATTCCTATTGACGTGCGATCTTAAGAGACTGGCGCGAGAGCGACGCGACGTTTCCCAGTAACTTTGTACTAGTTTTCAAGAAAAGATTCAGAGCTATCGAATGAATATAATAGTTTAGTTTATCTTTGAATGTTTACCAAGTTATCAGTAAAACAGTAACGACTAATGGGACGCTCGAAATATCGTCGTCGCGAATGTGTTACAATTTTTCTTTCTTTCTTTCACCGATTTGAGGTTAGATGAAAAGCTCAAAGCAACACTTTCTTTTATGAAAAACAAAAGATTCCCCAAAACTCCATTCAAAAATGAAAAGTTGTCCTTACCTTGCCGAGATCGGCGAGTTGAGTGATGTCATTTGTGGTCGATGAATGAGGTTTGAAGGTGGGAGTGCTGAAAGTTAGAAAAACTAATACTCTAATACAAAATCAAGAAATCAAAATTTAATCGTTCATGAATCATATCTAATCCCCAGCATTTCTAAACAGGTTTTGTTATTTTTTTCAATCTTGTCCAAGTCTTGAAGTTCCTCTTTTCCTTGTAACTCACCCCGTGACGCCATCAGTGCTTTTCACGAACATTGACGATTTCACCTCAATCAATTGCTCTGAAATGTTTCTGGATAGCTTAATATCTTGAATTTGAAGTTATTAAGCTAAAACGAACCCTCACTCGTCCCAGTGACCAACATCGGTTTCACAGTGGCTTCATCTAAAAAGAAGTTGTTAGCGATTGATTTAGTCGTGAATAATATCTGTAAAGTCCTTCTTTTGCTCTACAGGAGTTCCTGCCTACAGGCATTATATTTTGACAACCCTAGTTGCTAGTTCCAAACTCATTTGCCTGATTGTAATGGTGGAATGGGCTGATCTCTGCTGAACACGGGCTCGTCCACGAATTTGTAGGCGGCCAACGGGGTTTGCGGGTCATTGCAACGAGCCGCGCCCTCACAACCGCAAATCGTTCTGAAAAGTGAAAAGTAGAAGTGAGCTTTGTTAACAAAAGTCAAGCAATGTACTTTATATTAGGCTGATAAGTATGACTCTGCACTTCATTGCTTTTCAATTTCCTAAGCAATCAAGCCATCGTTTTCTCTAAAGTTTTTTTGACAATAACAACTGAATATTTGTCCATTATGTCCAAAGTTTCATCCCGATCTGATGCTTCGTTTTGAGAAATAACAATGAGTTTACAAAAAAATTGGCTTCAGCTTTTTTCCGCTTACAAGCCTGGTTTCGAGAGACATCATTGGGCCAAAAAACGACTAACTTTACTTGAGCAACTGTTTTTCAAAAACGAAGCATCAGATCGGGACGAAACTTTGACTCATAACGGACAAAGATTAAGTTGTTATTGACAAAAAAAAAACTTCAGAGAAAACGATGGCTTGGTTGTTTCGGAAATTGAAAAGCAATGAAGTGCAGAGTACTTACCAACTCAATACTGATCCTCACTACAGTACCTAGTCTCTTCTCGATGACACACGTTCTCCCCGCCAAAGTGATCGCCCGATCGCAAGTTCAGACATCCCGCGCTAATCGTTCCGTTGAAGAACTTGTTCACAACTAAACACTTGCATTTTATTAGTTAAACTCTTAACACGTTCGGGACGGTTCGGTCCACCAGTGGACAAGGCCGTCTAGTCCCTGGGACGGTTCGGTCCACCGGTGGACGAAATTGTGGTCCACCGGACGAAACCCCTCTCGCCCCAGAGACAGACGCTCTACCGACTGCGCCATAGAAGACCTCTATTGCGCGTATCCCAGTAAAACGACCTTTTTGGGATAAAGTCTTATCAAAAAATGATGTTGATATGAAATGTTCATCTAGCTGAGCTCCATCCAATAAAACAAAAATCGTGGAAAATAGACCATTGGAGAAAGAGAAATGCGGCGTTTTGTCTCACGAGCCAAAAAGAGCCGATATCTTTTTGAGGCAGCAATATTTTCAAAAGCTGATTAGAGATTCGGATTCAGCATGAAATTTTACATATAGGAGGTGTATTTTGGGGCTAATAGCTTTGCGAGACACCCCTCGTTCACTGGGGCAGTAACGCAAACAAAAAAAAACGCCTCGTTGCGAATGTGTTAATAGAGTAGATGCTCACCTATATAACAGACATCTCCTTCACAAGTCTCTGGACATTCATTCACATGTGGTGGCTCGGGAGTGAAAGGGCATTGCGAGCAGAGAACGGACGTAATTTCATCAACTTTCAATAAGACAAGAAATATGGAAACGAGATGTGGCGGGCCCCAGCCCATTACCTGAAAACAGTTGTAAAAGCAAGGAAATGGTTGTTTCAATCAAAATTGAGTGGCACTACGGGGGATCGAACCCGCCTAAGCTGGGTGGCAGCGGGTCGTGTGGGCCGTAGACAAGCGTGCTCCCGACTGCGCCACGGCGACAAAGTACCCGCTGTTAATTGGGGTTTTCTGGTTGATCACAAAAGTGTTATGATAAAGAAGTCAAGAAAGTAAAGTAAGATGAAAATCAGAGAACAAAGACAAAGACAGAAGACAAACAGACAGACAGACAGCACAGAACAAAGACATTTCCAATATGAAAGACAATCCGTTTGTGAATCTCTTTATTCAATAATTTTAGCTAGTCATCTATCAAATTATTGATATGATAAAGAAAATAAAAGAATATAGGTTCAGTATTGGTAGAATAAAATTGAGATGGATGTTTCTTTAGAAAGGAGCATGTGTGCCTGTCGACGATCACCACACACCATAAAAGGGGTCAAAAATGACTCTCGTCGTTTTTGAATGAGTGAATGGGATGAAAAGCGGGCGTTTCTGTGGTTCTCTATGGAAAGTATTGCTTTTTTTGTGTGAAGGGGCAAGTCTTTGAGTGTCTTGGAGGTCGGTTGAGGGGAGGGACACCACTTTAGAAAAAAATGAAAAAGGAAGATCTACTTCTTGAAATGAGCGGAAGGGATCGGCTTTGGGTAATCTCTTAGAGATATGAAAATCTCTTATCTCTACTAAGTGGAAAACTTTTGAAGTACTTTAAGAATGATTTAACAATAAAAGGAGCGAAGCAAAGCTCTCCAACGTTTCGGTTTAATGACGGAATTCAATTTCGGTGCAAAGCCAGACAATTGTGGGGAACAAAAACGGCCAGTTAGAGTAAGCTGATAGGCAGTTAGAGTAAGTTGATAAACAGTTAGAGTAAGCTGATAGGCGGTTAAAGTAAGCTGATAAACAATTAGAGTAAGCTGATAAACAGTTAGAGTAAGCTGATAGGTAGTTACAGTAAGCTGATAGGTAGTTATAGTAAGCTGATAGACAGTTAGAGTAAGCTGATAGGCAGCAGTCATAAAAATAAAACCAGCTTACTGTAGTCCTAAAGATATTCAGGCACTGGCTGCCTAGCTTACTTTAACTTTAAATCAACAACTGCTTATGCAAGTAAAACATATCCCATTAAAGTTTAAAACAAGCAAAAACGAATATCGATGTATCTTGTAAAGATCGATATAAAGATAAAATGGATTTGGAAAAGTCAAATGTATCCGCAAAGGTGGTAATTAATTTTTCACTCACAAGAAAAGCAAAAAAGAAAGTAATCAGTAATAATAAAGAAAGTAAAGAAGCCCTAAAACTTGTGAATGAATAAATGGATAAATGGGAAATGGATAAAAAGTAATGAAAATAATGTGAAATTTTCAAAAATAAGCCTTTTACAGTAAAGATTATAATCTTTTTGTGATACTTGATGATTTTGGAAAGACAGGTGAAAATTTCGAAAGCGCCTCTCCTTTTTGCAGTCTCTTTTCCATTGAATACCATAGAAACCGAGGAGTTTTCTCTTGTCTACAATTGCGAAAATTTCTTTGCTTTTTTGCGTATAACGAGATTTTCATTAAAATTTATGTTCTTTAAGATATTGCGAAAAAGTGTGATCGCCATTTGGAAGCAAAAAATGTACAAGAAACTTGAGATGAATCAGAAATAGAAAAGGAAAAGCTATAAGCCATTTAAATTAAAAAAGCCATAAGCCATTTAAATTTCTATTTAAAGCCTAGATAGCTTGTCCGTATTCTAAAAAAGCTTTTTTTATGCTATCGTAAGAATAGAGTACGCTTTATGGCACTTACCGTAAATGCTGTATTAGAATGATACGCTAAAATAGAATGATATGCTTAAATAGAATGGTACGATCAAATAGAATGATATGCTTAAATAGAATGATACGCTAAAATAGAATGATACGCTAAAATAGAATGATACGCTTAAATAGAATGATATGCTTAAATAGAATGATACGCTAAAATAGAATGATACGCTTAAATAGAATGATATGCTTAAATAGAATGGTACGATCAAATAGAATGATATGCTTAAATAGAATGATACGCTAAAATAGAATGATACGCTTAAATAGAATGATACGATCAAATAGAATGATACGCTCAAATAGAATGATACGCTTAAATAGAATGATACGCTCAAATAGAATGATACCTGAATGGGGTATTGTAAAATAGAATGACATGTCATTCTATATTATTATTCTACAACATTTACGGTATTTTAGAAAACTATCCAACTCAGCTCGCCAATTTTCATTCAATAAGCCAAATTTTTAATATCATTCGATGAGGATTCACAAGACTCGATCAATGATACAAAAATTGAGCTGATCAAATGGAAACTGGTGGTTTTATTCTGATAGTTTTCTAAAATAGGTGTATTTTTGAAAGCGCATAACTTGAGAGGATTACAGTACCTCTACAGTAATCTACAGTAAGTAACAGATTACAGTAAAAGCAAGTGCTACAGTATACAGAGTGTAAGAAAGTAAACGAATTAATGCAAGAAAAAAGAACTTGGCTATAATTTCAAGAATCTCTACAAAATCTACTTTATCATTAAAAATGAATTGTTTATTCTCCAATATATCGATTCTATATTGCCGATACTGCGGTGAGAAAATTGGCTGTAATTTCTCTTTTTCGCCGAAGCCGTTGTTGAATTGATTAAGGGATTCATATTTGAGCAACTGTCTTCTATTGGGAATTTCCCGTCGAAAGCCCCCGCCGGTCATTCAACAACCGTGTCACAAAGGGGACAATCATTCAGTCATTCGGGGAAATTCCTGCCTCTCCACTTCCCGACAATAAACCCAATTTTATAAAAAAACTGATAGTAGAATATTTAAGCTTAATCAAAGTTAATAAAAAATTGGATAGTGATTTTGGTTTTGTATCACTAACTAGCCTATCCTAACTCAATAGACAGAACCTAGTCCATACTTTGTGTCCAGACAAACGCGCGCTTTCTGATGCACTCATTACCAAAGGGAAAATGGATAATCGACTGTGCCAGACAGTATGCGTTTACAAGAGCACAAAGTAACGACCAGTTTTAAAAATGCTAGAAGACAAGGAAACGGGCTATGAAAAGAAGTTTAGAGTTACAGCCAAGATTACAGTTTAAAGTCAAACATAGACAAGGATAAGAATTACTGTCTAAGAATGCCTTAAAATATTTCGGTCTTTGTTTCTTCTTTATCGTTTATTTATAATCTGGTTGTCAATGTCTATTTCGGACACTCTTTTGTCTAAGAATCATGGTGACCTTAAAAGTTTAAAGTTAAAAATGTCAAAGAAAAAGAGCCCAATCAATCTTGGTAAAGATAATACTCGAAAAGTCAACTGAGACAAAAAGAATAAAGACAGAAAAGCCGGGAAATGATTTGTGAAAGAAAGAGGAGTTGGGTGTTCCCGTCTCTTTGTGGGATGATTTCGGTAAAGAGGAACACATGTGTGTGAGTTCTCTCCATGCATTCTTAAATCATTTCCAAGGTTCACTCAAAAAAAAACCCCGCAACATTTGTTTAAATCAATCAACCGAGAACGGGTAACTAATCTTTTCTCGACAATTGGATAAGTCTTTGATTAGGAAGAGTGGATTGGGTAAAGATCTCGAGACTTTTAGTCAGCTTAAGTTTGATCTCTAAAGTCACTGCAAGCTGACTACAGTTGTACCAGTTTCGGCATACTGTAGCCAACTAGTTTCTGTATACTGTAGCCAACTAGTTCCGTTATTCTGAAATTCAGACATCATTGAAATTGAGTGAATGTAAATCATTCACAATTAGTCTTGTTAGCTGAATACTTAGATTACGGTAGTGACTGCGGAGACTTTTATCGTAATTTTCAAATTATCTAGCTGACCAAGAATTTTGAAAATGTAAGCGCAAAAAAGTTTCGAAATGATCTTTAGCTGACGCTCTGACGACTTCTCCTAGGTAAAAGCTAGTTTTTTTTAAATTTCCAAAGCCTCAGAAATTCTATTTATGGTAACGAAAAAGTGAGTGAATCGTGGTGAAAGGGCTTGTGTTTTTCATTTTGAAAATAGAGACAAGGTGAGTAAAACAAACGAGGAGTGGATGGATGAATTGTGACACTGTTTGTCGATATGATTACCGCTTTGGGAAGGGTCGAGATGGTAAGAAGAATAACATGGTTTCACAAAGGAAAGCGAAATTTCCTTGTGACATGAGAGATCGGTTCTACTATTTGGATACTTTTTGAACTCATACAAAACTCACTTCAGTTAGGAGCTAAATGATTACAGTACGAAATTGGGGTACAAGTATGAAAGTACTGAAAGCGTTGTTCCAAGTACTTACAGTACTCCAATACTGTAATACTGAAGGCTGCAATGCAATACTGAGAGCCCGGAAAGGCTTATGATAGTACTGAAGTCTTCTTATCAGAAGTAGTACTGTACTTGGAAATTCTGTAGATTTATTAAGAAAAGTCCTTGGGAAAAGTACCTAGTTAGATGTAAAATATTATTGTGTGTACATTGAAAGTAGATGGGTATGGCAGAATTGCTTGGGGCCAGTACAGTAATGTAGGGCAGTCATGTAAACAAGAACCAAGTCTGCAAAAATAAAAACTGGTGACTATTTTTTTCTTGATGAATGATATGTATGTACCTATTCGTGATTGGAAAGACGATGGGGAAGGTGTGAATGCAAAAAGGAGGCAATGTTTGCTTGGCTGTCATCGGCGAACGTGTAGGCAACCGATCCGTGTGTCTAGTCCTCCACCATTTAGATGATCGTTTAGAAAGAGAAACACCTCGATTGAAAGAATCAAGAAAATAATGATGCCCATGTAGAAGAACTTCCGGAAAATGTGCCGGAAAGTGGCGATGTTTGTGAAAAAACGGATAGTGTTTAAAATAAAGAAAAATTAGGGGTAGGCTAGTTTCCGCAAATTTTTTTTGCGCAACAGGGTCATTTGCGCAACTGGGTCGTTTACGCAACTCACCATAACTTTCTTCTAAGTCGGTCAATCTTTATGATTTTGGTTTCATTTTGTAGATCTCAATAAGTGCAACAAAATAACACCAAAAGCATAAAGATTGACCCACTTAGAAAAAAAGTTATGGCGAGTTGCGCAAATAACCCTGTTGCGCAAAAAAAGTCGCGGAAACTAGCCCACCCCAAAAATTACCGACGAAAACGCTAATTATGCTCTCTAAAAGGCACCAAAGCATTTTAATTCGTTTAGCTGAATAGCTTTAGAAGGTTTATTGCAGGTATTTATGAACAAATCATTTAGAAACAAAGCTAATCTTTTGTTTTCATATTTCGCGCGGTTCAAGACAAGTGGGAGCTGATCAAAACGGCGCCACTGCAAAAATATCCCCTCCGCTGTTAGGTTTCTATGTGTTTCTTATTCTTATTAGATGCAGAATAAGTTTATATACGTTTTGCATACTTTGGGATGCATCTCTTAAAACAAAATTGGTGTTGAGAAAAGCTCAATTAACCTCTTTTTGAGCCCTTTTTCGTTTTTTCGCACTTCCTCATCCCAGATTTGTTCTAAACGGCTCCAAAAAATTCAGCAGATAGCTAATTTTTTTCTACATTCAATGAAAATAAGAAACACAAATGAACTTAGCCGCAAGCGCATGATTTTGACCAGCGCTGTTTTGGTCAGTTCCCAGAAAAGTTCGACAAACCCGTTTTTTGTGATCGGTCTAGTTTTAGATATCTTTACCAAAGAAACTTTTTAAACAATCTAAAGTTCTAAAAATCCAGATCTTCAGCTTTCAGCGAAATATTTGACGCTTCAACAAGATTTTACTGGCATAAACGCATTTTTGTCGTTTCAATCTCATTTCTTTATTTTTCTACACAAGTTACATTTTTCTTTTACAGATTCGAACCGGATGGAAACGACAACGGATGACCAACAAAATGAACGGCAACGAACCTTGACACAGCTGAAAAACACGGAAATGGAAGTCTGTGGAAATTTTGCTTCAACTTGTTTTTTAATTGAAACTTTAGTTTTATCGAATGCAATTGGTGTCCCATTGGATCATCCTCTGCTTCGCCCTTAGTGAATCCCTCCTTGCCATTATCGTCTATTCCAGCAGCTTCCTTGAGTCGGATTTTCTCTACATTTTAGGTTAGTTGAAGTTACTATTGCTATTAAATCCAGTAATTCCTATTTAGTCTCATGTTTATATGGTGCGCAATCATTTCTACTCGACATTTATTGTAAATCGTGTGAAAAACAAATTAAGGTGAGTGGTAGCTAATTTTCTCGACAATAAATTATGAAATTTTAGAAAAAGTTAACTTTTCTCTATACTTTGCTATCGTCAAGTTTAAATCCGGCCATTGCTAATGAAAAGGCAAAAATTGAAACAATTTTACGAGTAAGTTTTTGTTTTTTGGAATGCCTTTTACTTTTATAAATTTACTCTTAAATTTAGGACGATTGCTCCATTTCTGCATATGGGGACTTGCTTCTTTTACGAGTGTACATAGGATACATCGTCCTTTGCGCCAGGGCACCGGTATTATAGCATTTCTCGATTTACCTGTCTTAACCTATTATTTAGTTTTGCAACTGGGCCATAGTTTTTGGGTTTTTGATTGATCTATCCACTATTGTACGGCTTCTTTTTTCTTTCAATCATACAACGTGGAAGCTTACCCATGGAGCGGTAATGGAAATATGCCATGTCATTAGGGCTGTAAGTATATTCGGTTTAAATCTACAGATTATTCTAATTCAGATTAGGAGAAAGATTGCTTCAACAAGACCTTCAAGGAATCGAGCTTAATTTTTATAAGGCGGGGGAAAGCAAGCTTAACGTGTGATAACTCTATTTTAATGCGCAGAGCTATTTATTTAACTCTGAGACAATAATAAATAGTTTTCTGATATTTTTGGCTTAAAATATTTTGATCTTTGTTTCTTCTTTATCGTTTATTTATGATCTGGTTGTCAATGTCTATTTCGGGCACTCTTGAAAATTTAGGATGAAAGTCAAAGTGATTTCAAGGAATCCAGATGACTATCAACGAGAAACGAAAGCTGATCTTCACAAATGTATTTTTAATGATTTGACGCTAGAAAAGTTCTTTTAGTGGTCAGAAATTACAATTCGGAGCGAGACGCCTTTCAAGCGCAAACGGAATACGTCAGAGCGTTAAATGCGACGAAATTAGAGCGGGTATGCTACAGATTTTTTTGAATACATTTCTTTTTTGTCGCTAGATGATATCTAAAATTATCCGCTTTTATCAAGCCAAACTTTAGGTATTTGCAAAGCCATTTGTGGCGTCTCTCGATGGGCACAATGATGGAGTGAGCATTCTCTCAAAGCATCCCTTTCGATCATCAACGGTATTTAATCATTTTCAACTAGTTAATTAATTTATTATTTAGATCTTTTCTGGCGCTCGAGATGGACAAATTAAAGTGTGGAATTTACCACGAAGGGAATGCATCTCAACAATACAGACGCATCGAGGACTTGTTAATGGTGTTTTTAAATCTCTAGCATATATCTAACTTTCCATTCTAGGTCTCTCTGTTGACAATGTGGATGGTGAGCAAATGGTAACCGTTGGTAGCGACAGTCAACTGAAAATGTGGAAGGTTCATTTGAATTCTTAACATTTTCTACATTGAACTAGGTGCCGGTCACTGGCAAAGAAGCAAACTTGGATGAACCTATGCACAGCATCCCGTTAAATGGTACCATGAATACATTTCTTTTGTGCTGAATTTCTCCTTTTAGAAGTTGCTCATTCTATATCGCATGTCGCAAATTCTACCGATTTTGTCACAAGTGGTGATACAGTCAACGTGTGGAAGCCTTGGCGGTTAGTACATTTTATATTTTTTTTGCATAAATAAATTAGAGACTCACCAATTCGTACTTACAATCTTGGCGTCAACACGATTCATTGTGTCCGCGCGAATCCCATTGAAGAAGCAGTTATGGTCGGTGTGACAACAGATCGCAGCATTTTTCTACTCGACACTCGACAAAAGAGCCCGCTCAAAAAGGTTTGAAAAATGATATTCATTGGTTAATCGGACAACCGTTTAGGTTACCATGAAACTTCGGCCCAACATGGTTATCTGGAATCCCATGGAGGCTTTTGTTTTTGCGGTTGCTAACGATGATTACAAGTAAAAATTTCAGTATTGAAGTCAATGCTTTCAAATTTAGTGCTTATTCCTTTGATATGAGAAATCTTGTTAATCCGCGAAGGGTTTGTTTTTATTAACCTTGTTCGTTAGTTAATCTGTTTCTAGATTCATTATGGACACACAATGGCCGTCGTCGACATTGACTACTCTCCTACTGGTCGTGAATTATGTACTGGAAGTTTTGATCGCTCAGTTCGAATTTACGGTGTCGATTCAGCAACTTCTCGGTATATTGCTTGTATTAAAGTAAGGTTATCTCTTTATTTTTAGCGAAGTGTATCATACAAAGCGAATGCAACAAGTGCTATCGGTGCTTTGGTCCGCTGATAGCAAATTTGTTCTCTCGGGTTCGAACGAAATGAATGTTCGAGTTTGGAAGGCACATGCGGCTGAGAAGCTTGGACCAGTATGATTTTTGTCATGAAACTTTTGAAAGATAGTAGTTTAGATGACAAAGAGAGAAGAGTCGGCCCTGCAATATTCTGAAAAACTTCGCGAACAGTTCAAAGAGCACCCAGAAATCCGCCGAATACAAAGACATCGCCACGTGCCCGGCTCAATATACAAGTATTTCGTTTCTAACATTCTGATAATCGAATATTTTTAGTCAAACAAAAGAGCTACGAACCATTCGAGAAGCGAAGGAAAAAAAAGCAGAAAGGAGGATCAAGGTTTAAATTTATATTGATAGACTCTTTCAAATAAAAATTTTAGTACAACAAGGAAGCTGTGCCAGAAAGAGATACACACATGGTTGCAACAAAGGAAGAAGAATAGAAAAATTTTCGTTATTTTTTGTTGTTATAATGTATTGTTACACTTCTTTGTTGACCATTTGGATAAATATTTTATGAAATGCATTTCATTATTATAAATTTACAGTTGTTTGATATCTCTGTCTCCTAGAAAAATCCCGTTCAAATGTAAAATATGTGCAGAGCTTGTGATGCCGTTGTCTGGGCTTTCTAAAGTGCTTCGTTTGTCTTCCGAGTCTATCGAGGAAGCACTTGAAGCGGTTGGAATATGTGAGGAGCACTTTGATATTTTTGCGTTTAGGCATGTCGAATCTTGCTAAATGGTGGAATTGTGGCTCTTCCAACTGACACGATTTATGGATTAACTACGACTTTGGAGAATTCCAACAAGCTGTGAGTGGGTTATTTCAAACAAACGAATTAATATAATTTCAGATATGCTTTGAAACGTCGTTCTGGTGCCAAACCTTTGGGGATTTTTGTTTCATCATGGGAGGAAATCAAGAAAATCGCCGACTCTTCCATAGTTGATCAAGAACTATTAAGCTCTCTTCTTCCTGGCCCGGTGAGTTTTTTTATTTTTAACGTTATTTCCAAATTAAAGCTTTAGGTAACACTTTTGTTTGAACGGGCAGCTGCATTACCATCATTTTTTAACCCTGGGGTGTCCGTTGTCGGTGTACGAGTTCCTAAATACCATTTCGTACAGGTAATATTTTTTTGGAATAATAAACGAATGAAATACAGGAGCTTTCTAAACGTGTTGGTGTTCCATTGGCTCAAACGTCAGCAAATATTTCCGGAGACACTTCACCGCTATCTATCGCCGATTTTGAGCATTTAATTCCTTTAATTGATTTGGTTATTGATGGAGGTAATATTTATTTATCAAAAATTTGTTTTACTTTACTAGAAAATTATGGAAAATTTTTAGGCGTTCTTGGTAACAACACAGCACCACTGGGAAGCACTGTAGTCGATCTCTCACGGCCGGGATTTTTCCATATAATTCGACCTGGATGTGCCGAAAAAGCCACTTGCCAAACCCTATTGAAGAATGGACTCGAAGAAACGAACGGGGACGAAACTTCAAAATTATAACTCTAGTCTGCAAGTTGTTGTTTTCTTTATGGGTTGATTTTCACTTTTCTCGTTGACATTGTTGCATTTTTAATAAAGTTTACTTTTCTAAAAGTGATCAATGCTGTGAAAGGTTTTGCATTCTTGCATTACTTTTTCTATTCATGTGTATTTTAAACGTAATCAACTCAAATTCCCTAGAAACCGAATGAAGAGAAAATTAGCGGATGGTCAAAGCGATGGACCACCGACGAAAGCAGATATCACCGCCGGTAAAGAAGTAGGTTTCGTTTCGTTCATACGAAACTTTGATGACTCTCAACTATAATACGCTTTCTTTTTAGCCAGTTGCGAGCAAACGAGAGAGTTCTGGAAAGAAGACACTCGTCACCCCATCGATAGTTGACGAACAGGTTTTTTTTATATATGGCATGGTAGGAGCATGTGTTTTAGAACAATGGTAATTTTTCACCTAGGACCTGTGAACTTGACTACTGAGAATGTGAGATCTTTCCTTTGTTTTCGATTCAGCTTCATTGCTTTTGCCATTTGCTCTTATTTGAAACCTTTGGCATTGCTTAACGCTTAATACTTAGCGTGCTGTCTTTAAGTTGAAACAGAGCCAATTCCAGGTGGATTTTCGGCAGGAGCCATCAACGGCCATGGCTCGTTGGTCTCGCCTTGTGCAATTGACGACCCGGGCGAAGAAAGGACATTTGCCATCGATATCCTCCTTAAATTTATTTGCCCCAAAAGTTATCGATTCCGAAGAATCTGGATTTTGGGTTGATTTATTCCCTTTACGACTAGAAGAGCGACAAAACTGTGAGACCAGTTTGAGAGTATTTCTGCCGATGCACCGTAACTCTGTCAAAAATTTATTAGGATTCGATAACACGGGAAACGTTAGGTTATGGAGTGGAGGAGAAGCCCTTGCCTTATATCTTCTCTATCATCCGGAGATGATTGCAAGAAAAAACATTCTTGAGCTAGGAGCTGGTTTTTTAGGTCTACCATCACTGGCTTGTTTAGGACTGTCCCAATTAACAATTACCGATGGCAATGAAGAATCTGTTCACAACATAGAAAAAATATTAGCCAAAATATCTAATCGAGCAAGTTTCACTTCACCAGTTAACTGTAAGAAAATGTTATGGGGAGGCGAAAAATTGGGAAGATTTGATGTGATTTTGGCCGCAGATTGTGTGTTTTTTGAAGACCACCATTTGAATTTTATCCAAACTTTGTATGACCATTGCAACGGATGTACCCTTTTGTGTTCCCCTCCCAGAAAGGAATCCCTGTCAAAATTTTTACAGTGCCTCAGAGACGATGGAAGACTTTTGGCTAAAAAATGCTTCCAGTTTGATCAGTTTCTAAGCCCTCTGTTGCCTTTGAATGTCGATTGTGATACTTTGGTTCCTCAATTGTACATTGTTACGCCAAATCCCTGTGGAAAATAATTTGAACGGGTTTAATGTTTAAAGAGCAAAAAGCATTCAGAATAAATGTCAGAATGTTTGAAGAAACAAACCGATATATGTGTAACAAGTTAGAAACAAACATGGAGAAAATGCACATTACTGTTAAAAATTTAATTTAACACTGTTTTTTTTAAAGGCATTTGATAAAGTTTTCTTTTAGGAGTTACTTCGCTCGCTCCACAATGCAGTTCTTTTGACAAGCAAAGATGTTTGTGAGGAAATTCGCAACAAATCGATGATGCCGATTGAGTTTGATCCCCAGGTAAAACCAATTGCTTAATTAATGGATGTAAATGTAAACAGGTCGTTGAACGAGCCACAGCAGTGCTCTTTGATACTTTCACGCAGGCCTGGGTCCCGGATCTTTTCGCTTTCTCTGAGTTTGTTTTCACTTTTATTTTTTCTACAGCCATGGCTTTAGGCACGCAAAACGAGCTACGATTGGGGTGGAGGATATGAAATTGCTTCTACGTAGGAACCCTAAATTGGTGAGATCTTTGACTTTTTAAAAATGGCAATATTTATTTAGTGCCAATCCATCGAAACTTCATGTGGCGTAAATCTCGAAGCTTCGAAACGAAACGCTGGACGACCATCGAAGCGAAAAAGTGAGCCGAGTTTAATTAATCTAGCATAGCTAATGGCTTTTTCAAATTTCAATACAGCCTGATTCGTTTAGGTCAAAATGAGCCTAAGCAGACTGAGGCTGCTGATTTTGGACGCGATGACACGCTTTTTCCAATGGCTACTACACCAGATCCCAAGTATGAAACCCTTGCTACCTTTTCCAAAGCAAAGCTTTTAGGCCAGTCAAGGATTTCATCGGGTTGACACCTAAGCCTCCGATTGCTCAATCGACGCCAATCCAAGGTTTTACTTTTACGAGTTTTGTTACTGAGGGTATAATTTAGCAACGCCACGAGGAGGGCGCAATTTACCGGCGCGACGATTGCCCTCTCCAATTGTTGAATGTGAGGAGGCAAATTCGGAAGACAAATTGCTTGCCTGGGAACGAGAGCTGGCAATGAAGACCATAGAGAAAGAGAATTTCGGTGCTGTTAGTTTCATTTATCAATTTGATTTTTTTTCTGTAGGCCATCAAAGTGACAATCGATGCGAAATGTATGATACATTATTTAATGGTGAGCCATCGACCAGCGCTTATAGACAAAGACCGGAGATTGTTAAAGGTTTGTATTATAAAAATCTATCAGATAGTTTCTCTATAGATTCCTTCGTAGACGAAACAGCGTTTCAAACTAATCGAACGGCAATAGCGGAAGAAACAAGTTTGATTTTTTTTGTGTTTGGAGCAAAACTCAATTTAGTGATGGGAGAAGAAACAATTCTCGGAAATCTGGGTTTTGATCCAAGTCAAGATCTAGGTTGAAAAAATTATTTATATCTTCGACTCATCCAATTTTAGACTCTGACTCATTCAATTCGTTTGATGGCCCGCAATTTTCCACCCCAATCAGGGAGCCAGCATCATCAAAACCGGCTAGAGGTGAAAAATGAAATTTTTGCAAATTATCTATTCCTTTTAGATTCTTTTGATGACGAGTTAGAACTTATTGATGATATGTCGGGAAACTTCTCAAAAGGCACTCCTGTTTCAAAAATCAATCCGTTTAAGAAGGTTTGTATGATGTGTACTTTTTAGAGTGCATTGTTTAGGGTAACGAGCCATCGACGAGCTCTGCTGTGAAGGGTTCCAAGACGATGGAGAGCAAATCGACGAGTAAAACCTCGAATAAAATTAGCCCACCCCTTCAAAAGTCCAAGGCAATAGGTAAGTTATTTCTTTCTAATTCTGAATAATCTGAATCATAAACTTAGAGTACGATTCTTTTGACGAGGACTTCGAAATCATTTCTTCGGCCAAACCAATTTCACATAGCAACGCTGTCGGGTGGCGGATTTTATTTTTTTGTAATTTGTTTCTTTTAGTGGGAGTAAAGCTGACGAAAAAGTCAAACACCAACCAACGATTGAAACAAAGAGGTATTATTTTTTTTTTCTACCTCACTTTTTGATTTTAGAGTCTTAAAAAAGCCCACCGGCAAAATGTTTGACAGTGCTGTTACGGGGAAGGGACGCGCATATGGTACTAACGCATTCATATTTTATAATAGTTATCTTTAGATTCATTCTTCGACGATGATATTACCGATCCTGGGGTTCAAGAAAGTTAGCAATTCTTTTTGATAAAAATACTTGCTTTTAGGCCACTCCTCAGCGACAAAAGCACATTCGTCTTCTTCTCGGTCCAGCGTAGGGAAGTCAGGTTAGTTCTTCATGTGTTTAAATTTAAAAAAGATGATAAAACAAAGTTATCTTACTATTAGAGTCATAACCATGTTTTGGTTTAGATGCTTCGAATTCGACTAAAAACCCACCGCTGGCGACGGTACAACCGAAGAGCTCGGAGAAACGTCTTGATGTTTCCACCAAAAGTGCTCAATCAAAGCTAGGAGAGAGTGAGTTTGTTAATTAAGTTTTAATGTTGCTTTTTTAGATTTTTCAGCATTCGATTTTTTCGATGACGATTAGGATTATGGAAATAACGTGATACCAATAATAATTTTTTGGCTGTGTTTTTGTTTGTACGTTTTATTTAAGCGAATAAATTGTACTTTCAAGAATTTCAAATTTTGAAAATGCAAAAAGCGCGAGTCGAACGGCGAAAAGAAGTGTCTCTTTTTTGTTGGATTGTGCACCGTAGTTCATATGGAATGAATGGTGTCAGCTGTTGTGGTAAACTAACAAGTAAGAGAAATATCGGCTCATCTTTTTTCATGGCAATTCTTTTGGTAAATAAACTTGACATTTAAAGTCGGACATAATTAGAACTGAATTGTTATTGCTGTTGGTAGTTGCAGGTGCGAAACCAACCATTCTTGAGTTCGCTTTTGTTTGATAACCGCTTAAATTCAAATTTCAAATGTCTTTCACAAATTCCTTTCAAAAATTCAAGATCCCTTTTCTGAGTACTATATGCCACCTGGGGACTCGAGAACGTTGGGATTCACCTCAAATGAGCCGTGTGATGTCGATGATTCCATAGGGGGAGCCGGGGAAAATGCGACCAATGTTTTCCTCAAATTGGACGAGCTCACAAAGGTGCCAAAAATTTAAAGCAAATTTTAAAATTGACAATATTTTCCAGGAGGAGACAATTTTCACGGCCGTCCACCATTGGAAAAGCGTCGCCGATCGGTTAAAGAAAGCCGGATATCCGCTTTTCGTCTCGGAACGCGATGAACGCTTCAATCACGAGCTACAGTAAGTATTGGATAAATTTGTTAATGTCTTGGATAAGTTTAAAAGTTGTTGAAAGGATATCGAAAGAGATATAAAAACACTAAATTAGCGTTCTTTTAGTGACAAAGCACAAGAGCTTTTCACGTTTTTGGATCAACTCCTCGGTGACACCAAAGATGGGATCTTGGAAACGGACGCGATCTACCAAAAGCTCTGGTTCCTGATGGCACAGGGGCAGCCACTAGAAAGCTTCAAGCAAACAAGTATTTGAATTTTAGGAAATTCTTTATTCGGCAAATTTTAGTGTTTGAAATGGACTGCTCGGAGAAATGCAGCGCGATTTGGGAGAATGAGGCGGTCGCCTATCGCTGTAATACGTGCGCCTTAACGCCTTGTAAGTTGAAGAACAAGATTTACCGCATAAAATGAAAAAAAAACGCATATGGGAACATTGAGTTTTCGGATTTCATAATCAGAGAGAAATTCCATGTGGCGAAAAGTTCTCGCTTTTACATAAGACAAAATTGCAAAGCAACTCCTTGCCAAGTAATAAGTACGGCAGAAAGCTGATAGATTTGGAAAGTGTACCAAAAAGTTGAGATATGTATTGAACTCTATTATAAAGTTTCTATCGGGGTATCGGGACTTTTCAAAGTATCAGGGATTTGTGGTTGCGATCATTACGGACCAGTTGCTTACCAAAAGTTGACTAGTATTGCCAGTTTTTGCCTATTCATCTTTATAGACTGTCAGGCTATAAATCAGCACCACATTTCTAGGCATGTCCTTGTGTGCTTCATGCTTTAACGCCGGCAACCACGAGGGTCATGATTTCACGCGTTTCTTTTCGAGAGAGGGTGGCGCTTGTGATTGCGGGAATAAAGATGTGTTGAAAGAGGAAGGGTGGGCGAATTTTGATTTAAAGTACATTATTTCTTAGAATATTGCTTAGTCACCTGCTACGCGGGTGCGTTTCGCGTATGTTAATTGCTAGCCAAATGCAATTTTTGTCGCTGTGGCGCAGTCGGGAGCGCGTTTTTCTACAGCCTACATGAGCCGGATTTTACTCTCCCCTGTAGTGCCACTCAATTTTGGCATTTTTAAATTTTTTAAAATTTTAAATGGCACAACTAGAATATATTCTAAGGTTTGCTAAAGAGGTTTTAGCTTTATTGTTCAAAACACGACTGAGAAAAAGTCCGTACAGACGGAGAGACAGATACTGCTCTTTTATATATTTTAGAAAGTCTTTAAACCGTGTTTCAGCTTTTGCAAACGCCACCGATCGAATACAGAGAAGCCGCTCGAGATCTCGCCCCTCGTTGTCTCCCTTCCCGAGTATACGATCCTACGAATTGTGATCAGATTGTTTGCCATTTGTCGCGGGGTAACTTGGTCCTTTTTTTTCCAATAAAAACCGATCATAGTTTGCTGAAAAGACGAGATTACGAATGGAAGCGATGAAGGACGCACTAGAGGCGAACGAGTGGCTGCGTTTGATGTCACTCCATGGAGAATCCATCGTTCGACAAACCACGAAGATTGTCGCGTTTCTACAAGTGCTTTCAAAAAACTGTTTCCCAGAATTCCTAAACAATTCCAGGATTGCGTGAACATTGGCGGACCGTTACGCGACGCGATCTCGGTGATGCTGCTCGATAAGGAGTTGTACAAACAGTTGAATCGACCCGGGAAAACGAGTGAGTTCGCGTTCTTCTCTTCTAATCTCTTTTCAAAAAGACACCCATTTTAGACCAACTACCGTAATCAAACCGTTTTCATTCAGTCAACCCAATTTTGGTATTATTCGATGAGCGATTCACAAGGCTCAATCAACGATATACCAAATTTGGTCAAATTGGGCTGATTGGATGTAAACTGGTTGATTGATTACGGTAGTTTTCGAAAAGGGGAGACTTTTAGAAAGCGGTTTTAAATATTGAAAAACTCTCCTCAACTTTTCAGAGATCGTCACCACTTTGCTGGATTTGGGAAACTGTCGCGAGTTGGAAGAGGATAAGCTCTCACTTTCGAAATCGGTTCCCGAAGAGTATGGAAACGGAGATGAAGAGATGTTGAAGTAATTTTTAAACTCTTTGCCAAAGAATTCGCTTTTCAGAACTGAGAACTTATTGGATGAGTTGATCTTTTGGATTGTCCGTCTCACCTTTCCGCAGACGTTGATCAACTTCAGCCTTAGCATGCTCTCGTCGGATTCCTATCGAGTGAGCTTTAGTTCTTAGCTTTTACGTAACATAATCCAAATCTTAGGATCACTTTGCGTATCGATTCTTCAAACTTTACCCGTGCACAGTCACGTTGATTAAGGAAATTGCGGCGATAAAGTGAGTTACTTTGTGTTCGCTCAAATCTGTAAACGCACCCTTTCTGGCTCATTGAATTCTTCATTCCTTGTAGGAAAGGGGTGCACTAAAAAGGGTGAAAGGGTGTGTTTACAGTTTTGAGTATCAAGCACGTTACAGGCACTGATTTCCGCTCAAATTTCAGTGACCAACTCTCTGATTACTACACTGTGCACACTATCGCTTGCCGAGTGATTCATATTTCGGTTCAGGTGAGAAGAAATAATTTTCCCTAAGGATTTTTATTTAGATGCTTTCCTCAGAGGCTTTATGCCTTCGATTAGACGATTCGGTGAATGTGATACGGGTTGTGCTTTCTGCGGTGAATTTCCTTTTCAAAGAGGCTACCGTTGAGAATCGGATGACTTTGGGTAAGTGAGAGAAGAGGAATTCGAGTACTGTACTGTAGGAAATGTAATGAGCAATGGGTACTGTACTTGATTCTAATCTTTTTGACTGTATCTCGTTAATTAGAGCAACGTTTAACGTTTAAATTTCTCTCATTTCTGGGCCATTCTCAAAGCACAAGAAAAATCCCTGTGTGCTTTACACAGGGATTGTCACTTTGACCGGCAAGGTGTTTTTTGTCAGAGGAAGAGTGGTTACGCGGCCGCACAAAGAACACCTCGCCAGTCACGTTACACAGTGATTTTCCTTCTGTTCTGTAAATGATTCCCAAATGAGATTTAATGTTAAAAATTTGTGTCCCGGGGTTTTCAGGGTCGTAAAACCTATTGGCGGAGTTTATTTTAACCCTTTTGTCCCAAAGGAAGTCCCAAGAGAATTAAACTGGCTTTCGGTTTTGCACAGGAGAGCTTTTCAGAATGAAAAAACCCTGATTTCCGTGAAGAACGAAATAAAAATCTAAAAACAAACCGTCATTTAGCTCCACTGTTTCGAAATGTCACCGATGAGTCGGCGATCGCCATCGTGACAAACAGCTGGCGGGTGATCAATTGCGAGAGGAATACCCTGCTTGCAACACATGGATATTGGTGAGCTTGAGATGAAAATGGGCTAACAAAATGCCAAGACAATAACATGATTTGTTTTAGGTTTGTGATGGGCGATTTGCACAATCTTCTCTCGCACTATGCGGTGGCTGCTCGAATGGTAGCCTATCAACAGGTGTTTCGTGACTACTTTGTGCAACACATTTGCATCATGCAGGGTGAGTCATACTTTATTTATTTTTAATTACAATTGCTACAAAAGCAATACAGGGTGCAGCAGGATTATTGCGATCAATATTTTTTTAAGGTTGGAAACGATAAAAGAGAAATCAACTCAAAAACTTTAACAATTAATTTTTAAAGATATATTAAACAAGAAAAACTACTTCCTATTAAAAGGGTCTCCATGGGCAGAAATGCAAGTCAGGTGACATTTGGGAAATGCATCCACCGTGGCCAAATGGTAAGCGGGATCGAGTTTATCACATGCTTTTTGAAGAGATTTCTTAGGCGAATCGATGCTGGTGAATGTGACTTTGAGCACGTTTTTTGCTTCAAGAACAATCTAAACACTGAAATCCATCAGATCTGGACTTGAGGATGGTCACTAAAGGTGGCCAAATCGGGAAAATGCTGCGCCAGTCCTGAACCACTCGAGGCTTGTGAGCATGAGCATTATCCTGCATAAAACACCAAATCCTGTTGCCAAAATGTTTTTTGGCTCACGGAAGAAGTTCTTTCTTAAGTATGTCGAGATAGTTCTTGGAACTGAAGCGTTGATGCCCTGGGGCGGTTGCAATAATTCTGCCGCAATCTTTAGAAAAATCAAATTGTACCGCATACCTCTAGGAATGCATCAATGTTTCCGGATCGTCACCGGGGATCATCGGGAGATCGAGCACGCCGAGGTGTATCAGAGGTAAGCATTTAAAAGAATTAGACTGTAGTTTTTGGAACAATTCATCTTTCAGAGAGTTCACTCTTGAGTACGAGACATCAGCGACGAGTATGTTCAGTTTAATTCTCGGCATCGCTCACTTGAGCTACGCGACACACGCCATTGAGTTCATCAATGCATTCAAAGCGGCTTTGGAGGTGATTTTTAAGCTAATGAAATTTAACTACAATCTACAACACTGATACTGTACGAATTTTGGTACATGTGACTTTGGTGAGCCCAAAACAAAAATTTGTATACAGGGCACAAATTTTACGTTATAGCATTCTTGTGACTTTGGTGGGCCCACAGTTCCCTACGTAAATGACTGGCGAGGTGTTCTTTGTTCGGTCGCGTAATCGCTCGCAGCCTGGCATACCCGTCAGGTATAGGGTGCTGCCCTTGGAATCCGTAAAGGAAAATGAGCGGTGAGCGACTAAGCCGGCTTCGCCGTTTCGGCCGTCATTATGCCCAAATTTTTGGGATCGATTTTTGCAACAAATTCAGCATCCTGTTAAACCAAAACAAGCCAAGCCACTCAAGGTTGAAACTGACCTCAAAAAATATGCAAATCCCAAAACCCATTCGATTCTTTTTCACATCTACAATATATTTTCAAACTCCAGGATATCGCAAAACTTTTTACCTTTTCACAATGAAAACCCCCGTTTTTTGTCAAAAGACACGGATTTCCGAGAAGAACCCAAATTTGTATTGTTTTGGGCCCACCAGAGTCACATGTACCCAAATTTTTTTTATCAACATCTGAACAAAACCAACCCTTTCATTTTTCCAGAAATGGTTCGTCGAGCTGAATTACCCCCGGACAACGATTCTCTCATGTCATCCATTCTCCGTTTCGTTTCACATCCCTCTGCATCGAAATCTATCTACAGCACTCACCCACTTCAAAAATATTCCGGTACATGTCTGGCCGACTTTTTAAAACAGAAAATTCTTTTAGGGAATGTTTTCTTTGCTCGAATCTTTCCGCGCGGATGCGAACTTTTTGAAGAAGTTGATCCTGCACCCAATGAGGATACAGGTTTTTTCTTGGGAAATTTAGCAATGTGGTACAATAATCTATAGTAAAAAAATTCGACTCTAGGTTGTGCGAGCCGAGCACCAAAACGGGATGTGGGTTCGAAACGGAGCACAACTCCGCGTACATGCATTCATCTACGCACAACCGCACATTTCGACGGCACTTCTGATGCCGGATATTGATTTGATTCGGTTAGTCAATAGTCAACTAATCAATAGCTAAAAATTAGATTAGCTAATAACTTTTAACTACTACTTTTCTAAAACGGTACTGGATCATATTGAACTGAACAAAGCCAAACTAAACCATACAGACTGAAATTTTAGCTTCTGTGTCGCAAATCTGGATCCGGATTGGGTTTGGGAGTGCGTGTTGGAGAGTTTCCATATGCAAGACATCTTTGAGTGGACAACTCGGCAAAGAAAGGTGACATTTTAATAAAAATTTGTTTGTTTATTAGTCTTAAAGTTAAATAAGAACCTTCTAGAACTTCCAGGGGAATGGTCAGAAGTGACCGTGAGATTTCGGCACAAAAATGAGATGCAAACACCTATCGAATACGGCGATGATGCTTTCGGATTTTGCTAAACAAATTATTCGAGCTAATTTTCGAGAAAAACGCCTCTATAAATTTATAACTCTATGACGGAAAACAGCTTAAAAGTTCTATAACCCTTGAAATATATAAAATATAAAGTTTGGAAAAAAAGCAAAAAAAATGGCGCCGTTTCGCAGGGTCGCAAAAGTGGGAGGCGAGGACTCTACCCGCTGACCGCGAGGAGACATTTCATCTGTCCGAAAAAAGTCCTTTTAAAGAAGCATGCCTCCTTTTTCAGTAGACGCTGAGATTTTAAAGCAGTTTTTCTCGAAAATTAGCGATTTTTAGCAAAATCCGAAAGCACCATCATACTCGCCTATTTGATAGGTGTCTGCATCTCATTTTGGTGCCGAAATCTCATGATCACTTTCGATCATGCTCTTGTTAGAACCAAATATAGTTCCAAAAATCTTGGACAGTAGTAGGACTGAGTAAGAAAGAAAAAAATACGGGAAACTTACTATGAAACGGTTTAGATCAAATCTTTTTAAAAGTTAGTGTTTTTATTTTATGAAACAAGTACAGTAACTTATTTATAGCGTTATTTCAGCCATCCCGATACTTGATATCTTTAGAAAAATTTGAACGATGGTGGTCAAGAGTTAACGGCCGAGGTGACCGCGTTCAAAGTCACTAGAAAATTAAGATTGGTTTGTATGAGCTCTGGATTGCCGTGTTCCTTTTTTCTCTCTAATCATGAATGTAGAAAATATATATTATTGGAAAATGAAGGAATAATTTTATGTATAATATTTATTATAAAAAGAAAGCCAAAATGCTCAACAATCGCTAGTTTGCTGAGCCTTTTGGCTTTTTGTAGTATAATAAAAATGTAAAAGAGATCACCGCTTTATTTTCCAGAAAATCGTTCGTCGGACTGACGGAGAAGAGCCAAAACCAGCAACAAGTCAAGGTAGGAAAAGTTTTGAAACGATTTTATGCTAAATTTTAGAGTCACCCCGACAAGCAGCCCAGGTGAGGCAGCTCGACACTGTTGCTTGGCTCAAAAAAACTCATTGCATGACAAAGATTAGTGTATACTTTGTTTAGACGAACGCGCGCGGTCTGACACACTTAACTTCGTTTCGAAGTAGCTTACAGAAAAAAATGAGCAATGCTTTTGCTTGATTACACGTAAAGATAGGCTTGGTACTTTATCATGGTATGCTGATCTTTAAAGCATGTTATCTTAGTTCACAACCATATCTTACTTTGATTTTAGGGATAAATAAGGACTCTTTTCAACCCATTGTCATTACAGGAATCCTCGATCACATCCGGCGGTCAAGCGATTGTGAAAAACCCTGTACCTCTGCAATCACCACAACAAGGGTACGAAAGATAAACCTTTGGGCTTTAGACATTCAAAGCTTTAAGCCCGTGAACCATTTCAACATATTCGATCATCATACAACCCAATTGATTAACAAACTAGCAAATATTTAGACCCGTCGAATCAAAGGCTCAAATTGAGAACATCATCAATGATCTTAAAAAGGGGGAAACTTCAGCGATAAGTGAGAAAGCGAAAACCGAGGAGGAGATGAAGGCTGAAGTGAGTGAATTTGTTTTAAGGTACGATTTTCCGTAACCGGAGTCGAGACCCTGATCTTTGGAAAGCTAGTAAGACTGCTAAGCACTTGGCCAAAATTCTTGAACATATCACACCAAATGATAACCTTCAAATGCAAATGATTGTTCTTGACGGTTCTTGATTGGATATTGGACTTTACTTTACTTTACAGTACATTTTGAGATCGAAGTCCAACTTCTAGGTGACACCGGAGAACACGAAGAGAATCAGTGACATTCTCTGGCGGGGTTTCTACGAGTCAGAAGTGATTACCAGACCTGAATGGATCGATACGATGGTCGCTGGAGCATTGAGGTGACAGAAAAGTTTGAATTGAAATAACAAGAGCTTCAGATTGATCGCACAATGCGTTGTGATCCCGGGAAGTTGGGAGAGGAGCATCAACGAGATCGTTCGGAATGAGATCGTCCTCGTGCTTTCCGATGGGGATTACACGTTCAGCAAGCTGAGGTATTTAGTCTTTTTATCTAGTCCAGAAAGTCTTTTCGTTCCTTTTCGTACTTCCGTAATTAAAACCAACAAATGCACCAATTGAAGTTTGTTTCATTAGAAAGGCCAATTATTTTTCTGCAAAATAACATTAAAATGGGTTTAAAATGTCTTATATCTGGATTTTTTGGAAGCCTGAAGTCGGGTAGTCAAAAAGGACGACGGCTCGATGATCCGGTTTAGACACTTTAGCTAAGGAAACCTATCTTGGTGTCAATAGATAAAAGATAAAATACAAAAAATTAGGTATATGGCCAAATTTTTATAGAAATTGATTTAGCCAATTTCTTCGTAGAGGTTTTTATAGTTTTTTTTATGACAAAACATGTTTTCACTGTCGAACTTTCTTGATAGTGAACCTAAATTGGCTTAAAAAGATGGGAAATAAGACAATAAACACTTCTTATTTAGCGCAAACCATACCGTAAATACTGTATATCTATTGACACCAAGGTAGCTAAAGTGTCTAAACCATCGAGTGTCTAAACCATCGAGTGTCTAAACCCTTTTTGACTACCCGACTAACGCTTCCAAAAAAATCCAGATATAAGACATTTTAAACCCATTTTAATGTTAGTTTGCAGAAAAATGATTGGCCCTTCTAATGAAACAAAGCGCAGTTCAATTGGTTCATTTGTTGGTTGTAATTATGGAAGTACGAAAAGGAACGAAAAGACTTTCTGGGTAGCCTAATAGTTGGAAGAAATTTTTGAAAGATCCTTTTTTTTATAGAAGTGCCGCAATACCGGATAAAGGAAGTCGTGGAATTGAGAACATTGATGAGATTTTCGAGCAAGAATTGAAAAAGGTGGGCTGATTGACGGAGTCAAGGCGGTAATAAGCATCAAAATTTGCGCTTATTTCCTTGAATTTCAGGTGGCCGACTATTTAGCGCCGGACGCGAGTCGACAGGGAAGATTTCGGTTTGTTGTCACGTGCTGGGTACAGATTTACATTTCGTTTTTAGATTGAAAGAATCAGCATGGAGAGATCATTTCTGCCCGCTCTTCACCCAGGTGCGCGGTCATTCGGCGAAGCACTGGAACGCGATTATCAATCGCGTTGAAGAGAGGTTCGTTTGAAATTTTTGCTATCTTTAGCTGAATATCATAGCTACTTGATAATTTTGAATAGAATTTAAAAACACCCTATTATTATTATTATTATTAAAAAACAAAAAATTTAAAAGCTCTAACGTTTAAAAAACATTTAGAGAGAAAGCCCAGCTGCCCGGCGTTGACAGCAAGAAGTCACAGTTGAAGCTTTGGATTCCATACCGGTGAGGATAAAAAAGCTTTAGATTTTGAAGTAGATTTTACAGTAAACCGTTACAGTTAGGGTAACCGTTAAAACAATTCCTAGCTTGATCGACTTCGAGAAGACGATGAGCGATCAGTGGACGAGCGGTGTCTGCAATTTGTTGACGTGCGAGCGCTTTTTTGAGATGAGCGCTATCATTCTGAAAGCGGTACGTCGTATTTGACTTCATTTAGTGATCTGATACAGTAAAACTTTAAAAAAGTCAATTGGAAAACAAAATTTTTGTTTAGTGCTGTGCCAAAACTTATCTCCAAGATCAATCCGAGCAACTCGTTATCTATTTGCTGTCGTTGTCGGTGAAATACGTGGGAAGTTTGCCGGAGGACAAAAGAGGAAAGGCAAGTTTTGAGAATGACAAGAGTCTGTCTAAGGCTTCGAATTTGAACTTTTAACACATTTCCGACGACGGTATCTTGGGCGTACAGTCGCGTATTCGTTAACTGTTTTTCTGATATTTTGGTGAATATTCAAAGATAAACTAAACTATTATAGCTTATTTGATAGCCCTGAATCTTCTTTTGAAACTAGTACTGAAAAAGTTACTGAAAAATTTCTACGAAATAAATAACAAAAGTCCTTAAAAACTTGAGTTGACACTAAAAATATTCGTCATTAGTACAGCCCACCGGTGGGTCGTATCGTCGTGAATGTGTTAATAAGACTTTGAACTCTTTGATAAATCACATCTAATGACTGACAATGAGACGTTTGTCTGATGGGAATCTGTCCAAGGCTTAGGATTTGACTGTCTTTATCTCGTCGAACTTCCAATGATCAAGCCTAGTACAGAGTTAAGATTTTTACTGATTCATTTACCGTAAATACTGTAATAGTACCCCACCCCCATAATGACGGTGCGGAGCGTTGCGTAGTCTAGCTTTGAACGAGGCTTTCTCGACACTGGTTTATGCTACAATGCGCGCTTAGGTATCAAAAAATAGCTGAAATTCAGGGCTATTTTTTAATACCAAAGACGCATTTTTTGAAAGTACGGGCGTTTTGAAAATACTAAAAAACTTTTGCGACTAGGCGACTTTACGAGGGGAGGGTGGGGTACTATTACAGTATTTACTTCAGCTAGTCCAGAAACGTTTCGATAGTACCCCACTCTACTTGTACCGATAAACCCGGTGAGCCGATAAACCTGGCTTGATCTAAGAATTTGATCCAAAAAGCTTTCTTATGCTTTTTAGTGCTGTAAAATCTACTGTATCTACTAAAATCTAGTGTTTCACGTTTCTTTTATAAAATTACTGTATTCCAGTTGTTATCTGAAGTATTATCTGAAGACAAAACCCAATCTTAGTTTCGCTCGTTTTTCTCCAATTTGAATTAATTACTCAAGTTTTTAGAGAGCTTTGTGATGACCGTATTGGCTCGGAAATTAAAGTTGCTCAAAAAATAATAACGGATTCAGATTCTCTATCCCAGAATGCCTATGGGTACAAATTTTTATAAATAGCTGTCGTCCGAAACGGCAGCCAAGTCAAAAATGGCTTTGTCATGAACCCAAAGAACTTCTGAAAACGTTTAGCCAGCCAAGCAAATTTCTTTCAGATTCTCCGCTATCTGCACATGGACTGGAATTTCCGCAAAAAGGATGGATCAACTGGGTGGGCTTTTGATTTCAAACGATTCTTAGCAACTATTGCAAGTCAAAAACGTTATCCGTTTTCAGAAGTCTATCCGTTATCACTGTGTTGAGCGCAATGTTTGCCGATGCTTTGGCAACTGACGATTTTGCTGCAAGGATCAAGGAAGAGGTGGGGAATTTGTGAATTTGAGTTTTAAAAGATACCTTAAAATTTAAATTGCCTTACATGCAACTTTGTATCACTTCTTAGATCGGAAAAGATGTGCAAAATCGTATCACGGGCACGAAAATTGACTACATGGCGAGACTCTTCAATTTGCTTTATAAAACGTAAACTTTCTATTAGCTTTTATCTTTATTATCTCTAAAAGACATCTATTTTAGAAAACTACCGTGATCTACCAGCTTTCATTCGATCAGCCCAATTTTGGTATGATTTGATGAGGCTCGAAAATTATACAAAAATTGGGCTGATCGAATGGAAACTGACAATGATTACGGTAGCTTTGAAAAAATGGGTGCCTTTTAGAAAACGGGATTTACTCGAACATTCATATTTCAGTGATCGCTTGGCAAAAAATTTACTCGATAGTGTCATCCTGACAAAGACGAGTTTTAAAATTGCAAACGATGTGACCGAAAAGGATAAAGAAGAGAAAAGACTATTGGCGAAAAGGAGAAGAGAACAATTATTGGAGTTGACAAAGAAGAAAAATGAAGAGGTTTTTGAGGGGTTTTGGGTTGAAAAAGAAAGGGTTTAGACAATGAAAGCGATGATGGAAAAAGAGGGGATCACACAAGAGGAAATGGATGATATTGACACGTCACAGGTGTGTCAAATAAAGAGTACTTCTCTAAGTAACAAGCTTTGTCTTGTATTAGGCTATCCAGAGAGTCTTTTCGTTCCTTTTCGTACTTCCATAATTAAAACCAACAAATGAACCAATTGAACTGCGTTTTGTTTCATTAGAAAGGCCAATCATTCTTCTGCAAAATAACATTAAAATGGGTTTAAAATGTCTTATATCTGGATTTTTTGGAAGCCTGAAGTCGGGTAGTCAAAAAGAACGACGGCTCGATGATCCGGTTTAGACACTTTAGCTAAGGAAACCTATCTTTTTGTCAATAGATAAAAGATAGAACACAAAAATTGGTATATAGCCAAATTTTTATAGATTGTTGCAATTTCTTCGTAGGGTTTTTATAGTTCAAACATGTTTTCACTTTCGATTTTCTTGGTGGTTGGTGTTTTGGTGTTTGTTATTTTACGATGGAAGTACGAAAAGAAACGAAAAGACTCTGAACAGCCTAATAGTAAACCTATTGTGCACTTTGTGGGCTAAACGCGCCCAATTCTCTATTTTTTTCGCGAGAGATGAAGAAATGAGTGCGCCAGAAGGGGTGCGTCACTAAAGTTGAGCACTCTTGAGTACAAGAGTGAGGGAATAAATTCTGGATAAGATTATCATTCTATAACCATTCTATGTAGAATGGTTATACAATGATAATTGATTACAGTGCTGTTCATGAGTGATTTTTCAAGATTTCTTCAACTTTCAACATCCAACTTTAACGTCAACAACCTTTTAGCCATCCGTTCGTTTGTACGATTGCCCGATCTGTGGAGACACAACTCCATCAACGACGAATCAACCATTGGGAATGCTTGTTCAGGTAAACTTGGAAAACAATGAACAACTAAGAAAGCTTTTTAGATGGAAGAAAATGACATCGTTGGCTCTCAAGTGGATGCCAATGAGGAAACTGTTTGGAAATCTTGCAAATTTGATATTCAATAACCAATTCAGATGACCTTGCTGGAGGCGGACGCACAATATGCACAGAATGGCCTATTGGCTGAGCGTTTAACCCTTCGAACATGGGAATCGGCGCGGGGAGAGTTGGTCAACACGGTTCGTTCGTTTTTATTATGGATAAAGTTGGTTTAACACCCTATAGTGGGTCAGACTAGAGTCACGCAAGAGGTAGGCCAGGTTTAGGGCAGGCGGTCAGGTCCGAGCCTTGCCCAGCCTGGCTTTACTGACCAGGGAACTGATCTCAGTGATCAGCTGATCAGCTCCTGATTCTTATAGTTATAAGGGTCGGTCATTTTAAACCCAATCGACTTTCAGGTAAAGCCCTACGATGGCCTGGTCGAAGCGAGTAGTTCAATGGAGATAAAAACCTGCGGTCATTGTGCTCATATCACATGTTTAACCCAATATGCGAATACGTTACAGGTAAATTTTAATAAAAGAAAGTTTGCACGAACATTTACAGAGACTGGAAGTGAATCGAAGTCTGTTCACCACGGAGCTTTCGTGTCCGCTTTGCAGGTTCGGGCTTTCAAATTATATAAAATAGAAATTGATTGGGTCACAAAATTCTAGGAAAATTCTAGGAAAAGCTCAGCTTGGATTGCATTTTTCGCTCAATTTAGCTACTATTTAAGGAATCCAATTGGTTTAGCAGGATCTAGAATTTGTAGCAAAGAACAGCCAGCTTTGGGCATAGTGATGCCGGGGAATCGACTGGGGCTATTCATTTTATTGAGTCTACCAATTAGAACTTAGATTTAATTGATTAAAAGTGATGAACCTTCAAAAAGCGTGAAAACACTTTCAAAATATCCATTTTAGAGGAAAGTTCAACTATTGTCTTCCGTTGGCTTTCGATTTCGGCTTTGAGATGTCCACCAGGCACAAGGAGCACACAATGGTTGAGGCTCGGAAGAGACTCCTCGAGGCGATCGTTGAGCGAAAACCGGATTTCACTGTAAGATTGCAGCTGTTTAATAACAAATGTCGGGTAGTCAAGTGAAGTCGGGTAGTCAAAAAGAGCAACGGCTCGATGATGCGGTTTAGACACTTTAGCTAAGAAAACCTATCTTGTTGTCAATAGATAAAAGATAGAACACAAAAAATTAGGTATATAGCCAAATTTTTATAGAAACTGATTTAACCAATTTCTTCGTAGAGGCTTTTATAGGTTTTTTTTATAGACACGTTTTCACTTTTGAATTTGCTTGAAAGCGAACCGAAATTGACTTAAAAAGATGGGAAATTGAACAATAAACACTTTATTTAGAGCAAACCATAGGTTAATTGGTGAATTATTTATTATTTTTCAACGGAATTACGAAAAGGAACGAAAAGACTTTCTGGACAGCCTAATATTAGGTTGGTGCATAAGTCTTTTTTCAAATTTTTGTTTTCATGGAAAAGAATCCTTTACCAAATTTTTTTGCGTCCTAAACTATTAAAAAAATCTATAATTTCTCTACAAAATGGCTTTTGAGAGAAAGCTCAAAGCTCACCTCAACTCAGTAAAGACGCATTTTTGTGTGAAATTTTCAATTGTTGTTTTAAAGAAAATGGCTAGACGGATCGTTTTCAAATTTTACAGACTTATGTAAACAAATAAGCTCTTTCTTTTTTACTTTGATACCAATAATGCAAAAATACAAACCAAATAGGTTTGTATTGAAGAAAATGTCCAAATTGCGACTTCGGCATGGGAGCAGTTTTGGGTGCTCACCTTGGCGCCTTTAAAAATCCATAAAACACAACAAAAATAACGAATTTCGCAAAAGCCATTTTGCAGAGAAACAATTAACCTTTTTAATAGTTCAAATAGAAATTTTGTTGGTGGCGGTATTATTTTTAAAAGATGTTTGGAAAAAATTGTGAAGACTTGTACACCAACCTAATAAATGCCTTGTTGATTCCCTTAATAACAGGAAAGATCTCAAATTTCAAATTCAGGATCCCATCGAAAAGAGTGCTTTTATTTCTCACTACAAAGAAAGCATCGACGGTTTGCTGTCTCATATGCAATCTCACAAAGAGTACACCATTCAAAATCACATCGCCGGGCTGATCAAGTGAGTGTTTTATGGGAAAGCTGATTGTTCAAGTATTATATCGAGAACTATTAAAATATTTAGGGCAAACGTGGAACGAAATCTCCTACAAGCGAAAATCTTTTTGGATGGGAAACGCCGCAAGAATAGAATGCTGGTAGTCGGTGGGTGTAGGAGTTGCAAAATAAAATCTAGACTGCCTGAATATCATCTACTCCATAAAACAATCAAATTCAAATTCAGAGCATCTCGTTGCGGCGCTGGTGGCAAGGACGAGCAATCTTGACGTGAAAACGATGCTCTGCGCGGCGAGGGATCTCTTTGAGCCGACATTCTTCGGGGTAAGGGCTGATTTTTGTCAACAAACTTATGGTAACAAGGTCAAAACTTAAGAGTACACAGATCTTTAGGTAACTCCAGGTTTCTAGCCGGGCTCAAACCTTGTCTGGTCTAGCCTAGCTTCTAACTGGAAATTTAAATCTATCTCTAGTTGATCAGTTGATAACATGCACTGGTTGTAATATTTTAATGTTTTTTCAATTGTCGTTACTTTTCCAGGATCAATCAGTCGATCCACCGTCATCTTCGTCGGATTCAACTTTCAACTTCATCGATGAAATCGACGAAGATCAGCCAATGATCGCCTTTGATACAGAAGAGAATCAGCGAGCGCTTTTAGATGTTTTAAGACCGGTAATTTACAGATCAAATTCTAGTACAATCATTTCAGAGTCTTAATCGTCCACGAGGACCCTATGACTCGATAAAGAAGAAATCCGATGTGCCACTTTTGCTCTTCGATCATCGATCGTTGTTGGTCAAGCTCACCGCGTACCTCGTGCAACAAAGATTCGCGTGCGAAGAGAAATTGAGTAAGTCAATTTTAATAAAAGATTAGGTTTCAAAAAGACTTAGCTAGCCGCTCTAAAGCGACCTTCGGCTATCGTAACCCTATTCCAATTACAGTAATTGTACGTAAACCCAATTACTGTAATCATATTTCGGACGTAACCCTAGCTCGGTTACTGTAGCCTCATTACAACTACCGTAACTCCATTATCGTAGCCCCAGTCCAGTTACCCGGTAAGTGCTCTGGTTACGGTAACTGGATAGCCTTTAGGCACTGCTTGAATCGGTGTTTGGAAAAGTTCCCTACAGATCACAAGCCATTTCCCAAATTACAGATCTTTGCCGTTTGGTGGCTCAACTCTGTCACGATGCCGCACTGACACGTTGTTGCCTTCAATTGCTGATCCGTTTGACTTTCGATGATGCGATGAGAATCGGGAAATCAAGTTGTGAAAATTTTTTTTTTAAACTTTTGAATTCTATTCTAGATGAGGATTCATTGCTTTCATTAGCAGCCAGGGAATTCTTGGAGTGCCGGCCGTTCATCACTGCGCATCTTTTTGCCGAGACATCGGTTCTTAACAAATATTCAAATGATCTATCAATCAAATTCTAGGCTTTAACTTACGAGCGAACCTTGACCGAGTACGCGGACGCAAACGTGCGCTTTATCGCGCAATTCTGGCAAGAGTTAAAGCTGAAAGAGGTGCCGAAAGAGGTCGATTTGCACCAAATGTCCGCGGAGAATTTACGAGAGTTCATTGGTAAGCTGAAAGAGTTGAGATGATATACTTTTGAAAAGTTTTCATACTTTTGTCGATGACTGTATAACATCATCTTATCTACTTTATGTGTTTTGAAAGAGTTGAGATGATATAGCGTCACGCTGGTCCTTCAGTCCATTCATGACTGGCCAGGCTAAAAGTGACGGAAAGCTAAGTAAGACTTCAAAATTTTTGAGCTTGTTTTGAATCTCCTTGGCATACCTTGAAATGTGGTTCTAAGATCAGCTCATAACCTCAAAATACCACGAAAAACTTGTTTAGGCATCTCAAAGACTCCTCTCGCCTCCACGCAACTCATTCACACGTGGATCCGACAGTTCGCACCGATTTTCGCCTACAGTCGTGACTGCAAATCGAGGGTGAGTGCTTGGAGAAACATTTATTTACAATTTACTATATATAAAAGAGAATTGTCTGTCCGTCTGTCCGTGTGCACGAGAAATTCGTATACGAAATTTGCATTTGTAAAGAAAATTAACATATGAATTTCCAAACAAAATTTGCAATGATTGAACTCAATTTTCCTTTTAATTTCAAAGTATTCAGCTTTTAGCATTATTATTAAGTACTCATTAGAACTAGGTGTAGTATGGCTATGAACCAAATTTTTTATTTTTTAACTTTTAATTTTTTAATCAGCAAAGCTATTTTTAAAAATACCTGGCAAATACTATAGGAAATAACATAGATATCTGAGAAATGGGATACAAATGTAAACGAATGAGTCTGGACAAAATGAATAGAGATTTTTTGGTAAAAATGAGATGTCGAACGATAAAGTGAATTGTGAGTGAATTAGCATTGAGAATCTTATATTGGCAGTTGGCAGAGTTACTTTGATAAGAGAATATTTTCATCTCAAAACCCGCTGAACCTTGCTCATCGATCGAATTTAGCACAGAATAGATGGTTTATGGTAGAAAGGACACAAAAACTTAAGTCCACAAATAGCTTGTGATTTCTATTTGGCACTAACTCGAGCGATAAGTAAGCTGAATCGAAATTGTGATCGAGTTTTTTGCACGATTAGTTGCTTTTCATCGCACCGCCCATCATCATGATCAAGATGGCTAAAGAGTGAGGATTAACTGAATACTTTTATATGTAAAGCTTCATTGAAAATTAGTTTTATTACTATAGAATAGCCCCACTGAGCTCAGTCAGCTTTGTGCACTCACCAATTACGATCAACGCGATGCAGACAAGTCCACCAGTGCACACGCAAAACGCGATCCAGTAAAGACTCGGGTCGCAGTAATGCTCTTCGAACATACTCTCATCAAAGTGTACGTACCACTTGCTTCCGTAAACCCAGACACAGCCTAAAAATAGCTTGGTATTAAGGCTGGGATTACCGGGATTAGAACTTGTGAATTGATTTGTTAGTTGACGACAGTAACACTATACAAGTGTCGGAAGCGTCACTATGCCCAAATTTTTGAAATCAATATTTGCCTTTAATTTGGCTTTACCTTTAGCTACAAATTCTGTATGGCATTAAACGGCTGAGGTGCTGTGGAGCGACGAGACAAAGATCAACTTATTCAACTCAGATGGTGGCTTTTGGATCATTAATGTATTGCTTAAACAGCAGCTAAGCCGAGAGAACAATGCAATCTGGCCGGAGAGTTTTGCCTCCTGATTCCCCCAGGATCCGCTAGTCAAATCAGCCTCTATTTGGTATCATTTGAAAGCTTATAGGCTCCTAAGGTGCCAAATTCCGTCGCTCACCAAGGATCATCCAAATGATGATGGTGAGGAAGAGGATGAGCTCGGTTCCCTTGATACAAAGATCCGACGAGAGTCGAGTGGCTCTCGTTTGTGCTTGCGCTTGTCGTCGTCGATTCGAGGGCATCGGAATGGCGGCATAGATTCGGACACAAGAGGAGATGATTATCAAGACTCCGAGCACGAGTAACCAGATTGGGATCATTGGTTGCACGTTGCAAAATGGAATGTTGAAGGCACCTAGATTTGAGCTTGCTTTTTGCTGCATTAAACTAGGCAGGAGTTCACGAATAAGTTCAAGTACAATAATTCTGTTTCTTTCCCTTACCCATGAGTAAAATGAGGAAGCCGATGAGACACGTGGCGCTCATCAGACCAAACCAGGCCATCGGCGGGATTCTGTCGCTGACGTAGGAGCCAACATTTTGCGCGAACTCGACCGTGTCTCCCGAATTTGAATAAACCTCGGCGAATTTGTCGTAGTGTCTTGGTTGCATTTCTAAAGTTGAATTGTTGAAATCGTGGATGAACTGAAGTTTTTCAATAACTAACAGGCTGTCTAGGCTCAAAGTTTTAAAAAGCTTACAGTAATTTGTATTTAGTACATAAAGTCATAGAATAAAGTTACAGTTTCAAGAGAGCAATTGCTTAGACATGTAATTGGTCAGTATCAGGGCTTAAAAAACTGACCCTAGCCGAAGCTGGCAAGTCATAGACACGATACTAGAAATGTCTACTAGTAGTAAGCTATAAATGTTTACCCCGTCCAATCTTGGCTCACAATCAATTATCTTGGCATTTTGATTCAAAATTTATAAGAAAAATCACTAAAAATTATACCTAGGCTTGCCATTAGGCTGTCCAGAAAGTCTTTGGTGAATTTCTTATTTTCCAACGGAACTACGAAAAGGAAATGAAAAGACTTTCTGGTTAATATTAGGGTGTCAAGGCTATGAGAAGTCATTAAAACTTTGTCCAGGAGCGCATAGTACAAATATAAAATGCACAGTAACAATATAAATCAACTCCAGTTTCTCTTACCCAATATCGGCTCAGTCGTCGGCATGTAAACCTTCTCTTGCCTGGCCATTTCTGTGTACGAGGGTGGTGTTTGGAGTAGTTGATTGTACGGGGAATTGCCTCGAATAAACGATGGATTACTGTTGAAACTCGTTGGCCGTTCTTCTAATCGATTCTGTTGCAATGGGGCGAGTTGCAGAGTGAGGCTTCCGTCCTGGTTGAGATACGCACTAAAAAGTTATCGATACGAAGAAATGGGAGAAAAATGGAGATGAATCACAGTTATGATTTTGTAGGAAAACTTGGAAACTGATAAGGAATGACACATTGAAAATGTGGGAATTGCTAGGAATTGTTAGGAATTCAGAAAAACGGCATTACCTAGGTTGTTTGTGCATTTTGTGATGAAATATTGGGTATAGAATCCCCTGCTTTCTCTGCTTCTTCTCCCAGCAAGCCGATTCTGTTTGTTCAGAAAGAAATCAATAGTCATGAGACGACAAGAAAAGGCAAAACGCCGTTTGCATGCTATCATTTCCACATTACAAACTAACAATGATAAGAAGAGCTTTTTAGAGCTTCAAGAAGAGCTTTTTACTTAAAATTTGACTATAACTTGACTGGGTTGTTTTTATGCGCAAACGCACGCTTTCTGGCACACTTTATTCTCAGTTTTTCTACGTTATTGCTACGCTACGCGAAATGAAGAATTGGTGCACCAGAGAGTTACTTTTAAAAAGCGTTAAAAAAATAAAAAATGAGTGTGCCAGCTGACCTGCGTTTATTAGAGCAGAAAGCACAAACCTCTTTGTTTGTTGGGGATTTTCGTGTCGTTGGGGCGAGTTCGGATTGCTTAAATGCACCTCACCATAGGCGCCGAGTGTTTCCGAGAGAAGTGAGCTTTTTGTGGAATCCTGAAGAGGGAATTGGAATTGCAAATGGAAATCGATTTGGTTTTTCCTTTTGGGAGAAAGAATCCGATGCAAATCAGCTGAATTTCTGATGGGAAGACAAATAGAGCTTTGGAAAAAAGTTGTCTTATGCTAATTGTAAGTAAGATTCAGCTATTCAACCGATTCAGGCTATTTATTCCAAATATATCTGTGTATTTGAAAAATAAACAACATTAAATTAAATCTTTTGATTTAAAAATTAAATCTATTCAATCTTGCGAGCTTAAGACTGTAGTGAGATAAAAAAATCTTTCTTTTCTCAACGAAAAGCTTTCACCCACCACTGTTGAAACGGGGAAAACCGTTTGATTCCTCGGCAGCGAAGAAGAATTATTTCGTAACATCTCTCCATTGTTTACCGACGATTTCAACACATTGTTGTTATTGGAAAGAAGAGACGAGTCGGAGGCACGAGAGCGGTGAATGAAACTCTCGGATGTGATGCGCTCGCTTTGCTCGTGATAGTGCATACCTTGAAGATAGTGTGTTAGTATTAGAAATAGGGAATTAACATAGATAAATAGAAATCGATCAGCCTTTAAAAGTTAGCAAATCAATCATGTATAAATCTAAAATGTAACATAAAAATCGATAAGGTAAAAGGTTGAGGTCAGCTCTGGGAAAGTGGTTTCATCGAATGAATGTGTTCACCGTCTGAGTCATCTCTTTTTTTCTCCGAGGGAATACACACAGAGTGGCGGCTATTTGGAAATGTTTTCTACGAGAAAAATATTCAATCAAAGGATAGATAGAAAAATTTTAAGATTGAACTTTAGCAACTTTATATGTTAGGGTAATTTGCTGTAAGCAAAATTCGATACTCATATTTGGACTTGGGATTTGCGTTTACAGTACATCGATCAGCTAATAGTCAGTAAAAGGTGGATAATTTTGAAAGCTACCGTAATCTTTCTTTCATAAGCTATCCGGAATCCGATAGAAGCTGAACGAAAGATTGCGGTAGTTTTGCAAATTATTCGTCTTTTAGATATTGTAACCTTCTCATCAAAACACCACAGTAGCACAGAGTGCTATGAAAATACAAACATTTAGTTACAGAGGTTTTTTGAATGAATGGTTGGGTAAAAACTGAACCAAGGGAAGAATCTAGACTTGTAAAATCAGCTCTAGAAATTTCCCTGACATGAACTGTACGCAAAAAGGGTCACTCAAGACCGAAAATCGGAGAATCAAGCAAATGTCTTCGTGATTGAGTGTGAAAGGGTTTAGCTTTCCGGCTCAATTTGGGTCTAAGGGGGGTGAATGGGCAGAGAAGAAAGTGGAGAGGTGGCTCACTCACGCTGCCGTTTCTCGCGCACACCCAGCCAGCCGCAGAGCCGTTAAGTCAACATCGAGTGGAGACTCTTTTCCATCTTTCGTCTGTTTTTGAAAAAAAAACTTTGACCCATGTAATTTGAGAGACGATCCGGGGAAAACATGTAAAAATAGAGCGTTTGTGTCTGCGAAAGTTGACTTGAACTTTTCAGATGGCTTTTCAAAAATGGGCCTATTTTTTGAATACTTTCACTAATTTCAAAAGTATTTCAATGAAAAGGTATAATACAGATTTTTGTTTTTTGTCATTTTTATTCTAGAAACTTGTGTTATAAAGTAAAAAACCTACCAGGGTTTTTTTTGGTAAATTTGTTTTTTTCAAGGAGCGAAAAGACTTTCTGGACAAAAGACGAATATTTTTATAAGCACTAAAGGTGTTTGATATGACTCAATCCTTTCAATGACACATCCATTCCTTTTCAGGTACTTTCCCGTGAACCACTCATCTTCCGCCCATCACTTCTCTTGTCATTGCCCAATGCGTACGATGGTCTCTTCAGTCATTTCTTCAATCGCAGTTGTTTGGGGTGTGGAACGGTGAGTTGATGAGAACGTTTGAGTAAAGGAGCTGGTTTTGAACCAAACTCATGGCTAACATTAGTTTATAATCAAATAAACCCAAGATAGCCGTGAAAACATACGATCTGAGCTAACTGGATAGGTGTCAAAAATATTTTGAGTCAACCGTAGGAGCTGAAAATCAAAAGCTCGTGTGAGTTCTTTAGTGAGATTTGTTTGGAAAAAACTTTGATTGAAAACGACATTCTAGGTTCCATCGAGGGCATTCATTTGCTTGCTGTGTTCGCAACTCGTTTGCGTCGGTGATTGCTGCAAGATAACACAATCGGATATGGATCAAGAGGATCATATATCGAATGAAGTTGATAGGGTGGGCAATTATAAAAGCTATAATAATATAGTATAGTAGAAATGCAAAAATCCCCCTCAAATTATTCAATTTTCAGCACGTTCAACAATATGAGCACGGTGTGGCGCCATTTTTGGTCCTCAACTCCTCACTGATCGTCATCGTGAAGAAAGGGGTTTGTTAAGTGGAAATTTTTGAAAATTTAAATGCTAACGTTAGATAATTTAATAGCTATATTTCAGAGGGGTTTGATTTGGGGAACTGTTTATTTGGATGTGCATGGCGAAGAGGATCGAATGCTGAAACGGGGGAAACCGCTGTATCTGAGTGAACAAAGGTAAGAATTTGGAGCTTACCTGCTAAAAGGAAGATGGAATGGGAGATTGATTATCAGGCGGAAATTAACACAACACATCATAAAGGCTACCGTAGTTATGTAAATTGATATGGAAATTTCTTTAAATGCAAATTTAAACTGCAAACTTTCATTAATCATTTGCAGGGGTTTTTTGCTCAGTAGTGCGACATATCCGCATCTTTTCTAACATTTTTGCTAAATATTTTTTCGGATTTAGATTTAGATCCGAGAAAATCCGCGCGATAAACTATTTACAGTCAGTATCGGGCTTGTAAGCGGAAAATTTGATATCTAAATGCGCAGAAAAAATGTCTGGGCACCGAGATGTGAACGATTCTTTGAGTGTAAACTTAGACTACGCGACACTCCGATATGGGGCTTCTATGAGAGTATTTACGGTAATATACATAAATCATATTTTAGATGGGAAGCCCTTCAAAGAGACTGGGTGGAGAAGGATTTCACGCGTGCCTCGAGCCCGTGGATTGACATTGAACGGGTTTGTCGGGCTTTTGATTTGTATTGGATTTATAAGCATATAATGCAAATGATCTGCTACTTAAGATCCATCAAACCTCTCTAGCCACTTATTGTTAGTCAAGATATAAGTGTGACTATAGTCTGGTTTCGATTTTTCAACCAATTCTCCAATTTTCAGTTTTACCAATATCTACGGGATCCCAGCATCTACGAGTATCGATACATCTAAAGCCTATTTTTCACAAAGATTTGCATAATTTTAATTTATAATTTCATTTTATAATTTTCAATAATTCATTTCCCGATTTTCTTTACTTAAATTTTAGTTCATCCTTTTGGTAGCTTAAAGGGCTTGCATTAGCTAATCGTCTAGTCTATCGCTTGCAATTTTTATACTGTAAATTTTGTAGCTTTTGTAGCATTTCTAAATTTTATGCTGTAAAGACCTTCGAATGTGATGATCTATTAATAAAGTTTTAAATGCAAATTTATTCAAATAAAATGAAATGAAAGACCTTTCATTGAGCACCGACATATTTAATTTGAAAGTCTCTTCTTTGACTCTATGCAAAGAGGCCTTTGGCAATGAGGAGTGCAAGAGCTGCGGTCAAAGCGACGGTGGAGGAACTCTGGAAAGAAATTCGATGACTCCACATAACTGTACGCTTTCTTTTTACTGTTTACGGTACTTGTTTCGCTTACCTATATATCTACGTCGCCCTGATTACCGTATTCTAAACATTACCCGACTACCATAACCTAGATATCGCATTGACTACTGTATTCTAACCCGTTTACCGTAATCTAGACGACGTCTGACTATCGTATCTAATCATTGACTGGTTACCATGCAAAAGAGCGATTTAAATGCGAATTGACTCGATGGTAATTTTTCAAGAATCTAATATGGCAAACTTATTTTTTACCTTTGTGGTTGTCTGAATCGGGAACGTAGTTGCGGCAGTTGGATAGGGCTGAAAAAGTGATCAAAATTTGTAGCTTAATCACCAAGATGAGTTTTGACTTTTGAAAGAGCTACCTCTGATCCTAATGGGTACTCAGGTTGTTGATCGGGAAGACCTTCTGAGTTGAGGAATGGCGGGATTTCGACTCTGAATTGTTACGATGCTTATTTGATAGATCCGAGAAGCTTGATATTATATTTATTAGCGTATTCTCCCTAGTAGTCCATCCTAAGTTTCGCCTAAATTTCTCGAAATCTCGAAAAGCGCTTTTCAGAACCTATTGATATGCGATGGGAAAATGTAGCTGATGGCTGATGGCTCGTGGATCTTGTGAGGGATTAGAGTGTTGAGTCTCTGCGAAAATAGAGACTGTAAAATGGTCATCTCTTTTAAAATGATATGCTCCTTCATCAAATTCAATAAAAAAAGAGAAAAATTCATAAAGATACCTCTTTCCTTGAGCTTAATCTTATCAGCTAGCAGTCATTTCTTTAGTTTTGCTTTTTTGATTTAGTCTAAAAAGCTATTTGATGCTTTGCAAAATATCGAAAGCTTTTAGAAGTAGTGAAATAAAAAAAAGCATGATTAACCATTAACAAGCATGAGAATACGGTAATTTGGTGCAAATTCTTACGGCTGTCCTCCATACTGAGTGGGCACTCGGTTACAATCTGGATCAAAGAGTCTTCGACCGCAATCTGAGGGACCGATTGGAGCGATCGGATAGTTTGGAGTGTTACAACCACCTAAAATGGGACTTCACAAGTACAAAGTAAAGATAATTGAGCAAAATGAGCAAGTTTATTAGATTAGATTGATGCTATAGACTGCTATAGATGCTATAGACTGTTAGATAAAGGCACTCTCATCCAATCTAGATATAGGTCAAATCTTAGCTAAGGTGCAATTAAATATTCCAACTAACCAGTGCTTCCACATCTGGTGGCACAACGACAGTCGCAAGGCTAAAAATTAGAAAGAAACATTTATGAAATAGTGATTCAAACCGGTTGTGGAGTTGGCTGATGGCAGTGCTAAAATTAAGTCATAATTTCATATCATTTCTGGTTTTCTGGTTTATTTAAAACAGCGTCAGAATAGAAAACGTTTAAAACAAAGGCGTCAAATTTTGTCATAGATCAATAGTCAATAGTGTTTAAAATGAGTCGCTAAAGATTTTCAGTTAATCAGTATCACTCGACAAACATTTTGAACGCTAATTTTATCTATAAAATCTTCTTTTTTTAAAGAAACTACCGTAAATACTGTAATAGTACCCCGCCCCCATAATGACGGTGCGGAGTGTTGCGTAGTCTAGCTTTGAACGAGTTTTTCTCGGCACCGGTTTATGCTACAATGCGCGCTTAGGTATCAAAAAATAGCCCTGAATTTCAGCTATTTTTTGATACCTAAACGCGCATTGTAGCATAAACCAGTGTCGAGAAAGCCTCGTTCAAAGCTAGACTACGCAACGCTCCGCACCGTCATCACATTATGGAGGTGGGGTACAGTATTTACGTATTTACGTTACAGTATTTACGGTATTTCATCCATTATGTAGCTAAAAAGGCAAAGGAATTTTTTTTGGTATAAAAATAACTTGGTTTTTTTTGAATTGTGAGAAATGAGAAATTTCCTCACCACACGGAAACGCGGAGTGATCGTCTCTTCGCGACAACAACAACGACAAGTCACTCGTTTGAAGCCCTGAAATGGATATTGACTTTAAACATACGGTAGAGTTAAGTGTAAGCTATTAAACGAGAAGGCTTTCAGCTGATAGGTTAAATATTTTTACTTAGTTAGCTTTACCTGTCCATAGGCGGTGCGCGGCGGCCCTTGAACTGGATGACCGATTGAAGGCTAAAAGATAGATTTATAAAGGTCGAGAAGATTACGGTAGTCAGATAAAGACTGTAGTTTAAAAGTAGACTTTTCGAAAAGAATCTCTACCAAATGTCCATTTGGCGCAGTGGCGTAGTGATCGTCGGAGGGATACGGGTTGAATGGGTTGTATGGTTGGATGGGGTTTGGCTGTGGAGCTGGATAGATTGGCAGAGGATTCGGATGGGGAAATGGTGCTGGGAACTGGAAAGGGGCGAATTTTTCAAGCAAGAACGTCTGGCAAAAGTTCTGCAAAGTTATCGGTGATTAATGGCACAATGGCGTCTTATAGAGTCGGCCAATCTTGAATTCGTTCTTGCAGAACGCTTCGCGTTTCGGACTCCTTAAGAAGCCTTCACACCAACGGCTGCCACTGCTTTGACGGCTCAGTGGATGACTAGGGGCCTGTTACCTGTCCCAAGTTCGATCTTCCTTTCGAAAACTTTTCTTTTTTTAAAATTAGATTTTGGAAGGAATTCTAATTAAAATTAACTGTTTTATTAGCTTTTAGTTCTAGGTTTTAAAATCTCTTGATCTTTTCACGAGAGCTGATAGCCGGGAACTGCTATTGTGGCTAGCCGAGAACTGCTATTGTGGCTAGCTGGGAACTGCTATTGTGGCTAGCCGAGAACTGCTATTGTGGCTAGCCGGGAACTGCTATTGTGGCTGCGAGAACTGCGGGAACTGCCATTGCTATTGTGGCTTGGAAAAGAATAAAATTTAGATTACAAATAGAGTTTTTTAATTATATAATATAGATGACTGTAAATATACTACTCTAGCGTTTGTTTACTGTAATTTTAATCTATTCAATAAGCATAATATTCAATAAAATTTTTATTTAGCTTAGAAATTTGCAATTAAAAACCCACTGGATAGCCGGGAGCCGGAGCCTGGGTGGTCACTGGGAGGCGCTGAAATGAATCTATTTGTTAAATGTTTGAGAAAATTGAATACTATATAATAGAAATATAAAGGGACTAAGACGTCTGTCTGTCCGTTTGTCTGTCTGTCTGTCTGTCCGTCTGCCCGTCTGTCTGTCCGTGTCTGTCTGTCTGTCTGCCCGTCTGTCTGGGGGGCTACTCCTCAGCTCCCAGAGGACCGTTTGCAATGAATTTTGCGCCGTTGAATAAGGAATTCAATGTAGTTGTGCATTGGATTCTTTTGGATTCTTTAAAAAGCAAAATTGGACTAGTATGCGGGGGTCGAACCCGGATCGTATGGGCGATAGGCCTGCGCGCTATCCACTGCGCCATGGCGACAAAGTGTCCTTCCCCAAAAAATCCGGGAAAAACCCGCCATTGGACGGGTTTCTCGGCTGGTAATAGAAATACCGTATTTGTTCGAATAGAAGACCGGGTAAAGAGTATGATCGCGTACTCCTGCGTAGCAGCCCTTTTTAAAATTTCTTTTCTGCATAAAAGCTTTCAATCAAGTGCTATAGAGCTGGAAAATGGCTCAAAAAACATGTTAGCTAACATGTGGTATTTTTGAGCCATTTTCCAGCCCTATAGCACTTCATTGAAAGCTTTTATGCAGAAAAGAAATTTTTAAAAGGGCTGCTACGCAGGAGTACGCGATCATACTCTTTACCGGGTCTTCTATTCGAGCAAATACGGTATCTAAATAACCAATAGAACTATTTTATTTAGCTTAGAAATTCGCATTTAAGAATTGAAATTTATTAAAATTAAAATTTAAAAATTACCGGGGTTGTGGTGATGACGGGTTTCGACGAGTGCTAAAAATGGATTCGATTAAAGAGTTGGATTCGCAATGGATTCGCATTTAATCGAATACATTTTAATAAATAGATAACTTTAACAAGATAACAAGATAATAGATAATAGATAACAAGAATAGCTTTTAAAAAAAAAATTGATAGACTTTAAGCTGGATATTCTTGAAAATATTAGTAATTTATAAAATTAGTTCTAAAATTATTTCTAAAATTAGTTCTAAAATTTTCTTTATAACCAACTGGAGTTGGGATGGCTCGCTCGAAGTCCCAAGCATCATCTAAATTTCGATTTCGATTTTCATTTCGTTTCATTTGTTTTCTTTTGTATTGAATTTTAATTTGCATTTAACTTGTATGAAACTTTTTTTTTTACCTCGATCTTTTTCACCTTGATTTCCTCGTGAAGCTCTGAAAATTGAATTGAATTCATTTTGATTTTTGTAAGTTTTTCTTTTACCTTGAGGCTTCTTTTGAGTGAGCGACGGTAAGGAAAAGAAGAAGAAGAGATTCCCACCGTAACATTCTGAATTGGGGAATTGCTTTGAATTTGAAAATTTGAAAGCAATGAAGCAATAGAAACAATAGAAATTGTTGATGATCAAAAGCTGAAAAGATTTCAAGGGAGAATTTAGTAGCTACTTTGAAACTTTGAAACTTAGTAGCTTTGAAAGTCCGTTGTTTATGGGCTTTTCCAAAGCATACCTTCTAGCTACCGTAACCCAGCTATATAAAAATACTAGTTACATCGATAATCTTTAAGTCTAAGCGCATATATTCTGTTTAATCGGATGAAAGCTAAAGGCTAAATGTCCAGGCTAATGTGCTAAAGGCAAGTAAAGAGCTAAAGCCAATCGAATAGCTTAAGGTTAGGCTAAAGTTGACGGCTAAAGGTAGGCTAATTAATCTACTGTTTAAGGTAAGGCTAAAGGTTAATTCTAAAGGGAAGTAAAGGTGAAGGCTAGGAAGCTACAGCGGAGGAGATTTTGAAGGCTTAAGGTGAGCTAAAGCTGAACTCCAGCTAAGCTATTCCAGCTACCATTTCATCCATAAAGATAAAACCAATCAAATAGCTTAGTTGCTATTACGGTAGTGCTATTTAAAAGTATATTTATTTGAAACGAATAATGAATTACAACAAAAAGAAGGAAATTTTTACCCTTAGTTACCCAAATGTTGTTAAGAAAAGAAGAAAAAACGGGAAGAAGAAGCACTCTTTCTAGTTGCCGGGATTGAACCTTTGACCCCCGACTAAGAGACAACACTCCTATCCGGTCGGCTACAACGGTCGGCTACAACCTGAATTATTGTAAAAACAACTAGCTAGATAAATCTAGGTACGGCTATAGCCGAGTCGATCTATCCAATTTCGAGAAAAAGTTTACAAATGAATGAGAGAGAATCTTAACTCTTACATGTAATGCACGTTGTACGGCTGTACGTTGTACGACTGTACGTTGTAGGGCTGTACGTTGTACGGCTGTACGACTGTACGGCGAATCAACTGTACGTTAAAGGAACAAAAGAATAAATTAAGATTTCCAAAAGTAAAGTAGAAGAAAAGTTCTCGAAATTTCCGTGATTTCATTCGTTTTATGGTGGCAACTTTTGGCGGAGTTTTGCGGAGAACAAAGAAAAAGATGGGATTCATCATGATCGAACGCATCGTACAATATGGGTATTTTACGTGGCAAAAGAAAAGATTTCAACGCCTTTTGTGCAAATCATCGCCATTGTTTTTTTTTTTCGACGATTGGAATGCGGATTTTCGTTTGAAATTGTCAGCGCTGAAATTTACTTGAAAAAAAGAAAATCGGGATTTCAGTTCTTCTAGGAGATTTCAAGAGTCAACCTTTCGAAATTGGTTAGCTTGTGGACAGACTGGTATTCAGCTTTTTGGTGTTGGCGAATCAACAACTACGACTGTACGTTGGACGGCTGTACGTTGGACGGCTGTACGTTGGACGGCTGTACGTTGGACGGCTGTACGTTGGACGGCTGTACGTTGGACGGCTGTACGTTGTACTGCTGTACGTTGTACTGCTGTACGTCTGTACTGCTGTACGACTGTACTGCTGTACGTCTGTACTGCTGTACGACTGTACTGCTGTACGACTGTACTGCTGTACGACTGTACTGCTGTACGACTGTACTGCTGTACGACTGTACGTTGATTAGACAAAAAGTTCAAGGAAAAAGGTTGAAATGCCAAAGTGAGCTCGGTTGGCTCAAACTACAAAATATGTTTCTAATTTAAAAGCTAAAAATAGCTGGCAGGATAAGACGAGGTTAGGCGGCCTGGCTTTGGCTTTTCGGTCGAACTATCGGGGTTATAGTGATCGATTTGAACCAAGGAGCTAACGAACCAAGGGAATGCTTTAAAACCAAAAGGAAAGCGGTCAAGATCAAGCCAGAGTCAAGCCAGAATCAAGCTAGAATCAAGCTAGAATCAAGCCAGTGTCAGTGATCGATTTGGAACCAGGGAGCTAAGGAACCGAGGGAATGTTTCAAAACCTCTAAAACCAAAAGGAAAACGGTCAAGATCAGGCTAGAATCAAGCAAGAGTGAAGTCAGAATCAAGCCAGAGTCAAGCTTAACCTAATTCCAAACCCACTGAGCCTTTGAAGCTAGGCCACGCCTTTAAATTGGCTCTTTGATCATCTAATTCTTTTAAAATTTGTTATCAACAGTTTATCAACAGTTAAAATTTGTTATCAACAACTGTTATCAAGAGTTTAGCCTCAAAATCCTTGAATGTTTGGCTTTAATATTTGATGACTGAAGTCTAGCTAGGTTTAAGCTTTTCTAGAAGCTTTTCTAGGTTTTATACAGCTGTAATAAAGTGATCAATAATCGCAATTCTAGAATTCGGAATTTCTTTCATTCACAACTTTTTCAACTATTTAAAACCAACTAAAACTCGCCAACTAAAACGAATTACATTTCTCGAAAAATTTGATATTTTCAAAACATGTAGTAATTGTGTGTGCTTTTCACAGTGATTCCATAATAATTTGATTGTCGGCCGTAATCTATTTCACCAGTTTTCATGAAAATTTTAAAATTTTCACAATTATACTAAAATCTCGACGTTTTAACGAAAAATTTTTCATTTTTTATAGATTTTTTTAGGATTTTTCAAGAAAATGTTATCGAATTTTGATTAGGAATTAAGAGAAAAGCAAAGGAAAGGCAAAGGAAAGGAAAGGGAAGAGGCAAAGGAAAAGGAAAAGGCAAGGAAAAGGAAGAGGCAAAGGAAAGGCAAGAAAAAGGAAAGGCAAGGAAAAGGCAAAGGAAAAGGAAGAGGCAAAGGAAAAGGAAAAGGAAAGGAAAAGGAAGAGGCAAAGGAAAAGGCAAGGAAAAGGAAGAGGCAAAGGAATCCTTTTCCAACTAAAGGCAAAGGAAAAGGCGAAAGCCAAAAGACAAAAGGCAAAACTTTCTCAAGAATCGTTAATTTTTCGCTAAATTGAAGATTGTTGTTGTTGATTTGTTGATTTAAAATTCTTCGAGCTTTTCATTTACATTTTGATTATTTATCTTGGAATTTGGAAAGCTGTAAGTTTTATATTTAAACATGAAAGTGAAAATGTTTTCACTTCTTTTTTTGAGCATACAAGAGAGAGTCCAATAGTCTTGAAGCCTTTAAATTACCTTTAGATGATCTTGATCTTGAAGCTCTAGTGGATTCTTGACGTTATCTTTGCTACCCATTACATCCATTATATTGTGTTGCTTTTTATCGGTGCTTTTCCGCGTTCTGTGTATGTGAATTCGTGTTTATTCATCTTAAATCTAGCGTACTTTATTTCAGATCAGTATATGAATAAAGTATATGAATAAAGTATTCATCTACTATTGGGTTGATGCATAATTATCCGGACTTCTTTTTGCGTGCTTGTATCTTTTTTGTTTTGAAAGCTTTTTGTCTATTTCTTTTTTTTAAATATTCGTTATTCTTTAGTGAACAAAATGCGTGTCGACAATCATATCCATCTTCGCCATATCATGCTCTACCACTTCGAAAAGGGATGGTCTGCCGCAGAGGCGTTTCGCGATCTCAAAGAACTGGAGAAGCCCCAACGGACTACCACGTCAATCGATCGCTCAAAAATTGGCAAACAAATAAGATCTACAACGATTTGGATGACTTGATAGACGATGTTAAAGCGTGGATTGCCTCCAAAGATCGTTTATTCTTCGCTCGTGGAATCGATCGTCTTCCAAGCAAATGGCAATCAGTTATTGATGTAGGCGGTGAATATGCTCCAGAATAATCAATTAAACATATTTTTCTAACTATTTATGTTATTTTTTGTTAAATAAAATCATTGGGGCCCAGAAGAGGGAGGGGCTGGGGCCCCCGTCCGATCTGCCAAGTGAGCAACGCGGCGCGGGTTAGTGGTGGGTTCCGGGTTCCCCGGGGCCCCCCCGGCCGCCCGGGGGACCGGTACGCCTACACTTCTGCCGAAGGGGGGGGGGTTGTGTTGCGCGAAGTGGGGAAATATATTTTTTTAATAAAATCATTTATAAAAGAAGTCCGGATAATTATGCATCAACCCAATAGTATTCATATACTGCATTTTCTCTAATAGTAATGCACCATGAGCGTCGCCTAAATTGCTCGAAATCTCGAGAATCGCTTATCAGAACCTATCGATGTGGGGTCGAAAAATGTAGCTGACGATGAGATCTTGACGATGATTAGAGTCTTGAGCTTCTGCAAAAGCTTGGAAACCGTAAAATAGGCATCAACTTTGGGCACTTGTATAAGAGAAAATAGGGCTATTTTGTTCACCATGGCGCAGTCGAGAGCACGTTTTTCTACAACCCACACGACCCGGGTTCGACCCCCATAGTGCCACTCAATTTTGAATTTTTTTTGATTTTTATTTTAAATAACACAACTACAATGTATTCTAAAGTTTTCTAAAGAAGTGTTAGCTTTATTGGTTAAAAGATGGTCTAGAAAATGCCAGACAGACTATATACCGTATTTTCTCTAATAGTAGTGCACCCTGAGCGTCACCTAAATTGCTCGAAATCTCGAGAACCGCTTATCAGAACCTATCGATGTGGGGTCGGAAAATGTAGCTGACGATGAGATCTTGTCGAGGATTAGAGTTTTGAGCTTCTGCAAAAGCTTGGGAATCCTAAAATAGTCACCAACTCGGCTCGGTGCGGTGCACTACTATTAGAGAAAATACGGTATTTGATCCGCGCCCCGCCCCTTTTGCTATTGGCAAATTTTGAGCTGAAATTTCTTGTTTTTTTTAATGTTTTAAATGTTTTTAATAAGATTTTTATTTGAATCAATTTCAGAATCTTATAAAATCCTTAAAAGTTTCCTTGAAATCTCTTTTCATTCAATCTCATTTCCTTTCTACGTAACGTTTTTAAAATGAGTTCAAGAAAAAGAAGAAAAGAAGAAAAGAAGAAAAGAAGAAAAAGGATTTCTATTTATTGAATAAATTTGTGATAAAAGAAATGAGAAATTATGTAAATTGGAGATTGAGTTGAGATTGAGT